GCAGCTTACAATTCAGGAGCTGGAGAGCGAGCTGATTAAGCGAAGAAGAAGAGCTGAAAAGTGCAGGAGATTGGCAGAAGCTCAATGCTCGTATAGGAATACACTCGAGAAGATGATCCGCGACGCTATGCACCAGTAAGAGATTTTTTTTTTCTCTATACAAAAAAAATAATTGCATTTCGATATATGCTTTAGCTCAATTGTTTCTTTAATTTTGTTTGTTTGTAGGAGTGTTGTGTATAAGGAACAAGTGAGGTTAAACCAGGCTGCAAGTAGTGCACTTATGGCGAGATTAGAGGCGCAAAAGGCGATTTGTGATGGCTCAGAGAAAGAACTTCACAAGAAGTTTAAAGAAAGAGAGGAGCTGGAGAATCAAGTGAGGCCTGAGCTGGAGAAAGCAAGGAAAAGATCCAGACTTTCACTGAGTGATGAAGATGACTTGTTGCTAGAAGATAGAGACAGGAAGTTATCTTTGTATCTTCCTGGAAACAAGTGAAGAAGATGTGTCGTTACACAAGGAGTTAAGAGTATACCTTGAAGAAGAGCATAAAGCAGCAGCTTCGGAGGCTGAAACTCGGAAGCGTGGGGAAATAGAGGAGGAGGAAGAGGAACAGAAGAATCCAGAGGTGTCTGAGAAGTCTCCTGTTTTCGTTAGAAGATAACAAACCGGTTGAAGAAAAGCTAGATGTAGTAGAAGAAGAAGGGAAGAGAGGCAGCAGAAGCTTCAGAGCATTTCCAGTTTTCAAGGAACCAGAGAGTGAGGAAGATGAGGAAAGCAGGAGAGAGAGGGGGAAAGGAAATGTTGAGAAATGGCTCCACATTTTACTGGAAAACAATAGCAAAACCAATCCCCAGGATCCTCAAACCGAAAGAAGCAAGAAGATTGATGAAATGATAGAGAAACTGGACCACAAGTTCCCTTTGCTTGAAAAGGTTGAGGAAGAAGTTGTAGACTTGCAATTGCAGGCGGAGGATGCAAACAACAACACAGGAAAGGTGGAAACTGAAAGCTCCCGTAGAAGCAGGATGAGTTTTGATTTGAAGAACACACCAGAGAAGAGTGGCAGAGACAAAGTGGTGAAAAGATCAGAGAGTGCTAGAGCTTTCAGAAGGATTCCATCATCTCCATCACTCATCTTCGGAATGAAAAAAGGAATTGACTGCATCAGGAAGAAGCCCGTGGTTTCAGGTCACGACGATGAGAATGAGTATCTCGTTAAGAACAACTTCATCAAGTCATCTCTCCAAACAATCAAACGAGCTGTCAAATTTTAAAACATCATCTTCTTCATAAGATATGCATTTGTTTTTAGTAGTGTGTGATCAATTTGGTGATTCATTCATTGTTCGTGTATAAAAAAGACTACTTCCTCATTGTGTAATAACAGCTTGTTGTGTTGTTTTCCATTAAATGCAAAATTTAAGACATAGATTTTCTCCACCTTGAAGGTGTTGTTCTTCCTTTGACAAGCCTTGTCTTCATATTCCCAGGAGTCCGAGGCTCAAATCCTTCACCATTCTCACCGGATTCTTCCTCGCCATTTGCCATCTTTTCAACGCTAACACTTCCTCTAATCGAAGGTACTAACCCGAGCCTCTTCCAACGGAAAAACCCTTTACTTCCACTACTACTCTTCTTCTCCATAAGCCTCTCCAGCTGCAAATGCATAGCACCACACTCGCTCTGCAGCCTCGCCACATCCTCTCTAAGCCTTCTGATCTCCGCTTGCTGAACATTCATCTCACGTTTAGACAAGCACCGCGCTGCAGAGCCTGACTCCAAGTAATGCGAGCCAGAAGGGTTTGTTGGGCTCCTCATCGTGCTGCTTATAGAGCTACCACTCCAGTCTATGTGACGGCTTAGCTTTGTCTGCTCAGTGAACAACACTCTGATGATTGCTCTCACTGGTAAACGATCGTTCTGAGCCGCGTGGAGTGCTGCTTCTGGTGATAGCTTCCTGCTATCAATAAGTCTGCAAAGTTCCTTCCTTTCTTGCTTCAACAACAGAGGATGAGCCTGCAAATAAAGTTGAAATCTTTAATAAGAGTCTTAAAGAATTGAATACTCACAAGCTTTATTAGTTTACCTTGAGATATGTATCAATGGCTCGGTACAAGCCATCCTCAGTGGTACGAGCATGGCTAGGCAGAGCTTCGATTAGAGAAACAAACTCCGGTAGAGTCAAACCACCGTCAATGGCGGCTTCAGCGAGGTAAGAGTCAACAAGCTTAGCCACTTTAACGAGAGACGCACCGGTTTTAACACCTTCAATGTCCAAGCCAGCGAATTTCTTCACGAGTCGCGTCACGAGCTCAACGTCGAGCAACGTCCCGCACGTGTGGCTAAAAGAAGGTATCATAAGCTCCTTTAGCGAGGCTTGGTCAAGCTGCCAAGATACTCTGTTTTCAAGCTCCGTTAAGTAATTCGGATTGGCTCCGACCATTTTCGCCGTCCTGAGGAGACGGAGGAGGAAATTGCATGGAACGGAGTCTTTCTCCGGCGGGAGGATTCCGATTAGGGTCTCGACGAAAAACCGTTTCTTCATTACAGAAGCCGTGACGCTCTCCGTCTGTGGTGGGTTTCTCGATTCCGTGACGGAGGAGATGTTGCCGGAGAGATCAGGGAGCCACTTGGAAGCGTAGTGAGCGATGATGGAACCGATGAGGTCTGGTCGGATTCCTTTGGATTTGATTCCGGCGATGGTTTTGACGAAATAGTTCATGTCTTGGATACAAGCGTCGTCGAACCAAGAGTAGTATTCCATATCTCCGGCGAAGGTTTCTTGGTGATGATGCGACGGCTGATTGGCGAAGATGGTGACTGGTTCCGGCGAAGGTGTTCTCTTCATGACTTTTACCGTGAGCTCGAAGTGTAGTGTCAAGTGTGGTTGGGTGGTTTTATACATATATATAGAAAGCAAAGTGATGGATGGTCTTTTTACGTTTTCCTTTGATTTTGCTCTAAAAGGTCATCAGAGAGCGTAATCATGACTTGGCGCAAAATTCCTAAAGAAAGAACAAACTGTTTTGGATTTCTTAGAAGAAATTAGACTAATTTTCATTTTCGTAAGAATATATGATTCTTTTTTTTTTGGCAACTAATATGATTCATATCCACTAATGTATATGATTCATATCCACTATTGTATATACATCCCAGCTAAGGGCCTAACTGTAAGTAACTCGCAATAAAATCAAACATTTTCTCTGGTTTTGAAGTAACTAAAAGTACATTATTTACTTTGTCGGCAATAAAAGTTCATAAACGATAAGGTAAATTTTTGTTGATTTTCGTAAGTACTTATGTTAGGTCTTCAATTCTTTTTCCATTTAGGAAATTTTATAATCACTAGTTCCTATATACTGTATGTAAAATAATTACTGTTCCATTATAATAGAAAAGGGTTAAAAGTAATTTATACTAAGCAGAAAATGAAATTTCAGAGTTTCAGAGTTTCTGTAAAATGAAATTTACTTTATATTATTAGTTCTTCTACCTATACAGTATTCGATATATATATGCTAAGGTTTTATTTAGAGATGATACACATGATGATCCTAATGTTAGAGGATTGAGAGGCTGTGGAGGAAGATGGAGATAAGAAAAGGATGACGACAAAACCCTCTTGATTTGCCTTACATATAAATAATATATATACTACTATTACAAAGGGAATATCATCAATGCATAGACCTGTCTTATTCTCTGCAACGCTAATGGTGATTGTATTCTAGTGGTGTCGAATTAATGCTAGATACGTTAAACGATTTTTACAGTATTAGTTTGATTTCGACTGTAAACTCCGCTATAATGACAAGCATAAACTGTTATGTGTACAACAAGAAATACCCAAAATAGGATTATCGTTTGACGAATGTTCAAACAGAAACTGTTTTAATTTGTGTAAAATAGATTTCAACAATGCTATAACATACCAAGTACAATCATGATTGACTGCAATTTTGACTGTTAAAAGAAACTAACGAGATAAGTTTATATGCATTTAGCTAAAAAAGACATTACTTTGGAAAAGACAAATGAATCATAGTCTCTCTGTTTCGTTCTTTTGTAATATCCTTCTCTCCATGTGGTTTTACAGATGAAACGACAAGGAATGGTCCCGTTTTAGAATATCGTGACCATGCCGCTTGTCTTAGCACAACCATACGTAGTACGTACATGCCAAAAATAATATTCTGTCTCTAGCTTTTCTTTTTGTTCCCATTGTACACTCACATCACATCACGAGTGTGATGACAACACAACCAACCGGTTGTTGTAGCCCATTGAAGGCCCATACTAACCCACATACATATAGGGGCATTGGCTGTTCTGACTCACCTTTACAATAAGTAATGAGAAGCTTATTTACTTCAAATATGAATGAAGAAGGACTCAACAAAACCCAAGCAGTGCTTGTCGAAAATGTACCGGTTCATTATATTCATTATCATAGTTGTTATCTTAGTTAAAGTCGATAAATTGCCTATGAATGATGATGAGTACTCGTCTGGGCTAGGGAACTCCTAGTGTGAGATTTATAATAAGCGCAAGGATCAGAATTTGGAACTATACAAAGTTTTGGATTTGGGTGATGAGAGTCTTTACCTATGCCTTGAGCTATGATTTCCAAGTAATCTCAACAAGATTGATACTAATACCGTACCGTAAGCAACCACCAAAGTGGCAAGTTCCCGAATGCAAGGCGATGCAGCCAAGATCTAAATTCTATGCTTGTCTTTGACTACAAAATAGTAGGGACTGCAATTATTCCATAATGTATTTCAATTATGATAAAAAAAAAAAAAAGGGTTTTTGCAATCCAAAATTGTGGGTGGGACGGTGGGTCAATGAACATTTTCACTGATATTTCTTAAAGCACATTGTGTGGTCAAGCCGTTTTTGGACCCATACTTCTGAAACCATCTCATAAACCCAATCTATTGTATCGTCCTTCAATACAATCTCACGAAAATGAGCAAATGATGACAGAAAGAGGTGCGTTTTGGGGAAATACTTTGGAGATGAAAATGAAGTACAAAGATTTTGCACAGATGAACAACAGTATAAGGATAAAACAGTCACATAAGCGTACAAGTGTTTGTGTCTTTTGATGTAGTGAAGAGGTTATGATGAAGTAAATGTAAAAACATGGATTTGGTTCAACCAAAGGTTTTCTCACTGCTATAACACATGTAAACGAATCCATCTTCGTCTTTGTAAGTTTCGTATACGGAGTCCATTAGAGCAGCTGCAGAGAGAGAGAATAGACAGAACACATCAAACAACTTTTGCCTAGAAAGCTCTTACAAGCAAAAACCGAGCTGCAGAAACTCACCTGTTTGAGGCAGAGTGTTGTTCACAAACACGAACAAGGCTTTACCAGGAGACAAGTGCAATCTAGCACTCAATATGTAGATGAATTGGCCAACCGACATATCTCTTGGAACCAGAAACCTAACATTTGAAAGACAAGTCAAGATCATCTCTTCCAAAGACATAAACATGGGCATGAGAATTTTGAAGTTATAAAATTCAGCTTAAGTGGAGCAAGATCGAATAGATTATCAAATAAGTCATGAGTTAGTACAAAACTATGAAAAATACATAATATTTTTTACTTCTTTTTCTCGATATCAGGCAGATCGGTTTTGCAATACTTCTCAGCAATTACCTGCAACACATGATCGAAAGAAAACATTTGAGTTCTGAAAATTTCAGAAAGTTAATTGAATGAATGTATAAACAGATAAATTCTTATATTGTTTGCATCCATTAATTGAATAGAAGAATAGAAATTGAGCAGCATAGACTTACTGGAATCCGAGTAGGGTACTTAGCGATTATCTCCCTCGATTCCGCGAGCCTCTCTTCTGCAAAATAAGAGATAAGCTAAATTGAGTTTTCAACTCTAAATCAACCAGAAACCATTAGCAGATCGATCGTGAAATAGCTACGAACCCAACGACAATTCTTCCTTGAAAGATTTCATCTTCGACCACACCACCGCAGATTTTCTTTTCGCGTGTGTTTTAGAAAGACGAGCTCAAAGGAAGAGTAGAATTATAAATAAAATGAAAATTGATATAATAAAAACATTACTCTTAACAACATCACAAAGCGGGGATAGCTCAGTTGGGAGAGCGTCAGACTGAAGATCTGAAGGTCGCGTGTTCGATCCACGCTCACCGCATATCTTTAATTTTTAATTTTTAACTGTGTAACCGGTTCGGTTACCGGTTCGGTTTTCGTCTCATGCTCGTTTAATTTGGTTCAGTTCTATTTTCCTTATGCATAACATACCATTTTGTAGGACACTAAAATTATGTATTTTAGTAGATTCCTAAAATACTACTAAATTTTGAATTCAATAAAAGTAGTTTAACTAAATAAAAACTGATTAACATATATGAACTTTCATTTTGTCGTTGCTCATGACAAAATATTAACAAACATTTACCATTCATATATACTAGGTGTTTAGCCTGCACTTTGTGCGGGTGGAGATGTTTCATTGAAAATACTTACTCAAAATCGTTAATTTACTTGAAAGATTTACTCAAAATCGCATTGCGCGGGCGGGAACATCATCTTTTCGTTTTGTTCTTTCGGTTTTTTTTCTTTCTATTATTCTTTATATAGTATGTATTTTTCAATTTCTTATTCTTCTACATAAAATACTAAATAAACAAACTTCTTCTTTGTGTTTTTCTTTTTTTTTAGTTTTATTTCTTCTTTGTATTTTCTTCTACTATTTATTTTTGGAAGTTTGGAAGTTTTCAGATGTATATTTACACATCTTTTATAGGTTTGACTATCTTTGTATAAACGATCAATTTAAAAAAATATTGCAAAGTGAAGCACAAAGATAACATAGAGACATATTATCCGAGTATTCTAATTTGAACTCTTTTCTTAAAACGAAGATGAAATATAGTTTAGAAGCTGAAACGAAGTCACTCTTAAAGTTGTTATTCTTTATTGCCTAAAAAGTAATCTCAAAATTATATATAAATCAAACAACTAAACATGTTTTAATTTTTAATCATAAAAATTAGAACTATATTCACTTCTTATATTTCGTAGAAAGAATAATCTTCACATAATGAATTATTTATTATTTGAGACATATATTCTTCCAATTATTTTCTTAAAAAATATTAGATTCTTAAACAATTATACTTAATGAGATGACTCTCTCATAGGAGTTACTCACTTTCCATTTGATCGTTATGTAAGGTACCGACTGGTATTATCTTAACTATTTTCTGGTTTTTGAAACTTTACCAATGTACTATGTTATTGAGATTTACATAATGAGGTTATTTTTTCTATAAGGCATTGAAAGAAGTAAAAATCTTTTAATTAGCGGAGTGATGCTATAGGTTTTTTTAAGGGAAAAAATCTATTCTTTATTTATCTTAACCAATAACTTCTCAATACTATAACCTTACAATTTTTCACATGTCCCTCCGAATTGTAAACCGAATACTTGGTATGATCCTTAATTTGGAAAATACCACTTGCAATAAACCATATGGTTTTTTGCACTAATAATATAGATCTGAAGCTGAAAGATCTCTCACTTACCACTTGGATCTTTCTTAGACCCTTGTCAACATTTGTCATTTGAAAGAAGATCTAGAGTCTGTTGTTGATTTGTGCTCTCATTGTGTTACACATCAGCAAAACTATTTTCCAAAGCTTTCACGTGTTTTTCGAAGTAGGTTTGGTTACTTTAGTCAAACGAAATAATTGAAACTTTTGGATGGTTCATTAGTTCTGGAGACAAACTGTTCCAACTACATCTCTGCACAATGATGAAGCCTCTCCAAACAAGCTCGAGCTTTCCCTTGCAAATACTCGAAAAAATTGTGTCTTTGCATGTTCATGATGAGCAAGGTAGTATCCATATGCAAATGTCCATTTCAAGACCCTCCTACATTCCAATACCTTGATCCGTATAAGAAAAATGTTGTAACAAAAGTCTCATTGAAAGTCTCATTACTAATATTCCTAAATTAGCATGATTGCAAGATTTTACCAATAACAGTCTTTAGTGAAATCACACTTTCTGTTCAACGATTCCACAAGATTTAACATGAAAAATTTAATTTTTAAACACTGATTGGTCTAGTTTTGTTTAAATTTAATCAATAATTTCCTATTTATATTCAATTATGCATGATCCTGGTTCACCTTGAATAACCATGTATTTCGCATAGCCAAGAAAGTCTGGTTGGGGCAGGAGTCTCGAACTCATCGAAATCTTTAATCCAACGATTTCTTCCGCCTTTACTATAATAAGAGTGAAGAAGCAGAGCGATCAATTCGACTTGGCTTATAGAGAGAACAGTAGAAACTCATTCAATATGGTCTCTTTTATGCTTGTGAATATTTTTTTTTGTTTGGCTACGATTTTATGCTTGTGAATATATTTTTCACTATAACTGGACATCACAATACACAATGCTAAATCAGCATGATTAGCATCACTTTGATTCTTCAAAATTTAACTGAGATGAATAAACCTTAAACATGCAATCCAAACAGAATCTCAAGTCCGAAGCAAAATTATTTTTGGATAAACCAGACACATTCCAAAAGCAGAAACGAAGTTGAGATGGAGGAGCATAAACAGTATGGGATCTGATCGGTCATAGACTTATAGAGCAATATCGATGAAAATTAATCGTAAAGCTTAAATACTCAATCCTCCTCATTCATCATGAACACAGACCCAAAGCGTTGAAACAAAAAAAACCCTAATTCAAAAATTTTATAAAACAATACAACTCAAACGTCAAAACACAGAAACCACCGGTTGAGGAAGAAGCTCTGACTAATCGGAGATTAATGCTAAAGTGAGAGCCTTGGGGACTTTCATATACAAAACCATACAATTTTATAGCATTAAAAGATCTGGTTAGGGCATGATCATGGCTCACCTTGAATAACCATGTATTTCGCACGGCCAAGAAAGTCTGGTTGGGGCAAGAGTCCCGGGCTCATTGAAATCTTTATTCCAACGATTTCTTCCGCCTTTACTATAATAAGAGTGAAGAAGCAGCGCGATCAATTCGACTTGGCTTATAGAGAGAACAGTATAAACTCGTTCAATATGGTCTCTTTTATGCTTGTGAATATTTTTTTTTTGCTATGATTTTATGCTTATGAATATACTCTTCACTATAACTAGACATCACAATACACAAAGCTAAATCAGTATGATTAGCATCACTTTGATTCCTCAAAATTTAACTGCGATGAATAAACCTTAAACATGAAATCTAAACATAATCTCAAGTCCGAAGCAAAATTATTTTTGGATAAACCACACACATTTCCATAATCAGAAACGAAGTTGAGATGGAGGAGCATAAACAGTATGGGATCCGATCGGTCATAGACTTATAGAGCAATATCGATGGAAATTAATCGCAAAGCTTAAATAATCATCCTCCTCATTCATCATGAACACAGACCCAAAGCTTTGAAACAAAAAAAAAACCCTAATTCGAAGATTTTAATAAAGCAATACAACTCAAACGTCAAAACACAGAAACCACCGGTTGAGGAAGAATCTCTGACTAATCGGAGATTAGGGCTAAAATGAGAGCCTTGGGACTTTCATATACAAAACCATACAATTTTTTAGCATTAAAAGATCCAATATTAACTTAATGGTAACAAAATTTGGTATAGTTAATTATAAATAAAACTTAATTTTAACCAATTAAAGGATATTAATGACCTTTTAGTAAGAGACAAAAACTAATTAACCAAGCTGAGATTGAATGAGAGGTCTTTAAAGCTAAAATTCACTTCGCTTTTGATATATACTATGATGATTAGTCACCTAGATTGAATAAAAGAGCTTATAGCAAAAAATTTACTTTGCGTATAGTATATATGATATGATTTTAATGTTTTTCTTTATATTAAATTCTAATTTTTAATAATTTTTTAAAAATTAAATATTTTTTTATTAAATTCCGATTTATAATAATATTTTTATTAATTTATCATTTTTATTAATTTTTTAATAATTTTTATTAAATTCCGATTTTTAATAATTTTTGTAATAATTTTTTTATTAATTTTCGATTTTTAATAAGTTTTTATTAAATTTTATTTTTAAAAAATATAAGAAAGGGTAAAAGGTAATTAGCCATTCTGAAATTGAATGAGAGAGCTTTAACTCAAAATTTTACAGCGCTGTTTTGAATTTAAACTGAAGCAAAATGCAAATATAAAAATGTTAAGCCTATTTTAAATATAGAGCGTGGACAATAATTATCTAGTTTGATTTGAAGGAAAACGAATCATCTGTTTGTTATTCACTAAGCTTAGCAGCAATAAGAAGAAACACTTGCAGTTCAATTATGGTCAATCGTCAAGTAGAGCAGACATTGGAGTCTTTCTAAATGGATCAACCTGAGCCAGTTTCACAGCAAGAGTCCTATTCGGGAACACATTGTCTACATTCATCCTCTCTTTCATCCCATAAGCTGGAGTTTTGGCGTTGAGATAAGCCACGAGAAGTGTTTCATACTGCATAAGCTGAGCTACATAGCCTGCTTGTTTCGTCCTCAGGAAAACCTTCTCCGTGTTATGAACATCGCCTCTCTTCGCGTATTCCTCAAGAATCACCATGTAAGTTATGAACAAAGGCCTCATCTTGTTATCCTTTGTCGCTTTGTTCAATATCTGCTCGGCTTTTTCAACTTCTCCAGCTTTAACATAGAGCTTCACAAGTGCGTGCCATGTCGACGGGCCGATCTTAATCCCTGCATTCGACACTCGTTTAACCAAGTCTTTGCCTTTCGCTAGCATCTTGTTCTCCGTGTATATCTCCATGAGGGCAAAATACGGCAGCATAGGGACAAGTTTGTATCTTTTCACAAGTCTATCAAACACTGCCTCTGCTTCTTCAATTTCCTTCAGCTTTCCCCATGCTTTAATGGCAGCAATGCAATTATCATATCTCAACGTTTGATCAACAAACCTACTCAATCTTCTCACATTGTTCTTATCTCCTATGTCTGCATAAAGAGGGAGTAATGAACGGCACACCCATGGAGTTTGTGTCAAGCCTTTCCCTTCTATTTCCTTCATAACTTCTTCTGCTCGGTCTTTAAGACCCGCTCTTAGGTAGTACCTAGCCAGGGTAGCCTGTATTTCTGGGTCTAGTTCAATACCTTCTTCCTTCATTGTCTCCACGATCTTGTCCATTCCATCTATGTCCCCGGCTAAACCTTTACTGTTGATTAAAAACTGATAGGTGCCGCGAGTTGGCTTGATGTTTTCGCTCTCCATCAGTAACAAAATATCAGCTATCTTCTTCCTGTCATGCTTACTGTAGAGGAGAAGCAGCTGGTTGCAAGCAAACACGCTTGTTGGAAACTTCAGTTCTCTCATTTTGTTAAAAAGTTCTTCAGCTTTTTTCACATGGAGCTTAAGTACACAATTTGCCAGCAGGGTTCTGTACACTACTTCTCCCCTGAAAGATTCTGGAATATCCTTCAAAAAGTCTTCAGCTTTTTTTAAACTGTGCACCTTGGCCACCAAATCCAGTTGAGAAGCGTAATTTGCCTCTGTGAACTCAAACTGTGTATTAGCTCTCAGCCACTCCCAGAGCTGCAGAACCAAAGCAAGGGCACACAAATGAATGGGCTTTTGATAGACATAACAATAAAAGATGTGGCAAAATTAGTAAAGCTCACCTGCAAACCCATAGCGTAGGATTTGCGTTTACGCAGATTGTGAATAGCAAGAGTAACCTCTGCTTGAGTCAAATCTTTTCCTTCTTTGACCCACGCTTCAAGAACATGTTTCACTGATTTGTAAGCAACAATGGATTCAAACAACTCACAGCGGGCTCTTTTATTTTTTGTTTTCCCCTCGTTTGAATGCTCCACTTCCATTTCAAGATCATCATCAGCCGCATCTACATCACTACCAAGCTCAGAATCGAACAAGGAACCATCTTCAACTCCCTCTGGTATATCCCCAGAAAGAGGAAGTGTCTCCACTGGTTCAGATAACCTGTCTTCCTCATCTCCTTTGTCATTTGCATCAGCTATAGAAGAAAGCTTGTTGATGCCAATGAAACGCGAAAACACATCTCTTACGGAATAGCTTCTGATTAAACCTTGGGACTTATTATAAATCAATCCAGATGATATTTCTTTGTCACCAGATGATATTTCTAGTTTACTGACCGCACTAAACGAAGAAGGCGCAAGATTAAATCTTCCACTCCTAACACACACAATTAAAAAAACAAAACTTTCAATCCAAATAAGCCGTAAAAAGGAACAAATCCCATAAGGAAGATCTAAAATTGCTTGCTGGTTAACACAAGAGCTCTAAGAACAGTGAAATTAACAAAAACCAGAACCCAGAATCTAAAATTAAGACGCTTTTACCTTCGCAAGATCTTCGAAATCGAATACATAACTTCCTTCAACCAAATGAGCTCAAGACCCTGAGAAACAATTCGACACTGGTGGTATCAGCAATCATCTACAAACCGAAGAAGCAAAACCCATTTCTCGTAGACTAAACACGAACGATAAAAGAGAGAAATTCGGTGAATTTAACATCAGAAATCGAGCTTATACGGTATACGCAGAAATGGAGACGACGTATGAGAGAGAGAGAGGGGCTTACGATTCGAGGGGTTTTTTTTTCCGCCGGAGAGAAGTGATCGCAACACGACAAGAAAAAAAAAACCTCAAAGGGTTTAATGCCTGCTAGGGTGGTTAAAGGGTATCATGGTCAAAGTCTCATTAAGGGCATCTTTGGTGCCAAATCTTTAGACGTATAACAAAGTGTTTGAAATAAAAGTATAAAACTATTATGTACATAATTTTTTTTTTTATTATTATGTACATATATCGCTTATCAGAGGAAAAATGAATGACGTTGTTGAAATTATGTTAGAGTTCCAACAGTAATCACACTTATTAATCAGCAATAAAATTTTATCCTGCTCAATACAACAATATTTTAGGATTATAATAAGCAATAAAAATTTCCACATTTAGTTACGAGGTGTAAAAAATTAATTTTGTTTCCCTTTTAATTACAGAGGCTACATTTACAGCTTCGTGATAGGGGATAATAGGCTAGTAAATTAAATATAAGACTTAAAAGTAAAGAAAAAAGTGAGATTAATTCATTAATTAACGTTTATAACCAAAAAAATTTGTTAAGACAAAGACGTGAGTCAGAGAAAACAGCGTCGTGAGAAAAAGAGTAAAACTTACTAATTACAGTAATTAAATTCATAACTAAGCAATTCCTCCAGAAATTTCCATGAAGCATGTTGCTTCGTCTGTCACTTTTTCCTGCTCTCAGATACCAAAACCTCAAAAACCCTTTTCATGTTCGCTTCTCTCCTCATCTCCTCCTGTAAATCCCTCCTCGCCGTGTCTCCGGTGACCTAAAATCGCCAGAAGTACCGTTCCCCAAGCTGAGCTGACTAGTTTTCACGTCGTTTGCACCGCATTTTCCGGATTGTCCCTTGATCGGACGACGATTAGAAGCTTATCAGCTTTCGGTAAGCTTCCTCCTCTCTTCTCTGCTCTCGGAATCGTCGTTACTTTTTCGATTTTAAGAAACATTTTAGCTATTTCTGTAGTACCAAGCGATGCTTTTAGTGATTTTGTCACTGTTCCATCTCCTTGCACGCTTTCTGTTTCGCTGAAGGGGGTTCTAGGTCGAATCGGCTCGATTACACATTACTCACCTTCAATTTCTGTGACATTGTAAACTTGGAGAATGGTAGAATCTGTTTCTAGGTACTGTTCAAGCCATCAAGATTGCTTAGGTTTAGTAAGATGAAATGTTTGAATTGTAATCATTCTTTTAAAACGTTGGTTTTTGATAATTTCTCTGTTAAAGGTTCCTTGATAGTCCAAAACTCAAACGATGATGAAGTTATCCACTCTCTTTGGTTTACGGTATTGCGTCTAATTTTGTTTATCTTCTTCTTTCTTGTACAGTTTTGGAATATCTCAGAATGATGCGATCCATGGATGCCGGTGGAGAAGAGATCCCTGATTTTAAGTGGGGTGTTAAGACAGGAGTGGGACGGGCAGATAAAAACGTTCACTTCTATGAATCGTTTACCTATAAGGGAATCGATTACCAGCTTTTTGACTGTGCTTGTTTTCAAGTGTATGGTCAATGCGAGACTTCAATCGGGAAGCTTATCAAGATGTTTGAGACATCAGCAGGGAAGAAGAAAGTCAAGGTCCTTTGGTTTTTCCGACCTATTGAAATCCGCAGCTTCTTGGGAGGATATGAGCCACGATGGGATGAGTTGTACTTGGCTTGTGGTGATGGCCCAGGGGTTTACAATATAAACGATGTGGTAAGTTTTGCTGGCCTTTCCATCTCCTTTTCTCTTCTTCTTACTGGGATGATATGTTTATTGTTTACTCTATATGTAATAAGATCAGCTTGGGTTTCCTTTTTGTTGTTGTTGGTCCAGGAAGCAATCTTGGGGAAATGCAATGTTTTATGCGTATCAAATGACCGAAGAAACCCACAACCAGCAAGAAGTGAGTTGAGGAACGCTAACTACGTATTCTCCCGCACCTTCAATACAAGACTGAATATTGTATCAGAAGACTTTACAGATGCAATAGCTGGAATTAGAGGTTTGGGTTAGAACAGAATTTAGAAAGCTTTATTGTTCAACCCGTAATGCTCTTCGGTTTGGAACTGATGAATGCCAATTTTACTTTCTGGCTCGAATAATGCAGTGGAGAATTTCTTCAACAAGATAAGAGATAAACCGCCTCTAAAACGTCTAAACCCAAGCGCAGCTACCGGTTCCTGGCCTTCTCCAGTGAAGCCTTCTCGTTTAGAATCGCGATCAACAGAGTTAAGAAACAACGATAACAAAGATGGAAAGCAGACAAGTAGGATAAGCATGGTAAAGAAAGGTTGATCCTTTTTCCTATTTTTTCTGGCCTCTTATGTCATTTATAGTTGTGAAATGGACAGACCAGATTAACACTAACCTTCCTTTTCAAAGATGTGGTTCTGAAGGACCGTGTTGTTCATGTACCTGTGAAGAAGAACCCTCCTCTCTATACTGATATCACGTCAAGATGTCTGGAAATTAAAACTAGAGCATTAGGGAATTCACTTGCTTCAAATTCATCACTCGATTCCAAGCCTGCTACAAAGAGGAAGCTTAGACTCAGCACTCCAGAAAGAGATGATTCAGGCCCTGAACCAGGAGAGAGTAGATTCATCAAAATGCCTCCTCTTGTAGATAAAGCTCCTACTCAGAACATTGTACGTACCATAACGTTAACTTATGACATTTAAGCGTAGCACAAAGATTGTTCATAGTTTGGATTAGATATTATTCCCCATTCACTTATGACATTTGCAACCTATTTTCTTCTTTTATCTGCCTTGCAGGGTAAAAGCAGCTGGTATAAGAAACTGGTAAAGTCTCTGACGCCTTTACCATGGCTTCTCCTCTCATGTAGGCCAGCTGGATTACAAATTTTTTTCGTGCTGAAACAATTGATTCCCGTAGGCAATGTTTTTCAAGCTATTGGCTTTCATCACACGAAATCAAGGATAAGAATATATTACTGTTCACATAAAACTAGTGTATAGTTAAAGATAAAGTTAGTTCATGATTTGTCCTGGTTCAGGATAAAAAGTATTTCTTACAACACTCGGTTACTTCATTTAACACTGTTATATACATTTTTCCAGCCTTTTGAGGACGAACTAAAAGAAGCTACAGAAAACGACAGAGTGATCTTATTTGAGAACCTGGAACCATCATACTCATCGCTGGAGGTGGAGGTATGTGATCCTAATTGATAGTAAGAAGATCAATCTATTGTATAAATGACATCACTCCATTAATTGTCAATCAGGTGAAAAACCCAGGAACTTAGGTTGACTCGAATAACATTTAAGTGATCCCAAAGTGGGATTAAGTTCGAGATGAAATTGGCCAAAAGAGGTTCGATCTCGAAGTGGCATGTTAGGAATCTCACTTAATGTCAATTATTTTCTAGAATTATTTTTTGAGAACAATCGTTTTTGCATCCTTATCAATGTTGACATCGCAATTCTATCTACATAGGTTGATCAAAGACTCATACTTTTAGCAATCATTATGTAAAGCCTTCAAAGTATAACACACTTATCGCTGTTTCTTTTTGTTGTGTGCAGTATATTTGTAGGCAAGCTTTCAACGAACGAGTTGGTGCAAGGATGATCCCAGCAAGTCCTGTGTCTAACCCACATTATGGTATATCTGGTTTAGACCTTCCTTTTTGCTGTTTGTTAGCTTAACATCATTGATAGAATCAAATCACTGGCAGTGAAACCAATGTTAATCGCATTTTCTAATCAGGGAGAGCTCTTGTGATATTTCAAACCACAAAGTCAGCTGATAATGCCATGTCGCGGTTAGCTGAAGGGTGCCTGATGTTATCTGACGAGACTCGCGAGAGGTTACTATGTTTCTATCTCTCACAGATTTGAAAACTTCATCAATCCCTTCTTTCCTTTTTTTCTTATATGATCCTTTTGCAGGCCTCTAGTAGGTAGCAGATATGGACCAAAGGAAGTTGATGAATGTAGAAGATTTACTGGACATCTTGGCTTGTTGGATAAAGCTCATATGTCGTTTGAGAAGGCAAGTGGTTGCAATAACTCATGTCAAACGTTTTCCTTTTATTGAACGCACTAAAAAGTTCATAGTAGAAAATCATTGTCTCACACAGTTTTGTTCTTTCAACCTTTTTTTTATGTCAAAAGAGAAAAGCCGTTGCTACATCACACTGCGCGCAGCCCAACCACATTGTATACGAGATGGCGTGTGAATGGCATGCTCTACAGGGAAAGTCAGAATTGCAGTGGAAGAGGCTATTCGAGGTCTGCTCTTTCTTCTCTTTTCACAAACTTTTTGTTGTCCTTCCCAGTCTTTCATCTTTTCTCCTCATCCATTGCAGGAACAAGCCAAGGATCTCAACATCATGAGGAGCAAAAACCCTTGAGAAACCAGAGGATAGGAGCAAGATTGCAAGCCCCTTGTCTCAACAGCAAGGAAGAGTATTTGTCGGATTTTGGTTTAGTTTACAGAATTTAGATGATGCCAACCCCCTTTTGTGTCTTTAGGTGGCAATAACTTAACACACTCACTCGCTGATGCTAATTTTGGGTTTAGGACGTAGGGTACATAAAGAAACGTCTTAGCAAATTTTGATGTCATAGAAACTACGTTCCAAAAAGAAAAAACAGCTGTGTCTATCTTATGAATCAGTCAAGTCTCCGTTTAGATTTGTATTTTTTTTTTCTTAGCGGCTGTTTTCATATGAGAGAAACAAGCCACAAGCCACAGGTAGGTCCTTAACACACAAACAATCCTAATAGAGTTCCTTTACTAGTAGTCTTAAGCATACACGACAATTAAGAAAAAGGTCGGAGAGACAGAGAGATTATGAGGAATTTCTGGAGACAAAGCTATTCTTTGCCAGATTTGTTGATGAGGGACTTGTGAATGTGTGGAATGACTCCACCACCAGCAATAGTTCCTTTGATGAGAGTATCGAGCTCTTCGTCCCCACGGATAGCGAGCTGCAAATGCCTAGGTGTGATACGCTTCACTTTCAGATCCTTGCTCGCGTTACCGGCCAGCTCCAAGACTTCTGCGGTTAGGTACTCCAAAATGGCGGCTGCGTAAACCGCTGCGGTTGCTCCAACGCGTCCATGAGCAGTTGACCTTCCTTTCAGCAGCCTGTGGACTCTTCCCACAGGAAACTGCACACAAGGGAGAGCGAGACACACACACCTTATTATATCAATAACAAGACATATGTTTCGGAAATATCTATAAACTCATCAAAGCATCAGGATTCGAAGTCAACGGGTTGAATCAAGAGGTTCACGGCCACTAGCATGCACTTGTAGTTTTTAAAAGACATGAAAACGCTTTGCAGCTTTTAAGAACCAACCTTCATCACAGCTTTTGAAGCTATTCGTGACTTAAAATTTTCATCAGTGTCATTAAATATACAACAGTAACCAACCTTGTACACACCATGCATTTATGGTCAAAATCTATGAATTTTTTTTTCCAAAATTAAAAACAGAGGATACACACAACTCGATCTCTAGAGACTAATATAATCTAGTTCAGAAATTCAGAACCTCGCAGATCCGTCATTCACACATCCCAAGAGAAGTAAGTAGCAAATAACGAAAGGAATGTGTAAGAGAGAGAGAGACCTGTAGACCAGCACGAGAAGAGCGAGTAATGGGTTTCTTCTTGTCCTTGTCCTTCTCCTTGCCGCTGGGTTTCCCCATTATCAGCCCTTTCGCTCCTTTTCCAGACATTTTCCCGCCAAAAAACTATCACAGTCCGTCTTAGTCGGAGAGAGAGAGTGTGTCAGGGAAAGATAGTGAGAGATTCGGACCAGATAAAAGAGAAAGTAGACGCTGGTCTCTCAAGGGGGATTGATTTTTACTGGACTTAGATTGACACTTTTACCCCTAGGATCTGTCGTTCCAGTTGTCATCTGTCAAATCGAAAGCCCAAAGCCCATGTCAAATTACTAAAATATAACAAATTGGCCCTACTATTTAGCTTTAATCAGTAAAAAAAACCATTAATCCCTAAAAGATCAGCTACATCCACAAACTTGCATTGAATCCAAATTTAGCTTGTTATGAATTCCCGTATATTCATTCATTCAGTCTAGAAACAAATACACATTCAAATACAGTGAGAAGACAAAGAGAAGCAGACATTTCTTTTTCTTTTGTTTTTTAGCCTCAGGCATCAGATGGTTTCTCTGCAGTTTCCCCTCCCTTGTTAATGTCAAAGCCTTCAATCTTACGAGCAACCTCGTCCACACTCTGCCTCCCTGACTTTGATTCTATAACCTTTTCAGCATTCACTGGACCTGTCTCCCAGATCCTGATTGTACCATCTTCAGACCCTGATGCATAAGATTCACCTGTTGGTGCAAACCTCACGCAGTGGACCGGACCGTGATGTCCCTTGTTGCATCCTAAAGTCCAGAGAAAAGAGACACATAAGACACAATCAAATCTGCTAAACAAGCTGAGGTTATGCAAGTGTTTTAAGTTTTTAATCACTCACCAATCTCTTCTCCGGTGTGGAAATCAAATAATCGAACCCACATATCTTCTCCACCAGCAACAAATTTGTTACCAGATTTTGGATCAAGCGATGCAGATTCGATATTGCAGGGCATGTTGTAACTCTTCACTAGTCCGAAACTGGAAGTTACCAAGGACAAAGATAGAGACTTTGAGCAGAATGCGATTATTCTATTTCAAAACAAAAGACACGGAGATCAAGAGCTTACTGATTCGCATCCCAAAATTTAACAGTCGACCCATCAGCGGTTGTTATATACCGTCCATCTTGACTCACTTCAGCGCTGGTGACCGGAGATTTGGTTTCTAATGTTTGCACAATTTTGCCACTCCTCACATCCCATAACCTGTACAAGACAAATAGGCCAAGAAACAATGAGTTTCTACATTTGTCTTGTCCTTATACAATGTACTTTTCTTTATGAGTTATATACTTCATACCTCACACCACCAATATCAGTGCAAGAACTTAGTATCGTTTGATCACTGTGAAGCCATGTCAGTGTTCTGATGGAACCAGGAGATTTATCAATTTCTGTAGGAGGTGCATCCAAGCGATTCAAGTCGAACACACGAAGAATTTTCTCAAACCCTCCTGTGACTAGAAATTTTGTATCCTGATGAAAGAACCATGTTAGAAGCATGCAGGATATTTACATAATACATCGACTTGAGCAGAGAACATGAATAATGGAGAGATAACATATACCAAGACCACTTCAACCATAGTACTATGTGGAAAATCAGAAATATACCCTAATCAACCAAATAGAGAATGACAACAAATAACTTTACTATATACCTCGGAAAAGGCGCACGCTCGAACAATATGCTTGTGCTCAAAAGAATGCAACACATCCCCGGTCAAAGCATCCCAAAGTTTCCTAAAAGGTTATATTAAGCCAATCATAGATGTCAAATTACTTGGCCAACCAATCAAACAGCACAAGAATGAAACCGATTCGAGCATAAAATCAAAACAAAGATAAAAGTCGCGTTCTTCCTTTGAAGAGAAATAAGCTCCATCACTTACGCTGAGAAATCTGCAGATGCGGATGCTGCACGTAATGCATTGTTATCCAGACAAGAACTCCATACAGCACCTTTATGCCCTTCAAACGTACCAATCCAATCTCCAGTTTCCCCATTTCTCAACATTGGATGAGAATCTAATTAGAGCAAGAGTTACAAAACCATCAAGACATGAAAAACATCCTCAAAACTTACGTAACTCAGTTCATAAAACCCAAGCAAATCAACAGTAGTGAAACAGAACAACATTTCCAATGGATCTTACAAAATCCAACTCACAATAACAAATCTAGAAAATTATGATATTACCTTTGCTGGCGCTGATGAGGAAAAAACCATCAGGGGTGATTGGACTGTAGAACAAATCAACAACAGGTCTCGAATGGCCATGGCACACTAGTGGAACCGCTGCTTTCTTCTTCTCCATCTCCCTTACAAATTTTAACACAGAATAACCCTATCCAAAGAGACGCTAAGACGAAATCGCAACTTCTTCCAGAGAGTATCTGATTCAAACGATTCAAGGGGGAAATTTGGCGCTAAAATTCCACAGAAGAGCAGCTTGAGACGATGATGATACGAGATTAAGATCCGACAAAACAAAAATCCGGTCTATTTCATTTCCTTTTACCTATATATATCTAATTTGAAGAAAATTTCACGAATCTAAAACTTGGATCGATCTAATACTTGATTGGAAGATTTCTGCAGCTCCAGTGGAAATGCAGCCTCCCCGAAAATTCAAAAGAAAAGGGCAAAAAAAGGAAAATTATAAAAGAAAAACTGGCAAATCAAAGAGGAAGCAAGTGTAAGAATGTGAAGGAGATTTCGTTTTGTAACCAGTAGGCTTCATGTTTGAGATATTTCTATTTCAGGAAGCTTCAATTTTTCTTTTGTCTTCTTCGATTTGATACCGATATTTTAATCCTTCACAAAATAGCCCCTACAGTTTACGTTGACCTTAAAATAAGGCTTCTGATGGATATTTGTTTATCTAGGCCATTGATGCAATCAGATATTTTACTTAGACATCGAACATACAGTGAAACCATGTTTACAAGCCACATCAGCTACAATTAAGTAACAAATGCCCATTTCACCAGTCAATCTCAGTTACTACTACTTTAATGTCCTACTTAGTTGAGTTTTGGTCGTTGATTCCTGATCTTGGACTCGTCATGTTCATCATCTTTCTGAAGCTTTCTCCTCAAATCCCTCAGATCTTCATCACCGACCTTACCGTTCATCTTCTTGTTCAATGCATATGTTTCACCCATCTTCCTCTTGCACTCCTTGCTTGCTAAATCATGCAAAACCACTGCCAACAACAAAGCCAGAACTAAGCGAAAGACTTTCTTTTCCATTAATGAACAGTAAACCGATAACTTTCAAACAACAGGCAACCACATGATTCACTACCTACTTCATGATATTGATTGTACTTTCAAAATTTTTTGGCTACTCACAATCATATTCATATCTTTCTAACATGTATTATGTAAATAGAGACGGAAATTCTAACTTGGTTTCGGGTAGTCCTTCCCAACTATGCACTTAGCTTTAGCTTGTACGCTGATTGGCGCTGTCCATGGCTCGTAAATATACTGCTTTGGCATATCTGAATCAGACAACTTATTAGCCAGTGAATTAAGAAATTGTAAACAGACTTAACAGGTTAATGGAACCAACTTCAGTTACCTTTCAGTACCGGTAGAAAATGTCTAATGTACTTCCCATCAGGATCATACTTCTTTCCAAAAGATACAGGAGAGTATATGCGATTGTACTGAAACCACCACAAAGCATCGGCTTCTAATGTAAGTAAGCATGACTAAAGAAACTTTACAAATAAAACAAACATTCATATGGTAAATGGATGTGATGCTTTAGATCTATTTAACCCAATTGCACAGCAGGGAGCTCCGAAAGCCAAATAAAAACACGAAAAATGCGGAAAGAAAAGAAAGGTGACAATGCCTGGTAAAAGAACGACGAACATGATAACCACATCCAGTTCCCATTATTAACTGCCCAGTCTGAATCAATCAAAAGCCTCTCGAACACATCACGCCCTTGTTCCCAATGTATGAACTGACACGAGAAACATTATGCATATCAGTTGAAATTTACTGAGGAAGAGAGAAGCAAGAATAGTAGAAGATTACCAGGTCCCCACGAGTGAGAAAACAGGCTACACAATGACGCGCTAGATGGTGCATCCAACCCCATTTCCGAAGCTATAAATTCAAATGATTCAAGAATGATGCTTACAAGGAAAGCTAAAGGCATTCACTTTGACTAAAATCTAACCTGAACCATGATGGCATCAATCCAAGGGTAACCTGTCTTACTATCCCTCCAAGCAGCCAACATGTCAGGATCCTCTTTCCATGGAATCTAGGTTGCATATGGAACAAAACATTGGTCCAAAAAGCAATAATAAATCCAAAGGTGAAGGAACTTGATAAGAGAAACCATACTAACGTTGTTATCTATTTACCTGTTTGCAGATCCGGTTTCCCTTCATTTTGTCAAAATTAGGAGTTCCAAATGCAGTGGTGTAGAAAAATTCTCGCCACAGCAACTAAAAAAATATAAGAAAAAAAGGATCAACTTTCCGAAGTCGGGCAGTGTAAGAAAGTGTTAGACATTGACTGACCTGTCCAAGTAGAGAAACTGGCGGCGATGTATGTTTTTTCATATCCTTGTAAATACGTTGAAGGCATTGATAAAAGTACCTCGAAGAAAGGCATCCAAACTTCTCGAAGAAATAGATAGAAATGTAAGCAAAATGGAGGGAAAAGCTTAAGTAGACAGATTATGTTCTGTAACTCACTTTCAAATAAGGTGACAAAACCGTAGTTGCGGGCTTCAAGAATGCAGATGGATCACCCTTTGGTTTCTCAAAGTTTGCAACCCATACCTACACTACAGATAAAACCCACAAAGCATTCATCTTGAGTATGATAGAGAATACATAAATCTCTGAAGTCAATGCACACGTATCAGTTCTAGGATCATGAAGGGAAGACTGCTAATTCTCCAATAGATAGGATTCCTTCAGTCTAAGAAAGTACTCGATCAAACAGTTTGCTCCGATTTTTTTTTTGTTTAAATAAGAGAAAAGCTTCAAGTTCTTGATCGTACCTTATCACTGATTGACTTGGTCAATCGTTTCAAGGCTTCCGATTCACCACCTCTAAAAGGAGTCCATTCAGCCTACAGACATTTACACGAGCATAAGTTTCTAAGATGGAAATAAGTTTAGCTACTTCAAGAAACAAGATCATCTCTTAACTTGTTCATCCTCTCTGTAGCCAAGTTCCTCAAGTGTTGGTACTTCTGAAATGCCAAGTTTTCCAACATCTCCAATAGGAGGAAGTGACGAATAAGACATCACAAGTTCAGATTCAACACATGAAGGCTCGCCGGCAATCTTCAGAAATGACTGATAACTCAAAGGTGGCTTCCCACCATTCTTTACTTGCAAGAAAACACACACATAAATCCTGAATCTTCACAGTCCCGTAGAGGATAATCTAAAATGAACTCAATCAAGATTACGGCATAAGCACTTACTTTCGCAATAATGTCTGAGGGATTGAAAAGAGTATGGCTCACTGGAGAGAAAACCTCAACTCCAGTTGAAGAAGCATAATCCTTTAAGAGACAAAGATCACTTGAGTTAGCTTAAACCTCAATGAGACGCGTCTTCGTAAAGCAATATAAAAACTTTAAAGGCTTAATGAACCGAGGTTTTTACCTTAACTTTAAAATCTAGAGCTTGATAATACGGATCTGTATCATACTCAAAGCAAAGCCTTTTCACCTTCCACTACCCAGATAAAAAATAAAAAAATATTCACCACACAGATGATAAGCATTACAGATTCCTCTATTGCCTCAAGTAAATCAATGTTTTGAAAAAACAAAAAATTTATAGACCTAAACTCTAAGAAAAACACTACATTACCTCTTGCAAGCAACGAACCAGAATTTCGCCAGGTTCACCCTTAAGAACCAGCAACCGCGAACCGAGTTTCTTCAGGCTGGAATCGAGATCCCTGAGACTCTCCAGCAAGAACCGGATCCGGTTTACCCCGGCGCGCGACGAACCGGGAGAGAACGCAGACGGGTCGGACTCCATGTAATGCGGGTCAATCACAAAAACCGGATACAGAAATTGGGAACCCTTGGAGGCGTATTCAAGAGCCGGATTGTCGTGGACCCGAAGCCCTTTCCGGAACCAAATCAGTGAACCGGATCCAGTAGCCATTGATGTTATGGGACTGAGACGATAACTTGAAGGTGAACAGACGGAGAATCGTCTCATGAATTGTCTGATACGTCTCCACTCACGAGTTTTTAGGAGAATTCGCGCCTTCCAAAAGCGCGAGGAATGTGCTTAATTGTAACCTGCGGTTAACAATGCGCTCTTCCCATTTTATGTTTGACTAATATGCGCGGTAATCGACGTATAACGTTAAAATCTCAACGGTTAATAATTACGCCACGTCGTTACTATAGAGGAAGAACATTTCACTGAGGATAACAGTCACACCTTTATATCCGGTAATAGTGAAATTCAGAAAGTACATTTCACATATTTGAGATTTTCAGTCGAATCATATTTTGATCATATGAACCAAGTTTAGTATTTAAGAAAAAACATCTAAACAATAATATTTGATGATAATCACTTGAACTTATAGATCCATTTAAGCATCCATATTTCTGATAGTAACTAATTTAGTGCTATGGATCTTTTTTGGGTAACACCTTGCAGATCAAACGTTACACTTGTCTGAAGTTCCACTAGCGATCCAACAGTCACCGTTATATACTTATATATCTTTTGGTTAAAAAATAATAAAGAAGGTAAACTAATTTACGATCCAACAGTTCTTACGAAACAACAACATCACGCACGATCCACACCGTGGAAACACAAACGACGACGCACAATCAAACGGTTGTTGAGTATCATCGATCGAAAGAGGTTGTTCTTCAACCCAACGGAAAAAAAAAAACAAAAAAACAGACACATTTCTAGTTATTAAATCTAGAACGGAGGATCCATGACCCGATCCAGTTACTCCTTGACCCGAACGGACACGTCAGACGCGAGTCGTGATGCGATCGCAGAATGATACATGACTTCGTGGAATGTGGAAACCTCGGCGATTTTCCTCCGAAGCTGCTTAGCCTTCTCCTCCGTTAGACACCTTCGCATAGACCTCTGCTCAGTTTTCTCCAGATCTGATTCCCGATTCGCGGAGGAGCTGTTGTTCACGTAATCTGGTTCCGACGACCACCCGAAAAGAGGACCCCACCACGAAACCGAGGAAGCGGGTTTCTTCCGGGTCGGATCCGATTTATTGACGGATCCGGGTTCAGAAGATGCTCTGATCGAAGAGAGAGCTGAGCAGGTGATGATTGTAGCCATTGTTAGGTCAAATGCAGAGAGAAAATTTAGAAATGTGATTGATTGAGATAGAAAAAAACTTGTAAAAGACTGTGTATTTGGGGAAGAATAGAAAGATTGTGGATTGATAGTTAAATTTAGATATTTTCGATAGGAATCACCTGATGTTCGGTATGGTTTTTATAGTGTAGGTGCGCAACAGATTGTGTTTGTTTATTTTACCTACGCAAAGGGTAATATCGGAAAGAATGTACAACGTTAATGGCGTTGTGTACCACGATAATTAAGGTGGAGATGAGAGCACTGGATTATTGTATTTCTTTTAGGAGTTGTGGATAAGATTGAAGGCGTGGAGCTGAGCAGCGTTGCCAATTGTGAAATGTCTCCATCTTCACTTTTCGCTTTTATTATAAGTTTTGGATTTTTATCAAAGTGTCAAAATGACGAGGTCAACATCGACGTATATATGTTCATTGGAGGTATTAATTCAATTTTCTTTTCAAGGAAAACGAGAGTATTATAATCAGATATTTCATAAGTTTGGTCTACATATCCGTATATCATGATTCATGAAATGATCGTTGGTGATATCGACTATTTCTCTTCGTCGACAAATTTCCTACTCCTAATCAAAAATGCAATCTTGTTTGTTAAGGCACCTTTTTTTTTTTCTTTTTCCAACCAAAAGAACTATCCGTGTTACTATGTTAGACAAACAAAAAATGGAATTTACATGTACTGATGTACATGATGTGATGATTATTTGCACCGAAGATGAGTTCTTTGTTACGGATGCCTGAATTCATTATTTTTAGCATTCTTAGATAAAAATCCGCCAATCATGTTGACCATTGTTTACTGTTCGCAAGTCATAAGGAAAAAATATTTGGGTTTTAGTGCTAAATTGATTAATTGTAACATATAATTAACTAATTAAGTTTGCTTGACTGGGTTATTTGGGTACCGGTGGTGTACCTATAAACTGATATCCCATAACTAAAAGAAGAGTTGATGATTGGTCATTTTGCTTTAGAGTTTGGTCATTTGCCTTAGAATAATCTAACTGATAAACCTATAAATGCTTTCTTCACACCTCTGAGCAAATGCCCGAACACTCTGAATTTGTATTGTTGTCTTGCATGAGTAAGATTTTGAAGCAAAAAAAAAAAATGGCTGATGCATATCTTAGAATCAAAGGCCAGCAACACTCTTTAGACGCCGCATGCAAGACAACAAAAAAAAAAAATTATAAGCTAAGCAAATTACCTGATCAAAAAGTTCGAAATCTTATACCTTCATTCGACAACCGTGGTCTTTCTTTTGATGGCTCACCTCAAGTGGAAACTTCAACGAAATTTCTCTATATCAACTTTTGGGACTGGTAAGATCATAATTCCTAACTTCATAGTGAGTAACATTATCATAATGTATAATTTTTTGTATTGATTACGAATAAATTTACGGTGAGAACAACAAATCACTAGTGTTTATCAACTATGCTCACTACTACTACTGTTTATCAACAATGCTTGGATGGTGAAGGCAAACACTCTATCTAGACCAGCTAGAGGATTGAGTCGATATATATCCCTATTTTTCTCTTCTATATTTGTTGTTGGAGGCAGTGATGTTCATCGAAGAATTCTTCGTCAGCTACTATTTCTGCTAACCGTTGATAGGTCGACAGTTATCGTTTGCATTTTGCTCAAAGTCTCTATCTTTGTCTCTGGTGAACGTCATATATTTGATTCACACTACTACTCCATATGTATTTTATTTATGATATATAGCTTTCATGTTAACCTTATAATCTCTAACAAAAGGAACCCATAATTAATTCAATCTCAAATGTATATGTATGCAGGGGTAGTTCCACCTTGTACATAGATATAGATTATATATAGAGATCATTTCATATCCGGTATAAATTATGTCTGGATATCTTCACTGAATTTACGTATATAGTTTTTGAATTGTGGATTGTGGATTTAGATGCTGACGTTAGTAACTTGATCGTGCCTATGTAAAGGATTCAGAAACATGTAAATTTATATATTTCCTCATAAATTCTAAATTGCTGCTACATGTACACTTCCTCATAAATTATCAATTTGACACGTGTGTAGTGTGTAGGTTCTCACGTGTGAGTTAATTTCCAGTAAGACTGACCAATTCCAAATTAGACATCTCTCATTTCTCCTCAAGGCCACTAAAAAACGGAGCATCGGTGAAGAGATTCGAACTAGCAAAACAAAAAACGTTTGGGGAGGTTTCGCCAATCCTTAAAGGTGTGACCTGAGATCACGACACAAACAATCTCTACTCGAAGCCCCTTTTGATTCATCACTCATCACCATGTGGAGAAGAATTGTCTCCTCTCACTTGAAAACCCTAGCCGCCGATGTCGCCGCTGCTTCGCCTCGTCGATCGATAGCCACCACCGCGAGACCAGTTGGCTTCTATCTCGCTGCCGATCGATCAGCTATTCCTGCATCTTTTTCCGTCATCCCTCGTCATTTCAGCTCCGAATCAGGTGATAAATCATTGCCATAGTTTTTTCGTTTTCAGATCTCGGCTTTGGATTCTATGTATGTTGGTTTTAATGTTTACGTCTTCGTTAATCCTAAGTTTCTGTGATTTTCTCATCACTAATCTAGAACTTTGTCTACTTAATTATGTCTTTGCGATTTTGTTTTTTCTCTTTGCTATTAAAGCTATGCAAGAGGGTGGTGAATGATTGTTATGACGCTTATACTTTGCAGTGGAGACGCTTGCGAAGAAGAAGGTGGAGGATGTAATGCCCATTGCAACTGGACATGAGAAGGAAGAGCTTGAAGCTGAATTGGAGGTGATTGCTCTTGTTTTCGTCTGTATACATTTTAACATATATGAGTATGACACTCTGATTAAATATGTGCCTTACCGCAACTTCACCTGTGATCTTGTTGTTACCCCTGGATGAATTTCTGGCATTACGATCGAGTATATTTTTTTTGCTTGGTTATACTCTTCAATTGAGGATATATAACTTTGTTGTTTTGTTGTGGCAGGGAAGGAGGCTGCTTGACATTGACTTCCCCGAAGGGCCTTTTGGAACAAAGGTTAGTCTATCTAAATCTTGTCTTATTGTCACACTAAACTCTCTTGTTATTACTTTGGTCATATCTTCGAGAACTTATGTGAACAATGTAATTAGTATTAGTTCCCTGAATGAAGCACTAGGTGGGATTTGAATCATATTTGGGGTTTGATTAGTTCATTAATTCCCGAAGCTGTGTTTTATTTTCCCATGCTTCACTGCCTACTGTGTTTGTGTTCACGATGATGACGAAAATTTGCAGATGTCACATTCAACATGTGCAAGTGTTTGCAGATCATGAAAAATTCATTTCTTGCATTTTTAAGTAATCGTTTTCCGAATTACTGAAATCATATAAGAGTATGTGAATGCTGAATTTTGCATGCTGTATAACACAATTGAGACTTTTGATCTTTTTCATTTTTCTCATGTCATTTTGTCTCGTGTGAACAGCATCCATTCTCGTTTGGCTACCATTTTGATAGCAATTTTGTCATCTTAATACATATCCACTTACCGAACTGTATTACCTTTAGGAAGCTCCTGCTATTGTCAAATCCTACTATGACAAGCGAATTGTGGGATGCCCCGGTGGTGAAGGCGGTAAGTTCACCTCGTCTTCTCTCTTTAATGGCAACATACTCCAAGATTTTGTTGTTGATTGTTGTCTTTATTGAACATTACATACATGTATATAACAAACCAGTGTGCTTATAATCTACAAAATGACTTGTCTGATCTTTATTTCTCCTGGAAAACTGCAGAGGATGAGCACGATGTTGTGTGGTTCTGGCTCGAGAAAGGAAAGTCTTTTGAATGCCCGGTGTGCACTCAGTACTTTGAGGTAAGTTGCTCGTTTCAGATGCTCTAAACGGTAGATAAGTCGAACCGAGTCATCAGACGAATCTGTAAAAGGATTAGAGTAAGACCTCGTCGAGCTTTTTCCAAAATATTGACTCTGTTATAATGTATGTTTTGCAGCTGGAAGTGGTTGGTCCTGGTGGGCCTCCCGATGGTCACGGTGATGAAGATGATGAGCACCACCACTGATTCCGGCCTCTCCCTTGCCGCGAGTTTTACTTTTTGTTTTCACTTTTTCATATATCTTAACATTTTTTTGAGAATAAAACAAATTCCGCAGTTGGTGAAACCGGCTCTAACTGTTATGTTTTGGTTATGAGTATTTTCCCTTTATGTAGAGGAATACCTCCTCATGAAATACTTATCAAAGCACAATGTAATGAATCTCTGTTTTCTCTCTTCTCTCGTCTCTTTTATTCTCATCTCTAGTCTCCTTCTAAGATCAAGATCATATAACCAAAGCCTCAAACTTTTTATATATGAATGGTAGATGGATTGTTAATATACATGTTTGTCATGAGAGCAACAACAAAATGAAAGTTCCTTCATATATGTTAATCAATTATGAAGTGTTATTCCACATTAGAATCTCTATTATTTTTGCTTTTTTTAAGCAAAGGGCCAGAAGAAAGGATCATCGGTGAAGACTGAAAAGAAGAAAAGAAAAAAACGCTTGGGGGTTCGCTTATCCTTCTTCACGGTGTGACCTGAGAATAAGATCACGACACCGAACAATCTCTACTCGAAGCCTCATCTTTCATCATCATGTGGAGAAGAATCGTCTCCTCTCATCTCAAAACCCTAGCCTCCGATGTCGCCGCTGCTTCGCCTCGTCGATCGGTAGCCGCCACCGCGAGGCCCGTTGGCTTCTATCTATCTGCAAATCGATCAGCCATTTCTGCTTCTTCTTCCGTTATCCCGCGCCATTTCAGCTCCGAAGCAGGTGATAGATCATTGTTAAAGTTTTTCTTATTGCTTGTTTTCAGATCTCGGCTTGGGACTCCATTTTGCAGTGGATTTTGATTCGAGTCTCGCTCTATAATCTTAGGTCGCTATTAATCCAAGTTTCTGATATAGGATTCTAAGTACTCATTTCGTTGTTAATCCTCTCTGCAATTTTCGTTTTCTTTTCCTTTAAGGGGTTAATGAATGTTATTACGCTTGTACTTTGCAGCAGAGACGCTTGCGAAGAAGAAGGTGGAAGATGTAATGCCCATTGCAACTGGACATGAAAAGGAAGAGCTTGAAGCTGAATTGGAGGTGATTGCTCTTGTTTTCGTCTGTATACATTTTAAGATCTGAGTATGATACAAATGTGTTTTAATTAAATTCCACTTTTGATAATGACTCCGACATAACAATCTTTCTGCTTGATGATACACTCATTTTGACCTTGTCATTGTTTTCTTGGGATAGGGGAGGAGGCTTCTTGACATTGACTTCCCTGAAGGTCCTTTTGGAACGAAGGTTAGTTTAGTTTCTATTACCTGAGATATGTCGTAACCCGCACTTTGAATATCTTAACCTTATTTTCACTGCAAAGTTTTACACCCCATTAGTGTTTCTAGGCATTGTATGGAGTTTACGTTCATCACTAGAACTCGTATTACATCTGAAACTAATAAAGCACACCTCACTTAACGTAAGTATGATGAATGGCTTTATAAGCCCAATTTAAATTTAGCCGTTTCACTGACCTCAAATATCAAGATCCGAAATCCTGAGACTTATTTCTCATCCAAATTAGATTGTCAACGCGTGCCTTTGTTTTGGTCCGTATTATTTCACTTATGACTGCTTTAGCATGCAACACTCACTTTTGTTATGTCTATTTGGAACTTGTTTGATTGTCACATTCAGCTTTCTTCCTATTTTCTCTGGTCATTTTTTAAGAAATATGTGAATAATGTAATTAATATTAGTTTCCCTGAATGAGGCAGTAGCTTGGATTTGGATCATGTATGGGATTTCGATGGTTCATTCAACAAGTCTTTAAGATGTGGTTGTTAGTTTACCATGGTCCAATGCCCATGATGCTTATGTTCATGATGATGACGAAAATTTGCAGATGTCACATACAATATGGATCATGGAAAATTAGTTCTTTAAAAAAATTCTCGGAATAACTGAAATCATATAGGGGTGTATGACTGGTGAATTCCGCATGCTGTATAACTGTGTCATTGAGACATTTGATGTTTTTAGTTTCTTTTGGCTACCAATGGATGCTTTAAACAATTTTGTCGTCTTCTTGATACATCTCCATCTATCATTCGTATTACCTTAGGAAGCTCCTGCTATTGTGAAATCCTACTACGACAAGCGAATTGTAGGATGCCCTGGTGGTGAAGGCGGTAAGTTCATCCCTTCTTCACTCTTTAATGGCACATACTCATAAGATTTTTTTATCTTGCAAGAATCCAATGGTATAAGATTGTTTTCATCGTTATAAATTCGTTTGACCCATATATTTACCATGGATTGGTCTGATCTGCTGCAGAGGATGAACACGATGTTGTGTGGTTCTGGCTCGAGAAAGGAAAGCATTTTGAATGCCCGGTTTGCACTCAGTACTTTGAGGTAAAGTTAAACTCGTATCAGATGCTCTAAATGGTAAAATAAAAAAATAGTCATTGGTCAGACAAATCTGTAAAAGGATTAGAGCAAGACATCGTTGAGCTTTCCAAATATTGAATTGGTTAAACTGTATGTTTTGCAGCTGGAAGTGGTTGGTCCTGGTGGGCCTCCCGATGGTCACGGTGATGAAGACGATGAGCACCACCATTGAGTCCGGCCTTTCCCTTGCCGCGAGATTTCCTTTTCATTTTCACTTTCTTAAAATATTTTTAGAATTTTTTTATGAATTGGTTTGGAATAATAAAAAATATATATGCCGCTGGTGAAAACAAACAGTTGAAAAATAATTTTGATCCTTTAAGAAGATTAAGACTCGGTATCTGAGTTTCCAAGTGCCAAAAGGCCCAAAACTCTCACGACCGTTGTTTTTTGTTTTTGTCTTTTGTAACAACTCTTGAATCAGAATCATTCTTGCCTTTTGCTTATTATAGGTTTTCACCTTTTAAGTCCTCCATGGGTTCGATGTCTTTTCATATTGGACGTTTTGATCATGTCCCTGATTCCTTGTGAACGGCCATATAATTCACAATATATTATCGATAAATCGAGTTTCTTTCAACCTTGTTCATTAATTGGTTTAACACTCACTAATTACTCATACAATGCATCTGCATTTTACTTTCCTCCCATCTTTTTTTAATATATACAAGAACCAAGAACGGTGTGGTTAACATCAAGGCCGCTATTATTCCCTCGCGATGCAGCTGTATTTCGACTTTTTCTTAACGTTTTCTTCTTAAATTATATTCTCAAAGACTATAAACTTGAGGCCAAATTAAGTTAACTTGATTTATCGAAAATGAAACTGTGCAGAATGTACATATCCCAAAGTTGCGTCAGCTACTCAGCTCTTATTTATATCATATGTTCACAATGAAAAGACCAAGCAGAAACAAAAATAGTAGTATATATATATCATATATATATATATATATATCTATATCTTCTTTAAATAACCAACCACCGTGTGTAACCAAAGCAAAGCCTAACAAGCTATAAATTAGAAAAATACAAAGACAATCAAAGGACAGTGTTTTCGGAAAATGCCCGAGGAATATATTCCCAAAAAAATTCTCAAAAGGTCTAAGTTAACAAAGAAAAAACGAAAAAGAAACAAACTATCAAGAAAAGGAACGTCGGAGTTTAATATTCCATTTCTACTTAAGACAAATCACCAAATAAAATAGTTATTCTCTAATGTTCGACACAGCTTGCCCTCATAACGAACCTTCTCGTGTTCAGACATGCATTATGCATACACATATACATATGTTTAATGTTTTTGTTTGTTATCTATAAATCAGTGTTTCTTAGTGAAATTAGATAAGTAATAGGTAGAAATCATATTATGCCTTAGGTAAATGTTACGATTTTACACCCTTTCTAGTTAGGTGCTTTTAACAGATTGATTAGTAAACTAAACATGTATATTGTTAGCTGACTAAGATCAGGCGATGGAAGGAACATGCGCTGCTCTGTATGGGCATGACGTTTATACACGTCTTTAATATTCCTTTTATCTTTATATTCATCGTCTATATTCATTATTCATACTTATATTACAGCACATCTTTATATGTACAATTCTAAAATTAAGTTGAAAATATATTTACCCCAAAAAAAAATTAAAAATATTTTTGTTAGATGCATTGGTTGTAGCCATATGGATGTAAGACTAACGTGTTGTATATGATAAATTATTATTTTTACCATGTTATGGTTTTGATAATAATGTAATATACGGAAAACAAGTAAATAAAAAGAGTATTGCCAAAACTATCATTTTTAGTTTGTACTCTATATTGTAAATATCATAATTTTTAATAGTACACATTATAATTTTAGTGGTAATTTTGAAAATTAAAACATAAATTTACCGAGTATTTTTAACATCAATTGGACTCAAAGTATTAGTTAATGCTAGTCTTGATTAAACCATCTTTTTGTTTTTGGGTCAAAAGTCTTGATTAAACCATCTAGTGCTGAAAATTTATGCATAGTATTTGCAGATATAATTACACGATCGTAACAATATCAAATGCCACTTGTCCCCGGTTAAAGGATTATAAGACTTGTAAATTGCTTGCAAAAGATAAATGCAATATGATTAATTTATGTGAAATACTTTATCCTCATGATTAAACATATCAATATTGTCTTATGATAAGATCACTCTTATCCATACAGCGAGCTACGGGAATTTCATCCTTCACTCCTTCAACTGTTTTTTTTGGGTTAAAGCCTTCACTCCTTTCACTTGCTATACCCAATTTTATCAAATAGTTTATATTATATATATTAACATATCAAAAGTGAACAGAACAATTATAAATCTGATTATGAACTTATGATGTGTATCATGTGTAGTAAGTAGTCACATACGAATGTACACATACTATATACACACACAGAGTAAAAATCTATGCAATCTATATGTGTATACAAAGTAAGGCATCTCGTATCTTGTTTTATGCAAAACGATACCCTTCTTTGCGAGTAGTGTATTCATCATTTCAGTTTATATATTAGGAAGAATAAAAAATATGTTGACATTGTTTGTTCGTCTCTAAATGGCTCCCTTAAATTAATTATGCATAGACATGTACTATCACTGATCGCATATAAACCTTAAATTTATATAAAAAACGGCATGAATGGTCCTTTCCTGTCGATCTGCTCGAAAATAATAATTAATATTTGTATTGCTTTTAAACAAAAAATGTATTATTTATATTGGTACGAAACAAGTTATATAATAAGTAAAGTAAGGCTGTTTATCAGCAAACATGCTCTTTACAAATGAAAACAAATAAGGTCCTTTTTTGGTCGGCAGAAAAAGAGTTAAAAAATAAGTTTTAGAGTATATATTCTATAATCGATGGGATTTGTAGTATTAAAAATGCATTAACTTTTATGGATATTAATATCCTTTTATTATATGAACGAACGCTATGTATACTCTTCCCTATACTTTTTGTAATACAAAAATGTTCAAAGTATCAAAAGTAGTGCTGGAAGCATCCATTGTCTTGTTTTATGTCAATTGATAAGAAAATCTAAGTGCAAATATGTTTATAATCATCTTTTTTTTATATAAATTGGGTTGACTATTCACGACACCAATTGAATTTGTTTTCTTAATGACAATGGTGGGTCACTAGAAGAGTTGACTAACCAAAAGCTAAAACAAGTTTAAAAAAAATCGCAAAAAGTGGTTGATCTTTGTTAAAAGTTATGTAATATGATGCCGTCATTACTAAGAAAAATGTCAACAACAATTTTTTTTTTTTTTGTATTGTCGAGGATATGGAGTTCTTAGCAAATCTATAAATACTTACGATTTTTGTTCATTCTATGTTTGTCACAGGTAAATTATTTTTAGCTGTTTACCTAATAAAATACTTGGGTGCACCATATTGGAAATCTGACATTTAAATCTTAGAAAAAATATCATATATGATATATGATAATCGGTCACAAATTAAATTTAAAAAATATAAATAGTTTTTTGATAAAAAAAACAGGACCAATTAGTTCAGTGGTAATACTTTAAACCTTTCACGAAAGATAATTACTAATCATTCCATAAAATCTATAAAGATATTTGTGTTAGAAATAGAAATGCAGACAAAAGGCAATTATTACGCTTATGATACGTGACGTATTCATGTAACCATGTCCATTGTTCAGTGTTCACTTATCAGAATTTTTTGTTTCCATTTTTTCTTTGGTTTTAACATGTTTTGTTTATTTTTTTCTTTTTGCTATATACTTTTTAAAAACATGTTAAATTGTTAACGGGGATTTTCATTTCAATATATAAGGTCGTAACTCGTAATTAGGATAGGAATAGGATCCGTTACAGTGGCTTAAAATGTATGGGTATCTTACATGAAAACTAAAATTTGAGTGAAGGGGGTTTTAAATCATGAAAGTTTCATTGCGCCTCAGACAATCATGAAAGTTTCGTTGCTCAGACCCATTCCGATTTTATATCCTCATGTAGGTCACTCCCACTAAAGTTCTTTCTCTTTATAATTTTCATTTAGTAATAACGTATAGATAGCAATTAACTTACCCAACCCAAAATAGAATTACACGTGTGTAAAATATATGTTTTAATCGATGTTCAACCCATGAAAATATATGTTTTAATCGATGTTCAACCCATGAATACTCCAGTGATTGGAAAACTAAATAGAAGTATTAGGGTCTAAATAATTTAAGTGGACCAAACGTACTAAACATAGAAAATGTAAATATGTAGAACAAAACAACTACATTAATGCATAACTAAAGAAATGGACTGAAGAAAGTCTCTTAGCACAATAGTAGTATAACATTTTATCGTGGATGTGTGACAAATCCATATTAAAACCCGCATAAAATATATAGTTAACACACTAACAAAACAAATTGTCAAAAGAAAAAACTTGTTAACAAAAAAAAAAAATATATACTTGATTAAAGATTTTTTTTTTGCCAACTAGCAACCAACAAATAAAGTATCAGATGTCATATAACGAAATACTTTTTTAATGTATTCACTAAATAATAAAACTTAATTAAGTATGCACAATATATAAATAAACATATTTTGCAATTCTTTTTTTTGTCATATCTGTTGCTACTAGATTTGGATTATGACATAATGGCAAAACTACAGTATATTCACAACAAAATCTTATTTCCTTTTTGATATATAGTAAGAAAAAAATGACTGTAGGTGAAATTAGTGGGGTTGATAACGTCAGCCAATTTGGTGGGCAAAACGCAACAGCAACAAACAAGAGAGTAATGAAAGAAGGCGTTGAAGAAGATGAGAAAAAAAGATCAGAGGCTTTTTTGGTTTATTGCTTTCCCCACATGAAATCCAGGTTGGTCACTGATGTTTCCTACTTATCATCATTACACTCAGTGCTTTCAGATTTCACAAATCCAAGAACCCTAAAAAAAACCTTAAATGTAATCTCTTTGTCCACTGTATAATGCACCCCCAATCAAATTCCCCAAATTTTAATCCTTTTGCTCGGAGAAAGTTTCAGACTTTTAAGCTTTCTGGTTAATGGGTATCCATCCATCAATCTCACTTTCTTTCTTTTTTTCATTAAACAAATGATTGAACGAGGAGATTTTTCCCTTTCCTTCTTCTTTTTCAATTTTGGATTATGCCCTCGTGTTTCTAGTAATATACCTGTGTTATATATATATAGAATTAATATTCTTTTACGCGCAACAGTTTATTTTCCTCCACTGCCCACAAGGCATTGATTCTCTCCCTCTCTCTCTCTCCTCTGTGTATTTTCGCCGCTAGCTCTGCTCTGGTTTTGATTTTGATTCCTTGTGTTCCCAAAACGATTTATTTATTTTGTTTTTAATATAAAGGAAAAGAAAGAAAAGAAATTGATTTCCTTTTTTCCATTTCCATGGATGCCTTCTCTTAGTAGCAGGTTTTGTGTAGCTGGTGTACACATTTAACATCCCATAGTGAATGATTCAGATTCACATCTCTTTTCTTTTATTCCATCTCCTCTCAACATCAACCTCATATTTTGCTCTATAAATACACATTTCCCCTCCCTTACATTCTCTTATATTTTCCGTCATTCGAAAACTATCTACCAAATCACAGCAAAGTCTTCAAAATTGTAGTGAAAAAGATCCATTGAACAACAATGAGTTACTCTCATCAAAGCATGGGTTCTGGTTTGTTTCTACTTCTTGTTTGCTCTTTGTTATATTGTCTTAAATGGTTTGGTGTTGAGTTATGAAGCGTGTTACTAAGTGCTTGCAACTCTGTTATGTGATTACTCTGCTTGAATATGTTTCTGGCAAAACCTTTGTAGGTAGTAGAAGTGCAAGGGGCTACGAGTTTGGAAGGACTTATGTTGTCAGGCCTAAAGGAAAGCACCAAGCTACTATTGTTTGGTTGCACGGTCTTGGAGACAATGGCTCCAGGTAATAAAAATACTCTCTCTTGCCTTGTATTTATGATCAATGCCCATTTCTTGAGTCAAGTGATAAAGAACGGTCTATGCTTCAAAGCTTAAACTCATGCTTGTCAAAACAATGCCCAAATCACTTAAAAGATGCCAAAACTATCTGTTCCTGAGACAAAAGTTCACATTTTCCCCTGTTAGTTGAGCAATCTAAGTATAAATGTGTCCTGAAAAGTTTTAACTTTTTTTATTTAGAAAGTCGAATTTTGGTATGTTCTCTGGTTAAGAAATTCTCACTTTGTCTATGTTCTCTCTGCAGCTCATCTCAGCTCTTGGAGAGCCTGCCTCTTCCAAACGTAAGGATCCATAAAAACAACCATTTTGAAGTAATTTTCTGTATTACTAAACTCTCATTGAAGGGTTTCTGATAAAAGATGTATGCTATGAACAGATAAAATGGATTTGTCCAACTGCTCCTTCCCGTCCTGTTTCGCTTCTGGGTGGATTCCCCTGCACTGCCTGTAAGCTCATTCGGCTTCTAGGCTTGTCTAGACTTCACGAAAACATACTTTCAAAGCCATTGCTGAACAATTAAAAAAACCAACCTTTATGCTTTTCTCAGGGTTTGACGTGGGTGAAATTTCTGAGAATCTTCATGATGATGTCGAAGGCTTAGATGCTTCAGCTGCACATATTGCTAACCTCTTGTCTGCCGAACCAAGAGATGGTAAGTCAGTCAAAAGTTGTAGTTATCTTCATGCCTCTTTCACCGCCCTCGATACTATCCATCACAGTCTCCAGCTTAACCTGCAAATGCTCTTTGTGGTTTGGTTCAGTCAAAGTTGGGATTGGAGGTTTCAGTATGGGTGCAGCGATAGCTCTCTATTCCACGACGTGCTGCGCTCTTGGACGTTATGGAAACGGACATCCTTATACTATAAACCTACGAGCTACAGTAGGACTTAGTGGTTGGCTTCCTGGTTGGAGGTATAAATATATTTCTTCAACCCTTTGCATGTCTTTAGTTAACATAGAGGCTAAGTATTGAAAATGTGAAATTAACATTGCAGGAGCTTGAGGAGCAAAATAGAAAGTTCGAATGAGGCTACAAGGCGTGCTGCATCAATACCAGTTATACTTGCACATGGAACTTGTATGTGTATTCTGTAATATAAAGTCCGATTTACTGTTTCAAGATAACTGTCAGTAGAATCTGATTTTTCTCTCTTGATATGTTCTTTGGTTGCAGCGGATGATGTAGTTCCTTACATATTTGGAGAAAAATCAGCGCATTCACTTGCCTTGGCTGGATTCCGACAAGTTATGTTCAAACCATATGAAGGGTAAATGTTAACTTATACCAAAGTTATCAGTCTAATTTGCTTTATTGTTGTGGTCTGAGATTTTAAGGTTTATTGTCACTGTCTAGGCTTGGTCACTACACGGTACCTAAAGAAATGGAAGAGGTCGTTCACTGGCTCGCCTCAAGGCTTGGTCTCGAGGGCTCGCGTTAAACTCCAAAAGCATCTAAGCATCTATAGCTATTTATACATGGTGTAGAATATATATATAAATAATAATATAAATATAATGGGTGGGTTTCTTGAGGTATACGGTATTTCATGTTTCTACTGTTTTGATATTATTTTTTATTTTGTGCTCTTTGATTCTTGATTATGAATAAATAAAAATAAAGGCCACTTATGCATTCTTCTAAATATACCAAGTTTCGTTCAATACCAAATCCAAAGATTTTGAGTTTCTTGAGACATTATTGCCGTACATCAAAAGACATTCTTATAAAAAGAGAACAAAAAACAAAATAACTTCATTCAGCAGTCAGCACAGCCTCGTTTAATCTCTCGTTGTTTATTGAGACTTTTGGTTTCCAGAGACGTCTTTAAGCTTCTCCTCCAATTCACCTTCCTGGAATTGTAAAAGGGAATTGGGATCATAAGCCAACAAAATGGAAAAACAAGAAGAAAAACAGTATGTTCCTGGTGAAACTAACCTTGTGCATGTTGAGAATGATGTCTGAGCCGCCAATGAACTCGCCCTTGATGAAGATCTGTGGAAACGTAGGCCAATGGCTGCAAAGAAGAAGGTTTCGTGAATCAAATGAAAGACCAATGAGGAAATATTTTAGTCAGAGAAGCGCCTAGAACAGATAATTTCCCATCTCACTGTATACAAACATTTAAGGAAGGCAGAAGAGACCAAGAAGGTGACCCTCAATTGTTAGAACAAATAAAGGCAAACAATTTTAGGAGTGAGATTATGCAGCCCTCTCTATGAAACATATTTATTGCGTACTCACCTGAAGGATTTCACAGCGTTTTTCAACTCTTGGTCTTCTAGAATGTTTCTAGCACTGATGGGAACATCTGAAGAAGAGAGCATCACAAAAAAACAAAAAAAGAATCATTACATTCAAGAGTTTTAAACAAGGGGATGGCTAATGGCTTCAACTTCAATCTACACAAGTACATCAAAACTTACTATATTGTTGCAAAACTCTTACGGCTAGTGAGCTAAACCCACACTGAGGAGATTCAGGGACTCCTTTCATGTAGATCATAACAGGATTATCCTTCACATCCTACACAGCCCAAGCTAAATAGCATAAACAAAAAAAACTAACCAGATGCAGAATCAAATAAATGCACAAAACATCAACTTGAAATCTAAAAGCTGGAGTTCACATACATTCTCAACGATATCCTTGAGTGAGTCCGTCGAACCAGAAGGCACTTTTTGGGTAGGCTTGAAATCATCATGCGTGTCTGAATCACTGGGAACTGTAGAGGAGTATCTCATCATCCCATTTTGGTAGACTGATGCAGATACCTATAAAACAGGAAAAATCACATCACAAAACCATTAATTCTCTTCGTAAAATTCAACTGTCGTGATCACCAAACCATGCTCTATTGAAAAACCAATTCGATTTTCCCAAAACAAAAAAAAACTAAAACATGCAACAAACGAACATCAAGTCCCCAATCTCGTACATGAGAAGCCAAATGATACAAATGGCGTTTACAAGAGGAAAAAGAAACCATTTTTCAAGTGATTCTTAATAAGAAAAGAGAAAACTGAATGAGCAGATCAAACAAAGAGTTTTGAGAGTAAACTAACCAATCTGCTGGAACGAACAGCCTGGAGGCTGGCGATTCCCTTCAGAAATCTGCTCGACAAAGCAGCCGCCATCTCCAAAATCACACAGATTTATCCAATCCACAACGAAAGTTCCGAGATTTTAATCTACCTGTCAAGAAAATTTGAAGCAGGGGAAAGGGAAAAGTCAGAGAGGATGCAATGATTTCGTCTCCAAAAACCAAGCAAGTGAATTCACCAAAATTTCAGAGATTTTGAAGGAGCAAAAGGAAGAAGAACCGTGGCTAGTAATACTTTCGTGAAGGAAGAAACATGACTACCTGCTGGAAAATGGGAAATTGCAGCTAAGAACGGAGCAGAAAAATATCAGTTCGTAGCTCACAAAAATAATCACTACACCGTCTCTAAAGATCTTAACAATGTCACGACCGCTTCTTCTCTTCCTCAAGTCGCCGACCCAAAAACGACGTCGTGTCATAACCCTAAGATGTTATACGGTGTCGTTTGTGTTTGTCACTGAAAGCGTGAGCGTCGTCCGTTGACTTCTTGTTTTCTGGTTCGGTTTTGTCCGGTTGAGATAGTAATTTATTATCTAATACGGCAAATTCATTCAAAAACAGAAAACACGAACCAAAAGATCTGTTGTAAACAATAATCTTATCGAGTTCAAAATCCTTATCAAAGATTAATGTAGAATACGAAATTGGGGAAAATGTTTTGTTTCATCTTTTTTTAATTTAGTCATCCAGTTATTTATCTGTCTTTGCAAGTAAAAAAGAAAAATAACATCCATTTTTAGGGAGAATTACAAAAACTAGCAGGTCATATAAATCAACTGCATGATATGTTGTTGAATTCTATAAGATTAGTAGAACTAATTCGGTTTAAACAGGTACACTGATTAAAATCCATTTTATAACGTAGACCGTGGTATGAAATTAATAGCTGTTTATTATAGCAATAGTACAAATTGGACGACACAAATGTTGTAACGGGATCGAATCTAAACTTATTGACGCTGGAAATTAGAAGTCTCCAGGATCACCGTTACAACAAAAGAAACACAATCACAAAGACACAAACACAGCGGAAATTACAAACACAAGAACACAGAAATGCAAAAGACCGAACAAACATTATTATAGAAACAAAAGATAGAGACATTCATTCATAGCTCTCTTCTTTATTCTCACTTCCTCTGATAAGTCTGATGAGTCGTATCAGTGGTCCGAGTAGTACCAGTAGTGGTAGTGCCTGGAAAATGTTCTCTGTCTTCTTCCTCCGTAGCCATACCAAAAGTATGCTTCACCGCATCAGCTGCACCCATAGCCATTTGCTTCACATGCTCACCGGTCTGGCTCAAGAACCCGCCCGTCTTGTCCCTACCGGCTTCAGCCGTCTCCTTAGTGTACTGAGCAGCGTCTTGAGCCTTTTGCTTGATGGCTTCTCCTGTCTCCGACATGTAGCTCCCGGTCTTGTCCTTGGACTCACGGGCTTTGTCTTGGGCCGTCTGGGCAGCTTGAGATGTCTTTTCTTTTGCTGCCTGTGTTGTTTCCTGGGCCTTTTGTTGGGCTGTTTGGGCAGTTTGAGATGACTTTTCTTTTGCTGCCTGTGCTGTTTCCTGGGCCTTTTGTTGAGCCGTTTGAGCCGTTTGAGAAGTCTTGTCTTTCGCTGACTGTGCCGTCTCATGGGCCTTTTGTTGGGCTGTTTGGGCAGTTTGAGAAGTCTTGTCCCTGCCTTCCTCAGCCTTGTCCCTCATCGCTCCCATAGCTTGTCCAGTCTTCTCCTGTTATTACGCAGCCAAAATCATCTTAAAAAGTACTGGAAATAAAATGAGGTTTACATATATATATGAATAGATAGATATAGAGATATTCTTATTACCTGAGTCTTGCCTCTGGTTTCACCAGCTTTGTAGCTTTGTTGGTTCGACGCCATTTTTTCTTTCTTTTCGAATGCGTAAGATATGAAACGACAATTAAAGCTTTTTTTTTCTGTGAAAGTATTTGTTGCTGTGTGTATTGTTTCACCCAAACCATCGGGACATTTGTAGTGTGTCTTGGTCGGTTGGAGAACAGGACACGTGTTACCGTAAGAGATACGTGTATAGCTGCGTGGTGTGCTGAGATTAAAACCCAATTAAAATTAGGAGGAGTATGGGGTGTTGTACTTTGCGAGTGTTATTATTATGCGGTATCTCGATGTTGTGCGTGTTGTCCTCTGTGGTTGCGACACGTCATGGTTAATTGGAAGATGCTTGTTACGTGGCAACACCGTAAGTGTCATCGCCGCATGCTATGGCTATATTCAATTTTGTTCATTTGTATCGGTCATTACTGCATGCATGTTCCGTGACCATGTCAACCATCACCTACATTCATATACTACAATTAAATTACCAGTGTGATGAAATCGAGATTAATATTTATATAAGTACAATTAAATTACCACTGTGATGAAATCAAAGATTAATATATACTACAGTACTAAGTATTCACCGAAAACGAGTAACTTCGAGGTTATTCCTTGAACTTCGAACTAACCTCCACACATAATTAGCCTTGTTAGATGTGTAACAATTAGCCAATAATATACTTGCCACGTTTGAATCTGAAATGGCACCAAAACGTGACGGCAAAAAAATAGATGAAATTTTTGAACAATGTATCAAACAAAAAAATGAACCAGCATGGATCGGTAAAATCAGGATCACAGTTACAGGCAGCCTAGCTTGAACGATCTCAACCCACTAATGTTCTCCAATATTTTATTTTTCATATTTTTATTGTTCGATTCTCTTTCTTATCTTATTGTTTTGTCTTACAACCATTCTTTAGATATTAATTACCCAAAAGCATAATAAAATTTTATGGTTTAATATATACGTTAAAATGAAGACATTTTTCAGTTATTCCTTTTTTGTATTGAACTTATTTTACGGGAAAATACTCAATATTAATCTAGATCCGATATCTTCTACTTTCACTTTGATTAGTTATATAATATAATTCTCATGCAAAATGTTTTGAAATGAAACGGGAACATTAGAACAAATGAACAAGGGGTACTGCCCCAACTGCGAAGAGCTCTCTTGTGACAAACGCCGACAAGACCTAGCTCCGGTGCCATCCCACTTACATGTTTAAGGTATATATATATATATATATAGATATTAGTCGTAAATTCGTAATATATATACATATTTTGTAAATTTTATTATGGACTTAGGAGTATTCTTGAGCGTTTGAGACCATAAAAAGAAAGGTTTTATTATGGAATATGGAGAGTATTCTTAATAATAATTAAACTAAAAAGAAGTAAATGTTAATTTTGTAAATTAGAAAAATAAAAGTAAAAATGAAAGAGGGTGGAGAGGTGATGCATGGATGGGAGTCCCAAAGAGAATCGAATCAGCTCAGTTCCTTTTTGTTTTTGGTTCGTTGCCCACTTTACCCTTCTCCAAGAGAATGGACTCCAGATATTAGCAGTTTCCCCCTCTTTTATCTGCTTAATCATAATAGAAAAATTATTTATATTTGGAACATTGTCAATTTTATCTTTTTTTTCTTATGTAATTCTAAAAATCTGGGAATAAACAGCAAGAGAAATAAAGGAAAATTAAAGTGAGAAATAAAGGAAAAGATGGTCAAAACGAAAACATCGAAGAATTATTCCGTCACCATCACCCAAATTTATCTTTATTGAAACTCTCTATTTTGCCTCATCCCTTTTGATTTTCCCTTTATCTTTTCTTTTCCCCTCTTTTTATGTTTTTTTGACCCATAATCATAATAGGCTCATTTTTTTAACATTATCATATTTGTATGGTTTTCTCATTTCTATCCCATCCACGCATTTGTACATATTTTCTTGTTTATACCATTTTGAACTTAATCGTATGAAAATATTCTTTACAACTCTTACAAAAAAACTATATTTCTTTTAATTATGCTGTATATGTACAACTTATCGTGAGAGATTATGAGTTAGATTAAAATTTTAATTTAATATTAAAATTTTTAGAAAATTAGTCATTAAGCTTAATCGATATTTTATTAGATACATAATATTTTAATTTTCTTATACCAATGTTTTTATTAACAGATGAATGCTTACAAATCTAATTAATTTTAAAGAAAAGAATATAAAAAACGAATTTATTCAACATATTTATAGATAAGTTTATTTGATAACAAATTAAATATTTAATTCATGCTCGATCAAAAAATGATACAAAATGTCGTTGTTTCAATATTATAAATAAGATTGGGAACACTCTATACTCAAATAAAAAACTTGTAACATTATTAAGAAAATGTTTAACACTAAACCCTTACCCTAAAAAAAACAAAAAAGAGAATGTAAAACACAAATTGTTTTTTTTTGGACCACCTCAGACATATAAATCGACGTAATTAATAGTTTTCAATTAGATTCCCTTAAAAGTATTACATACTCGAAGTAGAACATGTAACAACAAAGCAAGAGTGCAAGCTAGAAACCCAAAATTCTAAATGGCAAATCTTAACATCCCATGCAAGTACTTATCAAAATCCATCAGATTGATCATTCTTTTGGAAGTTTTCAACTATTATTACGTTGCCGCTAAGCAAAGGAGAACTCGTATTATAATTTTTTTATAAAAAGAAAAGAAGAGCAAAAAATACTGAATATTCAAAATTCAAAAGTAATATAGATTTTTATTCGTGTCTCGGATGTCGATTCAGTTGCCTCCTTAAAGTATAAATGAAAGAGACTTACCATAATATAATTGAGAGATTAAGCCACCTTTTTCTATATCAACCAAAAGCTTATACCACGTACAAGATACCGAATCGATTCTCTATTCAACATCTCTTTATATGTACACCTTTATCTAAATTCATTTATCAAATTTTTTCTTTAGATTTTCTTTCTAATTGAGACCCTAGAGTTTGAACCTATTACAACTCACACGGCCTACACGTTGAGAAATATATGTATGAACATTTATAGTTTTTTGCCTGACCTCAGTATATATATATTTTTAGGCGAGAAATTTGAAATACATGGCTTATAATGATATTATATAGTAATATAGATTTATATTTATAGCAACCTATCGCAGCATAGAGTACTTCGTAATAGTACTTTTACATTGAAAACGTAAGATCTAAGACGAATATATAATGAATTAAAACTTACTGTTAATTTCAAATCAGTTGTAAAATCAAACTATGCGCGACGTCTAATACTTATAAAATTAAGGATACCATCCAAAAACGGTCTTCGGCAACTACTTCTCTGCTTTCTTCGCTATCTACCATCGTTAATATCTACCAAAATATGTTAACAAGTTTCATTATAGAGAAAAGTTGAGTCTCGTTAGTTGTTACTATAGTACCATGTTAAAAACATGAAAAATATGAAGTATTTTATAGATTTTGTTCTTTATATTTTACAGCTTAACCTGCTTAGCTTATATATACTGATATATATATATATATATATATATATATATATGTGTGTTACAATAACAAATGTTGCTACTTCTGTCAACATTAATGTGTATTTAATTAAAAAATTGTGATAGGTGATAGCATTAAGCAAGGTCGCCTAGCTAGCTACTAGCTATTTAAACTAAAAATCTACTATTGTTCATTAATAACTAATGATGAGCTTCCTTGCTGTTGAAGCATATAATCATAAATATATAACATATATTTATGAATTGCACTAGAGATAGAGGGTCCAAAAAGTTACGAGTCAAAGAACTTTTGTGTAGAGGAAGAGGTTAACAAGATCTATTCTTTTAGTTGGGTGTGGGCTCCTTAAGTTGTTTGTTGGCTTCTTGTCACTCTTAGATTACTTAAAATTACATCATGCTTTGACCCAAGATTCTTACCAAAGTACTTTTATTTTATGATTGAGTATTATTATATCAAAATTCAAACTAAAACTTAAATTCAGAACTGTTCTATAAAAAATGAAGTGACCAAGAGACAATCTAAAAAATGAGCGAGAAGTGACTAAAAACAACATGCCGAGTGAAAATCAAATTGTCTAGTTTATCTTTGACTATATGTATAGTTTTGCATAAACGAAATTTAATTTTAATATATACATAGTACTAGCTGACAAAAGGAAAAACATATTGCTATATTAGGTTGAAATTTAAATTTATTATTTCTTTTTAACCACGGGATTAAATTTCTTAATACGAACTACGACGTCCTTTGTGAACAAGTAATTAAACTGAGTTATATGTCGTAAAAAAAAAAAAAAAAAGAGAGCTACACCTGCATGTATTAATCTAAAGATTTCAACATACAACAAACACTCAGAGCCAGAGCTATGCCCAGGCAAAGCATTTATCCATATTTTAAAAATTCAAGGCTTGGGAATCTCAGCCGAAATTATTCACTTAATTTATTTATATATTCTCGTTTTTTTTTTGTTGCTCTTCTTTTGCGAAAGTTTACAACTGAGGTGAAGAAAACGAAAAAGTCACTATTTATTAGTTTTTTTTTTCCCCGAGACACCAGTTGATCTTCTCTGTTCTATTTAAGCACATCCTCTTCACATCACTCTTTCAAAGCTTCATGACTTGTTGTCTTTCACTAAACACATAATCACATCTCTTCCAAGTTCATCAAGGTCAGTCTCTTATAGTTTGTTATTATTCGTAACTATTTGATTAAATCAATTAATATATTCACATCTCTTTCAACAAAAATATATAGCTAGTCACAACCAACTGGCAAATAAAATATATGTCTTACTATAGCCGATGAATATAATAAAATGAGTAATCTTCAAAACTATAATAAGTACATATGAGTATATATATATATATATCCACTTTTATTTCTAACATAAATATAAATTTGGTAACCAAACATGATTTTTTGTCCTAACTTTTAACGAAAGCAAAGAGTTCAATACATAAGAAATTCATTTTCATTAGTTGCATGGTACTTCGAGATCTTTTTTAAAAAAATAAATAGAAATCTGAGGTAACATTTTTTGGAATTATCTAGGAGCAATAGAAATATTCAAATTAATATGCATGTTTATTTTTTTGTTTTTGGTAAAATAATATGCATGTTTATGCATGTTACAGAAAACATATAAGCGCACGCATACAAGAACCGATATTCGAAGATGAGCAGACCCGGAGACTGGAACTGTAGATCATGCAGCCACCTCAACTTCCAGCGCCGTGATTCTTGCCAGCGTTGCGGCGACTCTCGTTCCGGAGCCGGTGGAGTCGGTGGCTTAGACTTCAGTGGTTTCGGCGGCAGAGCTATGTCTGCTTTCGGATTCACCACCGGCTCCGACGTTCGTCCCGGTGACTGGTACTGCACCGTCGGAAACTGCGGGACTCACAACTTCGCCAGCCGCTCCACCTGCTTCAAATGCGGCACTTTCAAGGACGAATCCACCGGTGGTGGCGGAGGCGGCGGCATCGGCGGTCCGGCCATGTTTGACGCCGATGTTATGCGGTCTAGACTCTCTGGCAACGCTGGCCGCTCCAGCTGGAAATCCGGCGACTGGATTTGCACCAGGTACCAAATCAATATATTTGGTCTATTTATATACTACACACATATTGATGTAAATTATGTTAAAGATTAGTTGATATATATAGATGATTTATTGGAAACAGGATTGGTTGCAATGAGCATAACTTTGCAAGCAGAATGGAATGCTTCAGATGCAATGCACCAAGGGATTTCAGCAACAGAACCTCTTTCTAAATTATACAAAAATGCCTTTGAAGTAGCCTTGTTTCCAATTTCTTGGGTAATTCAATTTTATATATTCCATCACTACTTTGAAAAAAACGAATATTTTGATTGTTTATTAAGTAAGACCAAGACTATAGGAACTATTTCATTGTTATGAAACACAAAAAACCCTTTTCGTCTGTGATCACAGTATTATATACAGACAATATTATATATACTTGGTAGTTGGTACTTCCATTCCATATATGAAATGTTTAATTTTTCTTTTCTTTTCAAATTTGGTATTTTCCAGGCACCGTTTCAATCAATGGAAAAGGAGAAAGAGAAGCAAAGGAGAATTAAAAGATGATAATTTTGTTAGATGTTGCAATGAGAGCCAATCTTGTAACTTTAGCTGTCGTGCTTTTGGATGTATTATCCATTTTATTATATTTCTTTTTTTTTTCCTTTTTTTCTTCCTTAATTCGAAAATTTCTTTTTAAGAGTTTTATTATTCTAATCATTGTACGCTGCATGTCTTTCTTAAAAGAAGATTCTCTTCTCAATTTCATCGCTTTATACATGAGTTGCTACTTTTTTTTTGTTTTTTTGTTGTCCAGCCTTTTCAACGTACATTCTTATAGACTATAGTATAGGGGCGGCTAGACTATCACACTATCACTATGTTATGATATTACAATCACTTGATTGTTTGTTGGATAAAGAACAATCACTGGAGTTTGATATCAAAACATGTAAAAGAGTAGATATAGTTATTACAAGTTATCAGCTTGTAATAAGCAGAATATTACTAATCTAACCGACGATATTATAACAACTACTATGGCCAAAAAATATATCAAATTTGAACTTGTTTAGGATAGTATGGAGGTTGTTCCATGCATCTCCTGATGATCTTCAAGAACGTGTAGACGTATAGTACGTATAAGAAGATTTTTTTTTTAAAAAAAATGATTTTTTGAAAATATGTACTTAAACATGTGTAAATATATTTTTCAAATGAATTATTGGACATTTTATTTCTATTTTATATCTAAAATGTAACTAACGAATAATTTATTACCCCAACTAAGTGCAAATTATTTTATAACCTTCACCATTAAAAATTATTATAAGAAAACTTATCATGGGCTTGTAGTCAGATTAATGGGCTAGAAAAGCCCAAATAAAATAAAAAATTTCAACCTTTCGTGCTTCGCTGTGCAAAGACTACTCTGGTTGTATCGAACGAGCGAAACCCAACCAACGACGAGCGTTAACCTCAAATTTGATTAGATCGCTTCTCACTCCTCAATTCGTCTTCCTCGTTGGTATCGTTATCGTATCGCCTTATAACCTCCTTCGCTGCATTACATTCTCTGTCTTGAATCCTTGCCTCTCTCCATGGCTTCCTGTAAGTTTCTCTACCTGTCTTTTGTTGTCTTGTCTGATCTTACAAGTCTCACGTTTCTTAAATCGCACACGAGGCCGGGTTTTCGTTCTTACATTCAAATTTCGATGCTTTCTTAGTTTTTTGTTCTCACTGAATCATATCCATCGAAAAAGATGGAGCTTTGGTGATTCTGCTTATATTGAGTGATTGAGTGAGAGGTTACTCCGAAAGGGACTTAAATTTTAACAATTAGGTTGATTTTGGGGTGAATCAGATATCTAAAATTTAAGAATTCTTATTCATTCTTTGTCTCAGTGGTGATGAGATTCAATCTACTTTCTTGTTATCGAACTGTGAAAGCTAATCTAAATTGATCAGTTTTTTTTCATCTGGACTCTCTGTAATTGAATTGAATACATCATTTCCATGGGCTTGGCATTGTTAATGTTATTTTCATAGTTTCGAAATCCTAAATTTGGAATATTCAACAGCACTACATAGACACTATATTTCGAATTACTAGGAATCTTCTGGAGCTATCTCGGATTGAGAGTTTAAGACATGATTATGTATAACTCAGAAAGTGATTGGTCTTTTTCTTCTTGAGCCTGTCTTTGTTTTCGCTGATTTCCTCAAATGAGACCTTGGCGTCTATTTCAGGTAGCCTAGGAGTTCCCAAAATCAAAATCTCAGCAGTAGAGCTTAGTAGAGTAAGATCTGGAAGCTTACAGATAGTACCATGCAATCAAAGATCATTGATTTGTCAAAGGCCGGTTAAGTACTTGAGTCTGAGGGCAACTCTTGGTTCTGTGAAAGCTGTCCAAGCGTCTACTGTCACAGCTGCTGAAACAGCAGGTAAGCTTATCCCTCTTTGTTTTTCTGATCTTTGGGTCTTTCTAGCGTTTTTTTGCGGTTTAATTGTTTTGCATATCGAGTGGGTTCACAGGTGGACTGATATGCGCATGGAAAATGTCTTTTTATTTAAATGTTTTCTGATTTAACCTTCTTATCTTTAGCTACTATAGAAGTAGAGGATTCTGAAGAGACCAAGTCATATCCATTGAACGCTCAGCTCATTCCCAAGCCCTCTGAGGTGGGTTTTGATTTACCACTATATATTAGGATGTCATTTGAGGAACTCTGGCTGATAATTTCCGTTTTTTTTTCCGCCCTTATCATCCTCAAATCCAAAAGAAGAGAATTCGTAATCTTGATGAACTAGTGGAACATGTTTTTTTTTTTTCGAATCTAGTGGAACATGGTTTATGTGAATTTTACTTACTGCGTGCAGAGTAATGAATATTTACTCTGTTTTTTAATTGGATGCACTTCATCTGAGTTCTTTCTTTTTTGGCTATCTGCTAGGTGGAAGCTCTGGTCACTGAAATATGCGATTCATCATCAATTGCAGAGTTTGAACTGAAAGTAAGTCCCCACGCAATTGAGTTGTAGTTATGTAACTGCTCTTCTGAATAGTCATCTCAGCTGAGTTTTCGAGTAGTATTCTTATCTAATACATCTATGTCTTTTATTTGCATATTCTAATAGCTGGGGGGTTTCCGCCTATATGTAGCAAGGAACTTAGCTGAAAAAAGTAGCCCTCAACCTCAGCCAATTCCTGCTGTGGTTGCTGCAAATGCAACTACTGAGAATCTTGATTCGAATGGATCAGCTTCCTCTACTTCATTGGCTATCACAAAACCAGCATCTTCAGCTGCTGATCAGGGTTTGGTGATTCTCCAATCTCCAAAAGTAAGAGACCACACAACTTAAACGCAAAATGTCAGAACTTTCATTTACTCTGTTGGGAAATTTCCTCTTTTATAATTCTTGTGAAAAAAAGGAGAGCTGAGTTTTAATCATAAAGTTTTTCCCAATCTAAATGGTGTGGTAATGTGCAGGTAGGGTTCTTCAGGAGATCCAAAACCATAAAGGGTAAACGTACTCCTTCGTCATGTAAAGAGGTATGACCAATCTTCTTGAGCAGAAGAGAACGATTGCTTTTATGGCAAAACCGCTCATTACTCTCAGCTTTGCTTTTGTTTACTCTGACAGAAAGACCAAGTGAAAGAAGGTCAAGTTCTGTGCTACATTGAACAACTAGGTGGCCAATTCCCAATTGAGGTTATATAATATCCCATCTGAATTTCTAGTATAGTAGTTTGCTTCTACCAAGTCTGTTAAAATTGCTTCTCTGTTTCTCGATGAATCTTCCAGTCTGATGTTACCGGCGAGGTTGTCAAAATACTCCGAGAGGATGGAGGCAAGTCTTTCTTCTTCTTTAACCTTTCCATGTTTTTCTCAAGACTTGACGTGTGTAATTTTTTTTTTTTTCTCGTTTTCTCATTCGAAACAGAGCCCGTAGGATACAATGATGCTCTCATCTCGATCCTTCCGTCTTTCCCTGGGATCAAGAAGCTTCAGTAAAACCAAATTCGAGCTGGTTTTGAGTTGTGCACTGTGCCTTGTGTATGCTTTTTTAGAACAAATAAACTTCATTCATATCTCTGTGTTCTGTTTGTCTTTTGCTTCTCTGAAAGTTCTTCTTTAAGACACTGTTTTATTCTGTTCTTTTTTTCATATATAAAAAACGTTATGATACGCCAAAAAAAGAAAACGTTATGATACTTTTTTTTTTTTAATAATACATTGAGGATTATGTATACATACAATCCCAAGATTTTCAAAGGTTAAAACGATAGATGATGGTTTCTAATAGTTAAAGATCTGGGCATGGCCGTTATTGACAGTTGATTCCAGCCGTTGGAGAAGAAGCTGCTTTCTGAATTTCTGTATAAATGCTTCTGCACTTTCGTTGATGTCACGTTCTTTCACTGCCGGCTTCCTTGCCGGAAAATTCTCCACCGTCCCTGCTCTCTTCGGCTGCTCGTAGATTGAAGATATGCAAGATGGAGACATGATATGAGAATGAGATAAACGTTGCTCCATTGTGTTTTTTCAACACTAATGCTTCTTGCTTTGTTCCTTTTTTAGTTTTGTTTTTATTCAAATGATGATTTGTGTGAACATATATATTTATATAGATATGTATATGCATAAACTATTTATAAAGTATGTAGAAGATGGCTGTAGATACATTGAACTGTCAATAGAATAAACTTTTTGGATTAAGATAAAACATTATTGTACAATGCCAAACTTAAGATACGCATATGTTTGTGTAGAACACGTTTTATCTGTAGAAATGGAGCAACGTTCAGAAATGTTTCGAAAACACGCTTGAGAAATTGATCTTTAAATTTTCGTAAAAATTCTTATTACTGTAAAATGTTTCAGGGTTTTTTTTTTCCCTTGATTGTCTATTTGCCTTCAATATTACTCATATTATCCTTTTTTCCCACGAATAAATGCATATGATATAATATTATACCTAACACAGTCAATGATTTGAAGTTTCCAGAAAATACTAAGGAAAATCAAATAAAGTATGTGCCGTGATGAAGACAACCATATGATATAACATAGGAAGGAATACTATTATGGCCTAAGTATCTGCCTAACTTTCGCTTTAGTTAGCCAAAAGCATATATCCTTCAGGAGATTTTCAAGATCAATAATAACAAAAAGAAAGGCTATGCAGATTAATCCATTTGTCACATAATTAGAGAGAAAACATCTATATATTCACGATAACCAAACGTCTTCGATTTAAATAATAAAAGCTAAATATGAAACCAATAATTAACCATCAAAACATTTCAAGCTTCAACCAAATTCTTCAAACTCTAGCCGGTGACGATAACAATACATTACTCTCAGATAAAATACACAAATAAATTACAATCTTTAATCTCCCTAATCAAAATCTACGCAACTATCTTTTGTTGTCCGTGCACTTTCCTACATAAAAACAGGGAAAAGGAAGAGTTTGTAGGAAATAATATACTATATGTATAATGATCTGATGATAAGTTGGACTAGTTATTCTTTTTAAATATACTAAAAAAAAATACCTCGAGTGTGCAGTAACTAGTTCCTGTCCAGTAATTTGAGAACTGTTACACGATTAATATAAAATGTGGTTTAGTAGTCATGAACACACAAAAATGTGGTTTAGTAGTCATAAACACACAAATACTATGTTGGACTAGTTATTCATTTATAAATATGCAAAAAAAAATATACCTCGAGTGTGCATTATCTAGTTCCTATCCAGTAACTTGAGAACTGTTACACAATTAAATAAAATGTTCATATACACACAAAAATGAAACTCAATATAGTATAAACTAATAATATAACATCTTAACAAGTTAATAGAACTGAACCTGAGAAATTGGGAGGAGAATTACTCAAGATGTACAAAGCGTCACGCCATTCTTGAGGTGTTTTCTTAGAGGCCATGGCTCGGCCGATTGTGACCAGAGCCAGGGGGAGGCCGTCGCACTTGGCTGCAACCTCCTGAGCCAACTTGGTTATGTCCGGGTGGCTCTTCACCGTCTCTTCTCCGGCATTCTTCTTGAACAAGTCCCACGCTCTCTCCCATGGCAGCTTCTCCATTTTGATCTTCGTTTGTGCTCCCATTTCCCGACAAACCTCGTCCGAACACGTCGTGAACACTATCTTCGATCTGTTCTGTCCGTCCGGTGGCGGCACACCAGCTTTCACTGTTAACAAATTTTAAAACCCTAAAAATTAGGACCAAATCAACTCAACAAGACTTAGGTCGCAAGTCATATGTATAATGCAGATTTCTTGCACAACAAGTAATCCTTTACCTAGATCTACTTTCTCCCAAACGTCGTCGAGGAACAAAGCGAATCGTCTCTTGCTAAGTATCTCGAAGATCTTACCGGCCTTCTCTTCCTCCGTTTTGCTAGTCCACGACCTGTCAAGAAACCCTATCTTCTCTCGAATCGTGTCCTGAATCTTCTCAAGATTCAGATTCTTGGACACAAACACCCAAATCACAAAGTCAAACCCGTTTAACTTGTGCTGAAGCAACCTGTTGTTAACCTGAGTCAACACCGTCGTCTTTCCAACTCCTTCAACGCCGTACAACCCAATAATTCCGGTGTTATCCACCGTCATGCACCGCCACACTAACCCCGAAACCGCCTCCAGTCCAACTGTCTGATCATCTCTATCAACGGTCGAGCTCATCATCGATCCACCACCACCACCATTACCAATGCCACTATTCTCAACCACCACATCGAATGTTCCTCTGCTCTTTATCTCCTGAACCTCTTTCAGCATCTTGCAAATCTTCTTGTCTGTCTTGTGACTACTACTCATCATCATCATGCTCGATCCATTCGAAGAAGAAGAAGACATCATCATCATCAGCATCTCTTCAGCCTCTTTGATCGCTGCGTCGGATTGTCTAAGCCAAACCTGGACTTTCTCGAGCCGTTTCAGCTTTTGCTGATCCTCGTACATTTTGACTCTTTTCATCACATTGCTTCGTAGATCCTTGAGCTCCTCCGTTGCGGTTTTCAGCTTCTTGACGTTATCGTTCTCTTTCCCGACGTAGATGCATCGTGTCACCATACTTTTGAGATCTTTCCCCATCCTTTGAGCTTTTTTTTTCTTCTTTTTTTATTTCTACAAATTAATCACTCAAATAACATATAAGTTATAACCATATGTATAGAGATGATCGTGTTAGCCATGGCTTGTACTGACCCGCACGTTGTGTTTGTTTATTTTATTCGAGTGTTAGTTGTTGAAGGATCTTAATTAAGGATTTAATCATCTTATAGTACTTCTTATCGTGTGATGAAGTGATTAATGTTAAGATGAGTTGACTATCTACGTTGACAAAAAAATATGAATTTAGTAAATAAACATCGATAACATAAACAAAAACCGTGTTCGTTAATTGTCTCTTGTTATGGTTATCATGTCATCTTTCTCTCCTTGCAATAATTCTAGTTGGATTAAGAAGACCAATTTTGACTTGGTCCTGGATGATGTTGCGGTTAAGCGATCATTGTAAAATTTTGTATCCTCATCTTTTGGTGATCCAGATTTGGGATGAGTTATTGGAAGATGAAGTTTTAAAAGATTGTTAATATACTAATTACACTCTAAAAAAATATTAGAGTTGACATCCGTAAAAAAAAAAAAACAGTAGACATGACATCAGTAGATGAAATTTGACTCGTACATTGTATATTCGTATAAGATGTAAGGGATGATACCCGACTTTACGTTTGAAACGCAAAATTACGTTTGCGTTCAAATATAGCCCTCAGTAACCCAGTTGCATATTGGGCCTACTCTTCTTTTCGGCCCAAATCCTAATAAGACAGAGAGTTTGTTCCGGTTTAAACAGTTCCACCGCCGTTTGTCTCTTCTCCCTTCAAATCGGTTTTCGCATTTCCATCACTTCACTTGATTTGTTTTCTTCCTCTTTCGGTAAAATCCTCTCTTTCTGATCTCACCTCTTCGCTCTCTTATTGCTTCTGAGCCTTAAGGTTACAAAAAGTTTCATTTTTTACCTTTGTAATTTCGCAATATTTGTCCTTAGTGCTGTAGAACTGTTTATGATATACGAATTTGTTGTTATTAGCTGAGGATGGCGATTTTTTTGCTCTTAATTTCTGATTCTGCTAGTAAATTATGCTTTTTTTTCCCCTCCATTGGATTGTGAGTGGAACTTTTCCTAAATGGTACTACTCTGAGTTTGTTTGATTATTTACCAAGTGTTCGTCGGTTATTGTTTTGTTTGAAGAACCGGAAACATCTAAATTGCTGAAGAAGACAAGCGTTGATTTGTTTTGCGTATATAATTCGACACTGATTCAAAAGAAAGCTTGTTTCTTGTCAAAATTTTGTTGCAGGTATAACGGAGATGCGAGGGATAGCGACTAGATCACTTTATTCTTTGAGCCGATCGTTGTTATCGCACCTCCGTCACGGGATTGCAGTCGACCCAGCCGCGTACGTAGCCGGTGGATGCTGCCGAGAAACTCCTCTGCTTGGTTCGCTTTGGTCTACTGTTCAACGCCGCGGCGTTAAAGTTAACGCGATTCAGGTAAAGTTTCTTACTTAGTTTGCGGAGATTGAAGCTTCTACTTATTTGATTAGTGAGCTAGCCATTGCTCGTCTTGTTTGTTGTGATGCAAATAGTAAACTTCGTAATTCTAATTCAAATAGTATAAACTCGATGTATGGCGTCATTTTTGGTTTGTATCGTCCGGATTCTCACGCTGAGTTCTTGGGGCTTTTTTTCAGCTAAGGCCAGGGAATGTTATTGAACGAACAGGTTGGGGTTTTTGTTTAAGGTTTACTCCTTTTCATTATACTTCTGAACGTTTAGCTATAATCTAACTCATTTTGATGGAACGTGGACTTCCAGGACGTACTTTCCGGGTTAGTCATTTGGACATTGGTTTTATAGCTCGAGTCTTTTTGGTTCTACGCAATGAGAAACATGGATTTTTCATTTTGTAGGTTGTAGAAGCAGAGCATAAACAACAAGGCAGAGGAGGAGCCTCCATGCAGGTATGCATATTTGAAAGTCTTCATCAAGAAATTACTCTCCTTCGGTTCTTGGAAATTTTGGTGGAGTGAAAGCGCTGAAGATATTTGATATATGCAGAACAATTTTGTTTATTACGGCTTGTCTTCTGTTTTAGCCTTTGGTACTTGACTTGTTCTGTTTTGTCAGTAGTTTAATTTTCGTGTCACCTTGTCTTTTCTGTTGATATTCTGTTTCTAAGCCTCAATACTTACACCTCTATTCTTTGCGGGAAATAGGTGGAGCTTCGCGATGTTGACAATGGAAATAAACTTAACTTGCGATTTGGAACTGAGGAGTCTGTTGAAAGTATGTTTCTTATTCCATAACATTCAAAATCCTAGTGTACTTATATCAAATTATTTTGGTGTGATATTGATTGCATCAATTTACTGCAGAGGTTTTTGTTCAGGAGAAATCTTTCACATGTTTATATACAGAGGGAGATACGGCATATCTGATTGAGTGAGTCCAACTTTTTGTGCAAGTCTCCTTACTTTTTTCATAGACCTTATACATTCGGTAGAACCATGAGTTTGTAAACATTATTTCTTTATAACCACACAGGCCCGATACGTTTGAGCAAGTTGAAGTGCCATTGGACATATTTGGCAAAGCTGCTGTATATTTAAAAGGTTGGTAGTGTAGGTCCTGCTTTTGAATCTATTGGTGTAGCAACATCAATCCATTTTGTTTGTTTTTGCTAGAAACCATTTGCATGTTCTATAATCGCTAAACGTATCTGTTTATCCGTTCCTTGTCGGTGATGATATATATTGTGTTTGACAGAGGAAATGAAAGTTCAGTTGCAGCTGTATGATGGAAGAGCATTATCTGCATCTCTCCCTAAGCATGTCACATGCACAATTGAAGAAACACAGCTTCCCATGAAAGGCTTAACATCAGCTCCTCGGTATGTTTTTTTCTTCTTCTTCTTGTATTTCAGATCAAGAATGCTTTTAGCCTTAGGTGATTAGAAAACGCCATAATTCTTTAAATTGCAGGTACAAGAGAGCTCTCCTAGATAATGGTTCCACTATTCAGGTAAACTCTCTCTCTACTTTGGAAGTTAGCAGCAATTCATATTTTCTTTGATTTTCAATCTTCCTGCGATCAAGAATTGGCTCTAACTACCAAATAAACTAATGGTTCCTCTTAGGTACCATCTTATCTCGAGGCAGGTGAAAAGATTGTGATAAACACTGAGGATGATTCTTTTGTCAAGAGGTAAGCCACTCCTTAAATTCATTGTCAGATGTTCATTTGTTGTTATAAACTTTGCTCAGTCTTGTTGCGTTTTCTGATTACAGGGACAACAAATGAAACAATTGCGTAGTCAGATCAGATGGGTTTCCTATGGAGGAAGATAAATTTGGATTATGTTGAGAAGCGTTTAATAGAAAGATTAGGACATTATTATTGTTGTTCCAGTTCTCATGATCTCGGAACACCTACGTTGATCAACAAGTTCTCTATGGAGGATTTATAGAGTGAGGCAATAATTACAGATTCATAAAGGTTTAAATTGTTTCTTGGAGAACATGAGTGGTGTGTTTCAGTAAAATCGATTAAACACTAGATACAGGTGATTAGTGTTAAGACACTAATTTATTCTTTCTCAAACACGAGAACTCAGATCATCAAATGAATAAGAAAGACAAAAAAAACAAGAACTTATCATCAAATGAAATAATATATATAAAAAAAACGATAACTTGATCAGATTTCATATATATAATAATATAACTGAATAAATTACTTCCTTTGTCTTCTCCGATCGAAAGCACAACAGCAAAATGGTTTCGTTTCCAGTGAAGCCACTCTTCGTCGTCGTCTTGACCTTTTCTCTCCTCCTCGCCGTTATTCTTCTATCTCCGTCGCCTCAGTCCGTGAACACTCCAGCCTCGTCCGCTTCTTTGCTGTAAGCGATTGTCTCTGCTCTTAGATTTCACCTTTTTCGTGGTCTCGGTTCTGGAGATAGGGAAAATTGAAAATCTTCAGATATGAGGTCAATTTGTTTAGCTTTGGTATCATTCGATCGACGGTTCTCCGGGTATGGAATTTAGTTAGGCGTTAAAGATGTATTAAAATCAGCCTAAAATTTCCATTTGTATACTGACATAGGGGAAGTGATTTCCAGTTTATCGTTTTCTTGGTCTTCTGTGGAGAGAAATTATGTTAATTTACAACTTGAACTTGGCTTTGTGCTTCAGTGATTTAGATATATGGAGCGTCAAGAGGATAGCAGAATGGCGTCCTTGCAAATGGTGGTTACAAGGACATCTCACTCGTATGCATTCTTTCTTTTCTTAAGTTTCTGAGTTTAGAATTCTCTCTAGTTTTTGTTCATTATTTGACTCCGTGAGTGATCTAAGTTTGTGGTTCCTGTTTCTTTCTGATCTCCTCTATTGTGAAGGTTTTTAGGACGTTTGTTCTTATATTGTGTTGAAAAGGGCATTGTTTGTTGGTTGGCTGGAGGTTCTCTGTTTGATTTTTTCTCAGTCAGAACTTTTGATCAGCCTTCATTGCAGACACCTGCTTTGGTTTTTTGTTCAGCTCTGCCCGATGAAAGCAATGGATACATCCGCATTGATTGCTATGGCGGCCTCAATCAGATGAGACGCGATGTGAGTTTGATTCAAGAAACCTAAACTGCATTTCTTGCTTTGCCTCACTCAATAAACAATGATCATATGATGCTTGCAGTTCTGCGATGGTGTTGGAATCGCCCGTTTATTAAATGCCACACTTATTCTGCCAAAGTTTGAGGTAGCTGCGTATTGGAATGAGTCAAGGTAGTAGTAACCTCATTGAATGTTTGAGTTTCTCTAGTTTACATTTGCTATTAAAAATGATATATTCTTTCTGCAGTGGATTTGCAGATGTGTTTGATGTAGACTACTTCATTCAAAAGATGAGTGGCTTTATCAAAGTTGTCAAGGATCTGCCAACAGATATAGCATCGAAAGAGCCATTCAGAGTAGACTGTAGCAAGAGAAAAGGTCAGTTCGATTACAGAGAAAGCATCCTCCCACTATTATTGGAACATCGTTACATTTCTTTTACACCCGCAATGAGCCAGCGCAGGGACAGGTACCTGGTTTTGTCAGATTCTGGAATTTACATTTTGTGGAGTCTCATAGTTCCTTATTTTTTTCAGCATTTGTGTGGTTACATTTCAGGTATCCCCAATACGCAAAAGCCACGCTCTGTCAAGCTTGTTACTCCGCTCTACGCGTCACTAGCTCCTTGGAGAAGAAAGCCATCGAGCTTTTAGATGCCATACCCAAACCTTTTTTGTCACTTCACCTTAGATTTGAGCCTGACATGGTAGCATACAGCCGATGTGAATACCCAAACCTCTCTCTTTCCTCAGTTGCTGCCATTGAAGCTGCTCAAGTAGACAAAAAGCCTTGGACAGGAGAGCTAGCTCAGAGCTGGAGAAAGCGAGGCAAATGCCCTTTAACTCCTAACGAAACAGTTTTGGTGCTTCAGTCACTAAGAATACCAACAAGCACAAACATATACTTAGCTGCTGGAGATGGTCTGATGGAAATGGAAGGGTTTACATCGGTTTATACAAAAGTGTTCACAAAGTCTGCTCTGCTGAACCATGAAGATTTCACAAGAATGCATGGAAACACAAAAGCTGCATTGGACTATTATGTTTCCATCAACAGCGATGCGTATGTGGCAACTTATTTTGGAAACATGGATAAGATGGTTGCAGCAATGCGAGCTTTTAAAGGGATGCATAAAACTCTGTTCTTGAGTAGGAAGGCATTTGCAGAGCTAACTTCACAGGGACTTCAAGAGGAAAAGCTGAAAAAAGCTCTTTGGGAAGTTCATAAGAATGATTTTGAAATTGGCAGAGGATCTGCATTGCCTGGCTGTTTTTGTGAATCCAAGCTGTAATTCTCAGACACAAGTTACGTTTATTTTGCATTAAAGTCCTCATATTTTAATTGTTACTAAATCGCCCTACTATTTTGGAATCGGATAAACAAAATTTATCGCTTCAGAGCTCAAATTTTCCTCCTGAATGGAAGTTAAAGAAATCGTCACAAAAATGTTGCTGAGTGAAAGCTAAAACTGTATAATTATAAAATTTGGCTTAGAGGATTCTACAGTTTAAATATAAAATTTGTTTTGTTCTTATGTTTAAGAAAATGGCTAGAAAAGGATGATGAGAGTTGCAGAAGCAGCCACCTCCCCACCAATTGACCAGCTCTTTTTGAATGTAATCTCAGTCTTTAGATGTTATAACGAGCAAACCCAATGCACCAATAAGTATATACTGAAAGAAGGGAAGACAACAAAAAAAAAAAGATCTTATATATACATCTCAAGTGAAAAACCATGACAGACAAAATCGCAAGCCGTGTTAGAAGATTATACCTTGATGATAGGTTGTTCTGTCATGATAATAGTCACCCATCCAACATATGGCAAGAACCTGAAAAAGACGAAAAGAGAACCATTTACGACTATTGTTTTTATCTTTTGTAGCAGTTTCAGTGGATCTTTTTGTATGTTTGGCACGAGAGGTTGTTGAAATTAAAGTATTTACCCAATAGCTCTGCCCATTATATGGTGCCGATGAAGCCAAAACTGTCCTTCAGCATAGAGACCTATGTCATCGATGTCATTGTTGTCACCTGGAAAATGCAAAAGCGTGATCAAGTAATCCATGAATATACACAGTAGCCATAAAAGGGTCAACATTCATTCAAGACCAACAAAACAAGCACCTTTTGTTAGAACATCAACTTCTCCAGTATTTTCCCTCTCATGAACCTGTGATTTGATAGAATATGTTAACTATTCTGAACAATCCTCTGACTAATCTCCAGAGATGATAATGAGAAAAAGGTATAAGAAAAACATTACTTTGATGGCACGATGGACGATTGGAATATCACGACCCTAAAAAGAAGAAGCATCAAGTAGGAGAAAATAAATTGGAAGGAAGTTAGTGGTTTGATGGAACACAAAAAGAGACACAGACGAGACAAAAAATGGCACTTACATCAACATTGAAAACAACAATCTCGCCAGCCCGAATGGGCTCCTTGGTCATGTGCAAGAACAATATATCCCCCTGTCAAATTGCCCTCAAATTGATTATTAACTCATTCAATCTGAAATAGGAGGAGCAAGAACCACATAAGCTTAAATGCAACACATAAACTTACTCTCTTAAATCCAGGTTCCATGCTTCCTGAGAGAACAACCACTACTGGGGATTCAGTGCCAGTCACACACATCAACGCCTTCCATATTATCAATGCAGACGTAACGATCATACCTTTACAAAATAAAAAGGCAACCCTTTTTCATATATTATGAGAACAATTTACATACCATATCATAAAAAAAAAAAAAAATTATGCTTCTCAGGATGGAACACTGAGACGGAATTGGGTGATCAATCTAAAACACGATTGATTTTCCGAAAAACGAAATCGGAGGAGAAATGTTGTGAAACCTAGATACCAATTTGTCGTTTTTTAAATATTAATCGAGAATTCAAACACAAATGGAGTTAAATCAGTCATATCGAAACGAACCGAGCGTGACGACCTGAGTGACAAGCTGACGGATCTTGATGGATTTGATTGAATCTACTGTTTCACCGATCCAACCCATATTTCTTCTTCCTTCAATTTTCAGCCAAAATGATTCAGATCCGCAGAAGTTTCTCCCCACGCGTTTCAGTGAAGAAGTTCCAAGACGAAGAAGACGATTTCTCCACGAGCGTTTTTGGAAATCGGTTTAAATATCGAAATGTATCGGGTTTACAGTCAAACCGGTTTAAATACTAAAGACTAACTTTAAATGGTTAGCCCCTTGACTATACTCTTGTTACCAAAAAGACCACTTAAAAATCAAAGATCAAAAGCCGACCCACATTTAGAGCCAACAATTGGCCCAGCTTCATTAAGGGTATGTATGTCTTTACCTTCTTTCTCCGCTTAATAATGTATTTTTATTCACCGCCGGGAGAAGAATCTTTAACAGAGAGGAAATAACACAGACTCTTTTTTTTTTTGGTTAAAGAAAAACAGAGACTTGTTGAAGGTTAATATAACTTTTTGTGTTGTTACATCGATGCTTGTCGAAAATCGAAGATCGATGGCGAAGATGACCAATCTTCCAAGGGTTTTGTTAGAGGATATTCTCTCCAGGGTTCCGATGACATCTATGAGAGCAGTCCGATGTACTTGCAAAAAGTGGAACACTTTATCTAAAAATGACAACTTTACAAAGCTTCAGTTTACTCAAGCAGCAGCAGGAGCAAGGGAATGTGAGTTTCTTGCGATCGTGACGATGAATTGTAGTCTTTATCTGATGAACATCAACCTCCACGGAGTTTACAACGACTATGATCCTTCTATAAGGCTTACAGGTACAGTTATTACCCTCGACGATTCAGATCGAGTCGTTATATCTCGAATATGTCACTGTGAAGGTTTATTGTTATGCACAACGGAAGCTTACACGAGTCTCGCGGTTTGGAATCCGTACTCGGGGCAAACTCGGTGGATCGGCGTCGAATCTACATCTGTTCACCACATAAAGCTTTGGTATTCTCATGCTCTCGGATACGAAAAGGGCAAATCTTGCCGCATCCACAAAATCCTGAGATTTGCTCGTCTTGACTCGGAAAGATCTGTGCACGAAATCTATGATTTTAATTCTGATTCATGGAGGGTTCTTGATGTCACTCCAGACTGGGATGTGAAGTATGAATCTCATGGACTGTCCTTGAAAGGAAACACGTACTGGTATGCTACTGATAAGCGATTAGGAGACAGGTTTTTACTCTGCTTTGATTTTACAAGAGAGCGATTTGTTCCGCGTCTGTCTCTGCCGTTTAGGTCTTCTTCTGATGATGTCGTGACTCTATCTAGTGTTAGAGAAGAGCAGCTTGCGGTGTTATATCAGAACTGTCATACATTTGAGATGGTTGTTTGGGTTACGACTAAGATTGATCCCAATGCTCTGTCCTGGAGCTTGTTTTTGGTGGTTGATATGAGACCACTCTCTGGGTTTCGGTTTTATACTGGTGGGAGTTTCCTCATTGACGAGGAGAAGACGGTGGTTGTTGTTTTCGATGAAGATAAAAATGTAAATAAACCTACTCGCAACACAGCTTACATCATTGGAGAAAATGATTACTACAGAGAAGTGGATATAGGAAAGATTACAACAGGCAAAGAGGGTTTTCCTCATGCGTGCTCCTATGTTCCAAGTTCAGTGCAAATCAACCAACCTGCATGATTTGAAAAACCATGGCCTATTTGATTTGCTCTTTGAACATGATTATTAGTCACTTAATAACTTGTATTGTTCTCATTTCTTCTAGTTTTCTTCTATGCAAATATGTAAAAGCTATAAATTGTTATCAGTTAACTGGGTCTTATAAGCAAGTCCTCTGCTTTCTTTACTTTTTTGTGGGCTATAATTACTCTGACTGAGGAGTTTGCAAGTGTGAGACGTGCTTAGTGTAACTGACCTGTTTTCATAAGACAATGATTGGTAAGATGGAACATCCTTGGTTTTACATTACTACATTTCTAGTGGCTTGAAACATAATCTTTGACTCAGTCCCAATGGTCTCGGAAAAAGTTATGTCTCTCCAAATTTGGGGTAAGTTTTCTTCTCTTCTCTTTTTTTTTTTTTGCAAGCAGAGTTATGTTTGGTAAATTTGTTTTGGTACAAATAAAGCTTGAATCAAGGTGGTGACACTAATAAAAACCATTGAAATACAAGCTCTCCGATTAATGTATCATCTCGACTCACATTTTGAAGTCTTTGATTAACCTAAAACAAATATAACCAGAGAGATAAATGAAGTTAATACGACACTGTAAACTCTGAGTCGTTTTCCTCCGCTTCCATAAACCCATAATGGATCTTGCAACGGTAGTGTATTTGGTTGCACTGATTGCGGCAAAGCACAGGTTTGTTCCGGCAGTTCCGCCGATGACAACATATCTGTGGAAATGGCTAAGCACTCTAGTCCTGGTAAGGCAAGCGTGGACACACCTCTCACGTTTAAACATTGTCCTTGCGCGACTTGTCCTTGTCCTGATGTTGCCGTTTCTATTCTCACGTCTCTCATAAAAATATCTGTGCACGGTACACTCTGGCTGCACCTAAAGTCAACACCGTACTCTGACTTGGACGTCCCCACGAAATTACTGTACATAACTTTGCTCACTTCCACAGCCGACGACTAAAATAAAACATTACATTTTTCTATATAAAACAATCTTGTGGTCGGAGTATAAAGTATTTGTTTGCGTTCCAATCAAATCTAACATTACTAACGGTACGTATACCTTATCATCTTTGGTTTTTTCAGAACCTCCGTTGTTGTAATGCTGATCGATTATGATCGGATTTTCGACATTATCTAGAGTAATTCCATGGAAAGTAATCATTCTCGCGTAACCCGATCCTCCCTGTGTATATATATTACCAGAATATTTTATCTTGAAGAACAATAAGAAAAAAACAATACAAAATATTACAAAATGAGAATAATAAGAAATTTAACGTTACCGGCCAGGTTTTGATCCTAGCACCATTCATAGTTCCTCTAAAGTTACAGTTTTGGACACATACATTCTCCACCGAAGCCGTCTCTCCATCTTTTCCCAAACTTCCTATGCTAAATATTTCACAAATATACAGGATTTAGATATATGTCATAAAATAACATTTTGTCAGTAGATAATTATTAATTGGTTAAACCTTATTCCATGGCCTGGTCCGCAATCTATTCCGGAAATTCTGATGTTAGACGTCCCCGAGTTTATGGCAATGCAATCGTCACCTATACAATCATTACAAACGGTCATGTGCATAACGAAACGATAATGATGATGATCACTAGTAGTAGTACATTTCGAGCGACATTATTGGATGTGACATTCGAGGGACCGTCTATTTTGACATATAAATATTTGCATTCATACAGCATCCTGATTTTTTAATTGTATTTTCTGCTTTTCTGTTTGGAATCTACACAAATCTCCAAAAATACAGTTTCATACCAGTGGCGATGATGCAATCCTGGATAATAACATTGGAAGAAGCGGCGACATCGATTCCATCGGTGTTAGGACTTGATTCCGGCGCATTTATCCGGAGATTTGAGATGCTCACATCGTTGCATTGGTTTATATGAATGTGAGCCATTGGACTATCTACATGTGTTATTCCACTCAATCTAAGGTTGTTGCAGCTCTTGAACTTCAATGCCTAACCTCAAAAAGAAAAGAAGAAAAGCTCATTTTAGTTTTTGATACAAAAGAAAAAGAATTTGTTTTGGAAAAGAAAAAAGAAAGCCCTAACGTTATCCTTACGGTTGGTCTACTGCCTTTGTGTTCCCACCAGCTCGAACCCTGGCCGTTTATTTCGCCACCACCTTCAACCACAAGTCCTTCGATATCTGTAAATAGAATCCATTGATCTTTGTCCCCTTTCCATTTCCCTTTACTCGATGCAACCAGATTGCCCAAAATCTTCAAATTAAAGTCACTAACTGCTTGCTTCAGTATATTCATCATTGTAGTTGTAACAACAATAACAACAACAAAACAGGGGAAAAACAGAGTACCTGAACAACTACAGGGGTGGATTTACAAGAACCTTGAAAATTCAAGGGCTGTAACATAAATGTCATCCCTGCCGGAACGACAAGCTGCCCATCTCCTGTCCCGCTACAGACAACTTCCCAAGCTTTCAAGAACGCCTTCCAAGAAAAAGATACAAAGCTTTCATATAATATGATTCTTTTGGATGTGTAATGAGCAAAGGTTTTATATATTTACAACTATAAACTCTTATCTTTTACCTGCGAATCGTCTGTAACTCCATCTCCAATCGCTCCAAATTGAGTAACATCCAATGCTGTCGAAGATGTGAAGATTTGGAGAATGAACATTGAGAAATTTAAGATCCATGTCTTCTCCTACATGAATTTTCCAGATAAAGAGTAACATCATCAAATATATCTACAATTTATGAACATAATATATATACGTTATCAAATTTCATATATACTCCTATATAGATGCATTTTTTTAGACGAAAGAAGATGGTAAAGGCATTAGTACCATGTTAAGCGGATATTTTGCGGACAGTAGCAGACAATATATGTAAAGATAATGGACATACGAATACGTATATGTACATTTTAATATATTAACAAAAGGAATGATAACATTTTTAACTCAGATTAATTACTTGTGTCCATGAGGCATCGGAGTGGGCACTGTTATTAATTAATTTTCAGTAAAAAGATATCTTGAAAATACGTACCATAAAAAAATATGTTCTTCTTTCGCTTTTGTTCCTTTTCTCTTGATTGGTTCAGTTTTCAGGAACTCGATTCAAGACACAAGTGTAAGGCAAATAAATAAATAAAATAAAATAAACTTTACTTAAAAATACATTGTCTATATTAATATATGCCGTAAATGTAATTTATGTGAATGTCCATTCCAACAAAACTTCCAAATACAAACTAATATGTGAATGCAAAAATAGAACATTGCTTTCGCATCTTTTTGTGTCTATTTTTGACTTAGTGTTTTGCTTTTAATTACTTTTGTGAAGGCTTCGGTTTGGGTTTCTTCTATATTCCGCCTTTCTAATTTTTTATTTTACTTTTTATAGTTAAAAGTTAAGAACCAAAATTTTAAAATAATATACTGAGTTGTAGTAAAATAAAGAGGAAAGTTTTATACTTGTAAACAACAACAAAATTCTTAATAATTAATTACAATTTTAATAATAATTTTGTTTTCCAAGATACAGGCCTAAATACTAGTGTCAAGACAATGTTAGACCATCACCCCCAATAATGGCCCATATGACAGTATCAGGAACCGCACATACTTCCAAAAGCTCATATACTTAAAATCTTTGATCTTTTTTTTTTTGTTTCTTTCTCTTTTACTTGGGCAACTCAAAATCTAATCTCTAAAATCTATTTTTTAAACAATTGTAATTAAACAAATGTAGTTTAATATCCCAAACACTAAAGGAAATGGATCTACAAGGCTTTTGTGGCCACAATGTAGTTTAGCCCAAAGGCCCCAAAGAACAGAAGAAAAAAAATAAAAAAATGAAGTATTATGCAATACAAAAATCAGTTTCATTCCTTGTTTCCCTCATGATGTATTCTTATATCTAGCAAAACTGAATTCGAAAATTTGATACATTTATTACTGGTTATTTAGTCTATAGTTGAAACATAGTGTTTAATGATCTCGTATGCCACTATCTCACTACCTAGTATATCCGGCTAAGGTACGAGACAAGTAACTGGTGGCTGCGTATGGTATACCTCTCCATGAGCATTACTACACATTGATAAGGTAATGTCACCTGCTGCATCAGCCGAAGTTAAGTTGATACCCTTCAAAACAAGTCCGGTGCATCCTACTACTGTGCTACAATTCAGCATTACACCGATATTACCCTTTATCGTCCCTTTTATATCCGTAAATGATACATCGCTGATCTTCACCGTATTTGCATTTGTCTATTAAAAAGAAAGTAAGAAAATTTGATATCATAAATTATAAAATCTTGAAGCTTTTGAATTTTATAAAATAAAGCATAAGAATGATTTAGGTTTTTACTGATCAGAGTTAAGTACTTTAGAATTGTTTGGGCACTTTTTACGCGGGCAATATTGTTGATCGATGATGATTGGGTTGTAAGTTGAATCAAGAGTAACATTAGTGTATGAGATATGTCTCGCATATCCTCCAGCTCCCTATTTAATTATAAGGCAAAAAAACACTATTAAACAACTAATAATATGAATGAATATATTATATATATAATTAATAATTATCACCTTCCAAGTTTTAATTCGTAAACCATTAGTAGCGGAGTTTATAATCGAATCTTTCACATGTATTTCTTCAGCTGTTGCGTTTTGATCTCCGTTGACTCCTAGACTCCCTATACTGTTAAATTAAAATGTTATAATTAATAGTAATGTTGGATTGCATAATTATACATCATCGTTTGAAAATTTTCATATCGTTATACCTAATTCCATGGCCTGGACCGCAAGTGACCCTTGTTATATAGATATGAGAAGAACCACTTTCGACTGCGATACAATCATCACCTACATTAAACTCTTGTTAATCATAGATGCAAACATATATTTTTGTCAAAATAGATGCAAACATATATATAGTAACTCGTAAGTATAAGATATGCATACCTACGGAGATTTGTGTGTCTGTAATATAGATATAAGTAGAGGAACTAATATCGATTCCGTCGGTGTTAGGGCTTGATTCAGGAGCAGAGATGTGAACGCCAGTGATATTAACGTTGCTACAGAATTTGAGTTCAAAATGACTCCTTGGACTGTTGGTTAAATGAATACCTTTCACTAACATATTCGTACATGCAACGAATCCTAATTGCTGGAAAAAGTTTCATAAAATATAACCAGTGATTTAAGGCTTAAAATTCTAATAATTTAGAAAGTGAAAACGGTGATATAGATGGCTAGTTTTTGGTTGATACATATCAGCATTAAAAAACATCGTGAAAAATAATATACGGTCGTGCATGCTTACCATGGGTCTTCTGCATTTTCCCACCTGATTGGTCATATGGAAAAAAATTTACGTAAGAATTGTTCCAAAACGAAGACACAATACAGTTCTGTACACACAGGCATATATATACATCAAGACCGGTTCAAGAATATTATATATATATATATATATATATATATATATCTGTAATTACATACAATGGGACAACGGTTCCACCATATGGCTCCTTTGCCGTCGATTTGTCCATTGCCTTCAACTTTCAAACCGTGGACATGATAGAACGAGAGCCAATAATCACTCACATTACTCCACGGTGAACTTGGTGCCACAACGTTACCATTCACCTTAATATATCCAATTAAAACAGTAATTAGTACTCGAATCTGTATATCATCATAAATTCATAATACACACACACATACATATATATATATATATATTTTATTTATTTATTGCTAGCTTAGATTTTTTACTTATTTATTATCGTTTAGCAATGAGAATTAATTTTCGAGAGCAATATGCACTGAAAGGGGTATATTTTGTATTTTTCGAATTTTCCCTAAAATATGATTGAAATTTAATTTATTGTAATATTCAATTTTGTGAAAACAGTCTATATATGTGAAGAAAAAACATTGTAGCTAATTAAGTATTACCCGAAAATGAAGTCGGCTTGCTGTACATGGACCTGTAAATTTTGCGGTCTTAACCAAGAAAGTTTTTCCATGGGGGGCTACAATCGCGACCTTGGCTGTATTTGCCGCACATGCTGCTGCCCATGCTTCTAGAAAAGCCTACAAACAAACAAATAAAAAAATGTTATACGTATACATATATTTATATGCTAATATAGATGCACGAGTGTACAATATACGTATAAGTAAAAAGACATCACATGTACGTACACGTGAGTCATCTGTCTTTTGATCTCCAACGGCTCCGTATTCGGTGACATCATATGTGTTTTGAGAGTTAACGGTATATGAAGAGCACAACAACAATAGAATCCACAAATATTCCTGCATTGATTCGAATATAATTAAAATTATTTAGAATATATTGGTTTTTTCGTTCGTGATTTTGAAAATAAAGAATTGAAAAGAGAAAAAGATGGCGCCATGATAATAAAGATAAACGTGTCTTACCATAAGTTTTGCAAAACACTCAAGAGCAGAGAAAAGGTTAACAAAGGAGTAAGTTGGTATGGAATGATCTTCCGTGCATGTCGGAATTTGTATAAAGTTAGCATACATTGAATCTTTGTATTTATATAAATTGCAAGAGAAGATTTTGACCAAATACTCATTAACCAATTACATGTTGACTGGAGAATGAATCTGTATCTAATTATAATTAACAGGAAAATATTGTTTCTAAAGGAAAATGGAGTTATGACTTATAAGCTCAGTCAACAAACAGATAATCCCATTTATGCCGGCATCGGCCATTCTATTCCTCGACTTCTTATTTCTGTCAATATTACTTTCACTTTTAAACGGGTTAATATCTGTTATATAGTCTGGTTTAACCGGATTTAAACACACTATACAGTACTCGGATTATATATTGTATATTTTCCCAAATAACCTTAACAACCAATCAGCGCATATGCAAATTAATTAGTATTAATTAATCCATTGAAAACGACATCGCCATTGTCGGCACCGTGTGCCCCCGTCGTCCATGTCTTAGAGTTTGAATAATTCTAAAAACATTATGACTAATTAGTGACAAGAAGAATAATTACCGGAGTTTACTTTTTATTTTCATAATGAATATTTTTCATTAGAATATTTATATATCATTATATCAATGATCAACTTTTTATCGATACAATGTCTTAGAGTTTAATTAGATCTATGGTCAACATTATATCTATAATGAGGAATAACAACATTATATCCTCCAAATCTCTATGATCTATTTCTTTTTTAATAATGGATATTGTGATACAACAATCCCAAATCTTATCACGAGATCCAATGATGAAGATTTATTATTAGTGGTTCAGTATGAACACGTTGTACCTCGAAAAATAGTAGATCATAGAGTTTCTCTCGATGAACGGTGACGATCTAGCTTTGGAAACGGCGTCGTAGCAATTGGATGCAGAACGTTGGGAGCACGATGGGGATATTTTATCTCCAAGTCAGGGATATTACAACTTTGAATATTCTTCCGTAAAATTTTTAAGAATTTGTAATAACCGATAACTCTTCCCTTTTCTCCTTTTTGAACCTTTATTTATATAAATTTACATTATATCTCTAAATTCGTAAATTATATTGTTTTTAGTTGATGTTGAATTATCTACTTTGTATGATACAGAAGTAACAGAACCAATTACTGTATACCAAACATAATTTATCGTTCGTACATCGGTATAATCACAAATTGAAAGAAATCTTGAGAGTAATTTAAGTAACTATTAGGACCAAGTTATGAAACTAACAAACTTTAGGGATGAAACAAAAAATGGTTTTTCTTCGTACATCGACATTAGTAGAGAAAAAATAAAAAAGACAGGTCCCACGCGCTCCAATTAATATCGAACAGCTCCACAAAGTTGCTCTTAAAAAAGCTTCCATCACGGATTAGATCCCGAATTCTTTCTTCCTCTGACCTCCGATTCAGTTTCTCCGATCTCGCAGTAAGTGATTCTATGGATTCTTATATTTCTGCATCTCATTCGTTTCTCTTCTTCTTATTGTTCTTGCGCTTGTTTTCTTTTGGGGTTAAGAAGTCGAATAGTCGATACGATTTAGTGGGTCTTTGGTTTCGAAATGAGTGGTACTCGCTAACTCTGTTTTGTTGTTTAGGATTCGTTTATACTTAACATGATGATCGAATACACAGCGATCGGGTTAATTTCTATGAGTTTCCTTGCTTTCATCCATAGTGTTGTGATTTGATTGCTCTGATCCGATTTTTGTTTTGACTTTTGAGCGAGATCAGTGACTGTAATTTCTTGAATACAGTAGTGAAGGTTCTTTTCTTCGTTGGATATTATAAGAATTTGTTGGTAGCTTATACTTTGTTGCTGTCTTCTGATCTCAGATCTCCAAGTTCGATGTACTATTCCTCGATCTCGCTTTTTTGTTTTTTGTTTGACCGACAGAAAAAAAGCAGAAGAAAACTTATACTAAGATGTGTTGTACAATTAATATTGTTACAGGTGATAAAATGGCGCAGCATCTGTTGCACGGGACGTTGCATGCTACAATCTTTGAAGTTGATGCGCTACATGGTGGTGGAATCAGGCAAGGCTTCCTCGGGAAGGTATCTATAGCTCCTAAGTTTATTGTTTGGTTTTCTCTATAATTCATGGATTAATATGAATCTTGTTTAAGTTGTAATTCAAGATTTGATATTTATTTCAAACTTTCAGGTGCTGGCAAATGTAGAAGAGAAGATTGGTGTTGGCAAAGGAGAAACACAGCTATATGCAACGATTGATCTGCAAAAAGCCAGAGTTGGGAGAACCAGGAAGATAAAAAATGAACCTAAAAACCCAAAGTGGTATGAGTCATTTCATATCTACTGTGCCCACTTGGCTTCTGATATCATTTTCACTGTGAAAGATGATAATCCCATTGGGGCCACACTCATCGGAAGAGCATACATTCCTGTTGACCAAGTCATTAATGGCGAGGAAGTTGATCAGTGGGTTGAGATCTTGGATAATGACAGAAACCCCATCGAAGGAGGATCAAAGATTCATGTGAAGCTCCAATATTTTCATGTTGAGGAGGATCGTAACTGGAATATGGGTATCAAAAGTGCAAAGTTCCCTGGAGTCCCTTACACGTTCTTCTCACAGAGACAAGGCTGCAAAGTTTCTCTGTACCAAGGTGCTCATATTCCAGACAACTTTGTCCCCAAGATTCCTCTCGCTGGAGGGAAGAACTATGAGCCTCACAGGTGTTGGGAGGATATTTTCGATGCCATAAGCAACGCAAAACATCTGATCTACATCACCGGCTGGTCTGTTTATACTGAGATAACTTTGGTGAGGGACTCAAGGAGGCCAAAGCCAGGAGGAGATATGACTATTGGTGAGCTACTCAAGAAGAAGGCTAGTGAAGGCGTCAGGGTTCTTTTGCTAATTTGGGATGACAGAACTTCTGTTGATGTACTGAAAAAAGATGGGCTCATGGCTACTCATGATGAAGATACTGAGAATTTCTTCAGGGGAAGCGACGTCCATTGTGTTTTGTGCCCTCGTAACCCTGATGATGGTGGTAGCTTCGTACAAAGCTTGCAGATCTCTACCATGTTCACACATCACCAGAAAATCGTTGTTGTGGACACCGAGATGCCAAGCCAAGGAGGATCAGAGATGAGGAGGATTATGAGTTTTGTTGGCGGTATTGATCTCTGTGATGGAAGATACGACACTCCGTTCCACTCCTTGTTCAGGACATTGGACACAGTTCACCATGATGACTTCCATCAACCAAACTTCACCGGTGCAGCTATCACCAAAGGTGGTCCTAGGGAGCCTTGGCAGGACATCCACTCTCGTCTTGAAGGTCCCATTGCTTGGGATGTCATGTACAATTTCGAACAGCGATGGAGCAAGCAGGGTGGTAAAGACATTCTGGTTAAGTTGAGAGACCTCAGTGATATTATTATCACACCTTCTCCTGTTATGTTCCAAGAGGACCACGACGTGTGGAATGTCCAGCTGTTTAGATCCATTGACGGTGGAGCTGCTGCTGGGTTCCCCGAGTCACCTGAAGCTGCTGCGGAAGCTGGTCTTGTAAGTGGAAAAGATAACATCATTGATAGGAGTATCCAAGATGCCTACATTCACGCCATCAGACGGGCCAAAGACTTCATCTACATTGAAAACCAGTACTTCCTTGGGAGCTCTTTTGCTTGGGCCGCAGATGGTATCACTCCTGAGGACATTAATGCTCTGCACTTGATCCCAAAAGAGCTTTCTCTGAAGATCGTTAGCAAGATCGAGAAAGGAGAGAAGTTTAGGGTTTATGTTACGGTTCCAATGTGGCCAGAAGGTCTCCCAGAGAGTGCATCAGTGCAAGCTATATTAGATTGGCAGAGGAGGACCATGGAGATGATGTACAAGGACGTTATTCAGGCACTCAGGGCTCAGGGGCTAGAGGAAGATCCTAGAAACTATCTGACATTCTTTTGCCTCGGAAACCGTGAGGTTAAGAAAGAGGGAGAGTATGAGCCTGCAGAAAGACCAGACCCCGACTCTGACTATATGAGGGCGCAAGAAGCACGTCGCTTCATGATTTACGTCCATAGCAAAATGATGATCGGTTAGTTTACATTTTTTTTGCATAAATGTTTGTGTGTGTGTGTGTGAGTGACTCACTTTGACTTATTTGCAGTTGATGATGAGTATATAATCATCGGATCTGCCAACATTAACCAGAGGTCGATGGATGGTGCAAGGGACTCTGAGATAGCAATGGGAGGCTATCAACCACATCACTTGTCCCATAGACAACCAGCTCGTGGCCAGATCCATGGCTTCCGTATGTCACTCTGGTATGAACACTTGGGAATGCTTGATGAGACCTTCCTCGATCCCTCGAGCTTGGAATGCATTGAGAAAGTTAACCGCATCTCCGATAAGTATTGGGACTTATACTCAAGTGAGTCACTTGAACATGACCTTCCTGGTCACTTGCTCCGCTACCCGATCGGTGTGGCCAGCGAAGGAGACATCACTGAGCTTCCAGGATTTGAATTCTTCCCGGACACAAAGGCCCGTATCCTTGGCACCAAATCAGACTACCTGCCTCCTATCCTTACAACTTAATTCCACAGGGTATGTCTTGTAATGATCTGTGTCTCTCTGCTTTGAATAAATTGAGTGTCTCTCTACCTTTTTAGACCTTATAAGTTAATCGTTGGCGTGATGATGCACTTTTGGTTTTAAATTCTTACAATGACGTCGTGAGAGTGTAGCTTTGTAATCCTATTTTACCTTCTTTTTGTTATTTATGTATCGTTGAACTTATGAATCTTATATTTGATATTTTATTACAAATTAAGTGTTTTACATCAAAGTTGGCCTTGATTTAAAACAAATTACTTGTAAGAAACAAACTTTTTTAATTCGAAAACTAATTACTAAGAAGTTTCGTAAGATTTCTTCTCGAGTAGTTCTTTCTCAATACGGAAATTTCTTATTATGAAAACATGTTGGAACCTTATTGGTTTAATGTTAGAGATATTAGCAAGTATTGGGTTTTCGAAATCGAAAAGACACGTGTATGAAGCCCAACTCTCATCAGCTTTACGTAAGTGCTTAGATTCATTCGATATTGTCTATCATCTGCTAGATATGTCTGTGCAATAAGGTCAGTGGTTAACATTCATCCAAGTTAACAAAACCTCACGTTCAGTGGACAAGCAAGCTTCCAATAATTCTCGTTACTACACTGTGTGTCTTTTTCTGGATATATATATATATATATATATATTTTAATAATCCATCAAGTAATTTCTATTTTTATTTATTTGACAACCAAGATTATGAGTTGGATTTTACATTATACATGTGATATTGTTCGACTTTATCCAAACATATAACGGATGTTAGTTGATAAATATATATGAGAGACTATACACGGTGAGATTTATACAATAGATTTTCTTTTCAAAACTAGGAATATTAATTGTAAATTCCGAGTTGATTTTTTACATAAATAATAGATAGAGGTCTCTAAAATACGACTTGTTTATTGACCAAAAAATAGTCTTACTCTAATTAAATTTCCTTTTCCCACTTGGACATGCATTGTGGATATCGAAAGCACCAAAATCTAACTCGCACTCCTCTTTTCCAACTTTTATATATTTTTCCATTTATCTATTTTATTAAATTTCCTACCGATTATGTTTGTATAAGTATAGAAGAGAGAGTCAAGAGAAGAGATCCTACCATAGAATTTCAACAGTTGTTAAGTTACAAGTCTCTGCAAAAACACACACACAGACACGTTTCTCCTCACAACCAATCATCGCTCTCAGCTCAGCCCAAATTCCTCTTTTCCGTTGGGTTACTTGACGAAACCACTTTCTTGGTTTCTTCGAATTCGCCGGCTCCAAGCACATGTCTTGTATGTTGGGTTGTTCTAATGGCACTGTCGCGATCGCGACCGCCATGGTTTTCTCGAGCACTGCTCTGTTTCTTGCGATGGCTCGTCATGGGAATCAAACCTCCAAGGCTCATGATCAGACTCCACGACCAATCCTCCGTTCTTGTCTATTTTCAGGTACGATCTTTTTCCTCTCGGGCTCAAAACTTCTTTCCGATTGGTTTTCTCGGGAATATATATAAGTTTTTCTTGGGATGCAGAGGAAACGAAGAAACAGAGGAGGAAGAAGAAGGTTCGCTTCGCCGAGAATGTGAAAGATACGAAAGGGAACGGAAAAGAGTACCGGAGGAGGGAACTCAGCAAAATAACCGTACCGGAACCAGTTACTAAACCGGGAAAGACTAATTCGAATTGTAGAATCTCCACGATGCCAGCGAACCGGATGGCTCTGTACAGTGGGATTCTCAGAGATCGAGATCACAGAACTCAATGTTCTTATTGACTTTTTTTTTTTTCTTATATTTTCCGGTAATACAATATTTCTTGGAAATTTCAGAAATTGTAGTAGGTGGACTTCTTCTTCTTATTCTTTAGGAGTGGGTGGTCTTCTTATTTTCTACTTTTCTAATTATTTGTTATAAAATCAAAAGTGACGATGTATATTTGACCAGTAAATTAGTCAGTACTCATTAGCAGATTGAGAAAGTGAAAGAAAAGACTTTTTGTAAAATTTGTGTATCACATTGAACATTTGAACTATATAATTTATCTGGATTGTGTTCTAACTTAAAATCAATTATTACGTTTCCAGGAGAGTACTAAATAGGTTTTCAACAAAAAAAAAATTGGATATAGAAAGTATTATTTATGCAAATCACTCTATTAAAAAAACCTAACATTATTTAAAAAAAATCATTTTTGACTTTATTAGTTCTTTAAAAAATATCAAATTATAACATCAACATTTTGTGGTGTGAAAAAATCATTTTGTTTAGAGAGTTTACAAAAATAAAAATGATTGAGAACCGAAAATCCAGTTCTTCCCGTTCTTCTATATCCAATTTTTTATGGTGATTTGCATAAATAATACTTTTTATTGTGACAATTAGGTGAATACCATGCAAGATCGGTCAATTAGGTAAATGACAGTAGTCAAAGGAAAATACTAAAAACTCTTTGTTCCTTTATCTCATATATTGCTTTATACTGACACGAAAATGACATTTACTTTATGTAAAATGTTGTACATAAATTCTTTTTTATGTCACTAAAAGACAAAACAAATATTTAACGTTTTCTCTTTCTTAATAAAATAGATGACTATCTCGACAATTAAAATAAATGGCTATTTTTGTATTTGTTAACAAATTAAATAACTACATTATAGATGTTCAAGTAAATTTGGTTTGAAACATTAAACTATTATAGTTATAGTCGTCTAAATGTAGATAACTATAAATGTATACACATGAGAAATTTTGTTTTTCATAGTTATGTTAATTTAGGTGCTCGAGTAGATGACAATTGACAAAATATTCACCTAAATGTAGACAACTAATTCATCACTAAATCACTCACAATAAACACATATGAAAAAAATGAAGCATTAAAGGATCATAGTTATGTAGGTATTCAAGTAGGTGATTATTGACGAAGTAGTCGTGTAAAAGTAGACGACTATAAATGTATAAACATAAAAAGAAAATTGAAACATTAAAACATTATAGTTATGCCAATGTAAGTGCTCGAGTAGATGATTAGTGATGAAATAGTCGTCTAAATGTAGATGATTATAAATGTACACACATAAAAAAATTATAATTATGTTAACATATGTGCTTGAATAGATGAGTAAATTAACGTGTAAATATATATGACTAATTCATTATTAAATCACTAACAATAAACACATAAAAGAATTTCTGAAATATTATAGCATCATAATTATGTAAGTACTCGAATAGGTAACTATTGATGAAATAGTCATATAAATATAGACTACTATAAATATATGCACATACAAAATAAAAATTTTGAAGCATTAAAACATCATATGTTAATGTAGATGTTCGAGTAGATAATTACTGACAAAATAGTTATTTAAATATAGATGAGTAATTCATCATCAAATCAATGAATACATAGAAAATTATTTGAAATATTAAAGTATTATACTTATATAAATATTCGAATAGGTGACTAAGAAATAGTTGTATATATGTAATTGACTTATTCATTATCAAAATCATTAACATTTCTATATTTTTTGGGAATGAGAGAAATTAAATGTGAAAAAACGTAGAGAAAACGTAAAAAAGAGCAATAAAGGTTTTTTTGAAAAGAGAAACGTAAAAAGGAGAGAGAGGAGAGAGAAACTAAATGTGTAAATAGAAAAGTAAATGATCCCAATTGATAAAGGTTTCTAGGTGATTTCTTATCTATTTAATTGAATATAATAATAGTGCTAATTTGAGGTCTGACTTATGCCATTTGTTTTTTTGGTTTTTGTCAATTCGTTCCTGAGGACTTTAACGTGGCGAAAATCGCTTGACTGGAATATTTTCATCAGTTATCAAATTAAAAAGTTATTTATAAAATTAAATAAAGGTGAGAAAATGAGGTCGAAATTATTATCGTGGATGAAAAAAAATGGCGACGGCTTTGTCCAACACGACCACGAGCTCTAACCTCTACCACCACTCAATTCTCTCGCCGTTCTCACCGCCATTTCACTTTCGCCGTCGACATATCTTCTTACTCGCGACTCGTCGCCGCTTACGCCGCCTCACCATCGTTGGTGGCTCTCCATCTCCATCTCCTCCGAGTCCTGATCCGCCTCCGCCTGAGAACACCACTCAGCTTGAAGGTTCAATTCTTCTTTCCCAGATAATTTTTTGCTCTTTAACACAAAAAAGAGAATATTGTGCAGCCTTCGAATTTGTTTTGTTGGCCGTTTTTGTATCCACTTTTCACTTAAAAATGTGTTCTTTGGTCCCAAGATTCAATTTTTTTCTTTCTGCTCGGATAGTTTGATGCATATGTGGTTTACCAAGTCTATGTGGTTGGTACTGAGTAATGGCTCGTGCCGATCGTCATTGTTTCATCAAATTTCCATTAGAGGGTGATGATTTTATCTAATTAAATGTGTCCTATTACATGTTTTGTGGGTTTTCGTTTTAGGCAAATTAGGATTGCAGACTCTCCTCCTCTTTGTGATCCAAAAGGGCAGCCATTTCTTGTGGACATGTTCTTCTATATGTTGTGTTGAATAGATGTGTATTTGTTCGTGATTCAGAAAACACTCAACTTACTACACAGACTGAAATGCATTCTCTTCATCTCCCATTAGTCCTTTACACACATAATTTGGGTTTTAACTTCTTCTTCTTTTCTTTGGTGGCTTTGGATAGGTCTTGTAGGAGCTGTGACAAGGGTTCAAGACCGTGTAAAGATCTTCCTCGCAGTGCTATTTTGGATGTCTCTCTTCTTTTGGGTTACGGTGACCGATGGGAGAGGTAAAGGAAAAGGGAAGAAGGGCTCACGTTTCAAATAGTCTTCCCAAGTTTGGTGATTGAATATCATCTACTACGCTGTATATATAGATATATGTCTGTTATGTCCAGAGAGATCAAAACCACCTGTAGAAACTCAGAGCATATTTCTTGTAGATCAGTTGTTCAGGTGATAGTATACAATAATACATGATAAGATGATTCTCTCGTCTTATCTTCTTGGAAACGCTAATCTCATATAGTCATCATCCCTCTTTACAGTCACCAGATCAAATTATGCACAAACTGGTGAGAGCTGAAACAGTATAATTTACTGAGAGAAGTTTGGTCATTTTGTTCTTATGAGAGCTGAAACAGTATAATGATGTCAAAAAAAAAGAGAGAGAGAGAGAGAGAGAGAGAGAGCTCCTAAACCTGCTCCAATTCAAGAAGCTGGTGAATCGATAAAGGAGAAAGCATCACATCTAGTTGAAGATACCAGGAATGAGAAAGTGGAGTCTCAGAGTGACAAAGACGAGGAGACTGGGTTAGTTGAAAAGAAATCGCTTGATGCAGAGACTAAGAACGTTGAAGATACTGGTGAGGAAAAGAAGGATGTTGCAGGCCAAGGGGCACCTGAGTCTGAAGCTAAGACCAGAAACCATGAATGGTCTTGACAACAGAAGTTGAAGGGGAAAGTGAGAACGGTAGAAGCATAAGTTACTGAATAGTCATGCCCTGCTCTGCTTCTCTTTAGCTCATGTACTGTGTAAGTCAGTTATCTCTGTTAATCTATTGAAATATCTGCTTTCCTTTTCCTTACATGCTTTTTTTGTATCTAATTAGGCTGAGATTTGCAAGTGCATGTTCTCTTAGGTATATGATTATGTAGAGGATATAACTTAACTCTTCTGTAAAACCTTTGCAATCGTTATGTGTTGGTGTTTATCTTTCTGGTGCAATCTTTAGTTTCTTTTTACAATTTACATGCCATATTTTTAAGCAAGTCAGACTAAAGACCAGCAGAATGGTTAATCTTCATAACATCTTTTGATTTTGGTCCAATTTTAATCTAAAAGCCAAAGAAATGTGAAGAGTTTCTTCCAAAAAAAAAAAAGAATAGAAGAAAGGCAAAAGAAGATTCAAGAGCAAAAAGGAAAAAGTTTTGCTTTGAAGGTAAAGTAAGAATCTAATGCAAAGAAAGACCCACAATGTTAGTTCTCTTATTTCTTTAGATTCAGTTTCAAGTAGAAGAATCTTTTGATTTTGCCTTCAAAACAACTTCCCCTGATTCCTTTCTTTTTTTGCATGGATGGTCCCGGTAACAAAGGTTTAGAATCTTCCTATTAAGGATCACAACATAATAGTATAAACTCTTCTGGTTCCCATTTTAGAACCAAAAAAAAAAAAACCAAAACAAAAAAAACATCTAAGTACTCTGTTTTTAAAACATAATCATTTGAGACAAAACGCAAATGCATTTCTCAGAAATGGAATATTCGCGTATGGTTTTCTCTTCTTTCTTTCTCTCGCTTCTTTTAGTCTTCTCTATCTTCTTCTCCTCCTCGCAAACGTCCCTAGCATTCACGGGAACATACGGTGTAAACTACGGTCGCATAGCCGACAATCTCCCGTCTCCATACGCGGTAGCAACACTCCTTAAATCAGCAAAGATCAAAAACACACGTATCTACGACGCTGATCACTCCGTCCTCACTGCGTTCCGTAACACAGGGATCGAGATCATCGTTGGCTTAGGCAATGAGTTTCTCAAAGACATTAGCGTTGGTGAAGACCGAGCCATGAACTGGGTTAAAGAAAACGTCGAGCCTTTCATACGAAGTGGTACTAAAATTAGTGGTATCGCCGTGGGAAACGAGATTTTAGGTGGCACCACTATCGAGCTTTGGGAAGTTCTTTTACCCGCGGCTAAAAACGTTTACACCGCTCTTCGCCGTCTTGGACTTCACACCATCGTCGAGGTACGTTACATTAATCTTGTAACATTAAATTTCGAGTCTAAAGTCTTTTTTTCATAAATAATCAAACTTGTATCTGTAGGTTTCGAGTCCACATTCGGAGGCGGTGTTTGCAAACTCGTATCCACCGTCGTCTTGCACGTTCAGGGACGATGTGGCACCGTTTATGAAACCGTTGTTAGCGTTTTTCTGGCAGATTGGGTCGCCGTTTTACATTAACGCTTACCCATTTCTAGCTTATAAATCAGATCCGAGTCACATTGACCTTAACTACGCTATCTTCGAGCACACCAATGGCATCTACGACGACAAAACTAAGCTTCATTACGATAACATGTTTGATGCCATGGTTGATGCTTCTTATGCTGCTCTCGAAAAAGCTGGCTTCCCAAAAGTCCCTGTACGTACTCCTTATCACCATCAATTAATTAACTAGGGTTAATTTGCTTAATTTTTTTATATATGTTCATTAAACTAACTCAAAAATTAAGGTTTGTTCTCTTTCTTAAACGTCGTTCTATTTTTGAAAGTATGTACATTAACACAATTTGTATACGTAAAGGCACACAAACACAACATAAACCTTCATTTGACTCTTTTTTAGTTTCTGTTTATATGTTACCATAATGTTTTACTTGTCATGAACCTGATTGAACCATTATATTATGCGTGTTAGGTCATCGTTTCGGAGACAGGATGGGCATCAAAAGGTGACGCAGACGAAGCCGGAGCGACGGTGAAGAACGCGAGAACATATAACCGGAATCTTAGGAAACGGCTCAAGAAGAGAAAAGGCACACCGTACAGACCAGACATGGTGGTTAGAGCCTACGTGTTTGCTCTCTTCAACGAGAATCTAAAACCGGGTCCTACTTCCGAGAGAAACTTCGGCCTTTTCAAGCCCGACGGTAGCATTGCCTACGATATTGGCTTCACGGGACTCAAGTATTCTTCTGCCACTCGGTGTCGTTTTGGCACGTCCTTGAACGCTCTTGTTTCTGCTTCTGTTGTTATGTTTCTTCTTCTTCACCGTTTGTTGCCCTTGTCGTGAGAGTTGTTTGTTTTCTTTTCAGTTGACCATTTCGTTTATGGAGATATATTCAATTTAACCCCGTAATTCTTGATTTGTATATGATTAGTCCCTTTTTAACTTGATATATAAGAACTTCATTAGTCCTCTTTCTTTATATTTAAGAACTTCTTGATTGATCTACATGTGCTTATTTTGGGACGATATTATTTATTTTGACATGTTAGATTTTTTCTACATTAATTAAACTATTAGAGAACTTTTACAACTATTTCCAACATACACCAAAATTATCTTCGCCTTATGATTAGTTGTAGCTCTGATATTTTGTTTTGTTTTATGGTACACTTGGTATACAACTAATCAACTGTATACACAAAGAAAGGGTGTAGATATATGTATATATAAGTATTTATATATATATATATATATTAATTGTAAAGTTACGACAGCATGAAAATTTTGATTACGCTAACGAATCAATTAATCAAATATATTACATAGAGTGGAGCAAGTAGTCAAGATATACCTTCTCTCTTAATTAGATTCCCATACTAATTGTTTTATCAAATCTTATTCGGGCACCTTCTATTTATGTAATAATATTCTTTCCTTTTATTTTAATTAATCAATATTCTTACGCACTCTCTTATTATCTTATGTCATCAACTGACACCTAAAATAGAACTGTATTCAGGAATCACGAGACTTTTAAATTTCCACTTGGCATTAAACATGCGTACAAATCACGTTACATGATTACATATCATACGTACACCCAAAAAGAGTTATTCGATAGTACCATACTACATATATTATTTGAACTTGAAATTTTTTATAACGTATGATTAGCGTATTATTTCTACAATCATATACTCTGGTCAACGGATAAATCTAGATGACCAGATCTACAGATTTCTAAGACATTTTATAATACAGTGATTTGTTTTTTTTTGTTTTTAAATAGAAAGAATAGATTTGTAACATCAACTTATAGTCAAATCAAATTTCTAGACAGAGACTATATATTATCATGTAACGTAGCAACTTTATGTTTTTTACACATAATGATACAGAAACAGCCGCAAATATCCGAATCCAAAGATTGGAAAAACCCCAAAGATTTTAGATTCGATTCGTTAAACCGGAACATAGATTTGACCGTTTAATAGAGGTGAAAGAGAGAGAGACTAATCCTCAACAAAAGGGTGCACCTGTTCATCACCAATCTCAACCGGATCATCACCGTTGATCTGGTCAAGCACAAGGACCAAACCCATCGCGAAAGCTCCGTCGAAACCGGGTTTAATCTCGAGAGTGAACACATCGCGTCCAAGCATGACGTTCGTTGACGCGTCCACTTTGCGTTTGATCTCAGCCACAGTTCGCTTCTCCGTGTCGTATATGAGGCAGCTTCGTAGCGAGAAGTCTCCATCGATCGTGTACTCTTCTCCGGTTCCGTCGTAAACATCAACTTCCATCGTACACCGTCCGATTATCGACGATCTCCGGACGCTGAAGATCGGTTTCTGACCCTCCGATCTCTCGCCGAGAAAACCTTCCCATCTCTGATGCAGAGTCGGTCTCTGTTCATCAAAACAGAACAAAAAAGAAAACTTGACGAGTTAACTCAGTATTATCTTGGAGCTAATAGCAAAGAACACGGTCATAATTGGGTTTAGTCGATCTGATTGACTCGGAACTCGGCTGAAACAAACAATTGATTACATTTTGTATAGCTCAAAAAAAGATCTTTTTCTACCAAAAAACAGTTTATCGAAAAATTTAGCCTTTTAACCAAATTATCCAATTGTTTACTCAACGCAAGATTTCCAAATGTAATTCAGATAGTTTAACATAAGCTATCAAGAACAAGAAACGATACCCATCAATGAAGTTTATTTACCAAACAAAACCCATCTAGTCTCGAAACCAGCTCAACAAGCAAAGCATCAAACTTTATTTCTAATCACCGAGTCACCTTCACGAGTAACTCACCCGAACTCAATTCAGAGAAAAGAAAGAAAAAGGCACACAGAGAGAGAGAGAGAGAGAGAGAGAGAGAGAGATATGATTGGTCGACTTAATTACTTAAAAAGATTACCTTTCGTTTAACGGTGAGGAGACACTTTCCGGTGGCGTTCATGAGGACAAACTCATCGTTATCTCTTGTATCGGGTCCGTACGAATCGACCCTGAAGATAATATCGCCGTTACAGTCGTAGGCGGCGAAACCATCGCCGGTGGAGAAGAGAGAGGTTTTGCAAACTGTGAGTGGTTTGTCTTCTTCGTAGAGATAAGCTTTGTCCACCACAATTCTTTTTCCCATATTATTCTCTTCTTTTGAAAAGGTCTCTTCAACTAATCCCATTTTCTTCTCTTTTTTTTTTGTGTGTGTGTGTGTGTGCGAGGAAGTTAGATTTTGTGGTTTGATTTTACAAATGATTATGATATGGACACTCTTCTCCTCCCCTTCCCAATGCCTCTATTTATATACATACACGCGCTTGACGCGTTTATATTTTAACGTCGAAATATCTCTTAATAGTCTCCTTCCTTATTGGCCAGGAAATAGAAATTAAAAAGTCATGTGTATATATATAGTTTAATAACATGCGACGACTTGAAAATTGGTATTTTAATCGGTTTTTAGATCTGCTTACACGCCGGTTTTATATCCCAGCTTAAAAAAACAGAGTAGCTAGGCCTAGGCATGGTCATTAGAAACTTTATAGATGGGTATTTTTTACATTAATGTTTCATGTATTTTTGTGTCGACAAAGTTTTATGTATTCACACAGCAAGTTTATAACTGTAACTTTTTTGAACATTTTTTTTAACGTTCACGTGCTACGTTTTAATTATGAGAGTTTTGTAAATTATAATAGCATGCATCATTTGTAAATTATTTAAAAGTATGCATTCATAGCATATGAGAAAAGAGAAATTGGAAATTGATGGTTATGGTGGATACAATATTTGTAAATCAAAATCTATCGAATATTTTAAAATAAAGTTAAAAAATATTGAATCAAACAATGTCCCAAATCATAGCCTAGACCACTCGAGAAACACGTCTAATTAGGTGAAGATTAGATAGACACATCGAAATTAATTACTTGAAAAACATAAAACCTCACCTCCTCTTAATTTAAATTTACATTTTGCATCATTTATATAATTACCTATACCCCACCTTTTTAATAACTTAATAGTTATGCTAAACAGAATAATAACATTTATTATGCTTCCGCAATGACTAATCTTTTAGTACTTATGTCTAGTACTATAAATCTACAGAAAACTCTATAATCATGGAGTATGTACAACAAAATAAGATAAACATAACTAAACTGCCTCTCGTACCTTTTGTTTCTATCCTCGTCTTTACCAAACAAAAGAACATGCTCTTAAAAGTTTAAAAATTAAATCATCGTTTAACAATAAAACTTGTATAATCTTTTAGAAAGATACAAAAATTCTCTTATCAAAATAATAACTTTTTAAGTTAGATCTTAAAACAATTTTTTACTCTACATGGGCAAACTAAAGAGAAATTTAATCAAAACATATTAATTATGGTTGGATGTATGTTAAAAAAAGGGAAAAAATCTATGTTAGGTTTTGGAAAAAGTATACAACTTTGTCGACCTTATATATCAAAATCCGTGATCGTACTGGGTAAATAATGTCAATCTGCCAAAAAGAAAAAGTTCCATATCGCTTGGTATGTGTCAATCATCTTGTTTTTTCCTATATTTGTTTATTTACTGCCGAGTAGCATTTGTGTTTTTTACTGCAGCTTTTGGCTGCTTTGGATGACAAGACATTATTTTACCTTATATCATATCATATGAGAAAATTTTCAGTATTTGCATATAAGTTACAGTAAAAAGTTTAGCGTCTGTAAATTAATCAACCTTTTTATAGATATTTTTAGCACAATTTATGTAAAATTTAAATACTGTTTGAAATTATAATATATATATATATATATAAATTGGAAAAAATTTATGATTGTCAGTATTAGGTATAACTTACGAATACATATAGAATTAGATACATTGTCAATTTCACGAATATAGAAATAAATCATTTAAATTCGACAAGTAAGAAATGTCTTTATGTTTTTGAATTACTATATTGGGGATTTAATTAAGTAGTTTAAAAGTAATGCAATAGACGATAGCTATCACATAAGTGTGAAAGAAGATTTGCGCCAAAGGGCAAAAACGTCTAACTTGACATCATATTCATGTTTACAAAGAACAAATTACAAAAAAAAAGAAGGCAAAAACGAATTTACATGTTAATTTCTTACGATAAGCCATACTCGCTAACAAATAATCATATATGTAATATGTAGTTTCTTGTAATATCGAATCTTTCCAAGACTAATTAAGGCTTCATGCTGTTTTAATTATACTACAAGTTAAGATTTCACCTCCACCCTCGGCTCTGTGCACTCCTTGTAATTCCAAAAGCGGTGATGGTGAAAAGTGAAAACTATTGGATTTAAGACCAAAGACTTCATTTTTTGAAACCCAACTTTTCAAATCAAATCCCAATACTCACAGCAAAGACGAAACTCTCAAAATCGCTATCTAACTCCTCAATGCAATAAAATTAGTGATGTATTCAACGAACCATCGAATCTATTAGTGATGTATTCAACGAACCATCGAATCTTTTGATATTTCCATAATCTTCAATTAAGATTGCATACAAGTTATTAATACATATACACACACTAATGTGTTTTAGATGTGATATAAACTAGTTGTATTATAGTAATGAGAATCTCATACTCTTCTCTATCTTTTTTTTTGTCGTCTAAAATATCAAACTTGACATATAAAAAGAACAACATGTCGGTACAAAAAGTATAGCCCAACAAAGGAAAATAAAATAAAATACGACTTAGCGTAAAATAAGCTTAATGTCGCTCTCTAACCTCAAACTCATCGTTTTCGTATGAATTGAATTAGCCCAAACAATCTTCCTTCCAACAGTTCGAAAAAAATAAAAAATAAAAACAATATTCCTTCGAACTCTCCGCCTCGTATCTCTTATATAACCCGTCTCTCCGAACCTCGAAATGTTCCTCTCCGTTAAATCTAACGGTCATGTCAACTAAAACCGTCGTCCCTCTCCGTCGCAGATCTAACCCTCTCAACGGAAAACACACTAACGGCGTCTCCGTCGACGGCCAAAGTCGCCGCATCGGATCAGTTAATAGCGAAATGGAGAACATTGTCAAGAAAACGGACAACGGCTACGCAAACGGCGGCGGAGGAGGAGGAGGGAGAAGCAAGGCGTCGTTTCTGACGTGGACGGCGCGTGACGCTGTGTACGTGGCGAGACACCATTGGATACCGTGTTTGTTCGCTGTCGGGGTTCTGTTCTTCACGGGCGTGGAGTACACGCTCCAGATGATTCCCGCGAGGTCTGAGCCGTTCGATATTGGTTTTGTGGCCACGCGCTCTCTTAATCGCGTCTTGGCATCTTCGCCGGATCTTAACACCGTTTTAGCTGCTCTAAACACGGTAATGTCGTATTAATGATCAAAGGGTAAAAATATATTTAATGATTTATAATCTCTCAATTCCTCACCTAAATATTTTGTTTTTTTCTTTGTCATTTTTTAAATCGTAATAATATATTGAATTAGTCAAATACCAAAAAAAAAAATAAATGGGCTAGTGATGGAAACAAGTCCTAGATCTGTTTCTTTATTTTGTGAGGTATTTAATTAATTCTCCAGCTGGAATTTTTCTGTCAACGGTGGTAACATGCAATGAAATTTCCCAAGAGAGAGGCAAAAGGAACAATCAAAATATTAAAATGGTGTTTAGTAGGATAATTAGTGGATAAAAATGTATTTAATGTAATCTCTTTGTTAAGTTATCATCATCAGCTTTTGAACAACTGCCATTTTGTTTGTTTGTTGAATTATAACGAAGTACTACTGTATATAAGATCGCTCTTTAACTTTTAAAGTTATAAACCCACTAAAAAAGGAACACATGGGTTATGAGTTGAAGACACGATCACATGCAAACAGAGAGATTGGTTAGATTCGACTTTGAGTTTTGTACTTTTTGAAGTATATTTTTAAAAATTGTGGGTGGATGGGTGGGGACAGGTGTTCGTAGGGATGCAAACGACGTATATAGTATGGACATGGTTAATGGAAGGAAGACCACGAGCTACCATCTCGGCTTGCTTCATGTTTACTTGTCGAGGCATTCTCGGTTACTCTACTCAGCTCCCTCTTCCTCAGGTTCCACTCAACATTACTTTTCCCTAGCTATTAAAAAATCTATATATATATTTTTTCTGCTAAAATTTGAAATATATAGATAATTTAGTGATATTCTACCAATTAATTAGAAGCAAAGTCCAATTTTATCACTCGATCGATATCATAATTCCAATGTTTTTTGAACGTGTGATTTCCCTTGGCCACTACCGTATAAAAAATGTAGTGTCTCTAAATATTTTGATAATCTGGACCCCCATTCAAAATAGTTTTGATTTTTCTATCATTACCTAAAACAACATTTATTGTGAATTAGAAAGAGTAAATGATTGTATATAATGCTTTAACTTGTGGGGTTTGTGTTAACTATCAGTCTATCATCATCAGAGTGACTGTTTTTTTTTAGGGATCACTATTTTGTTTTCGTTTGTTACCTAACTTTTTGCCATCTTTGAAAATAATGTTTCACGAGTTGATTGACTGGACATAAATATCAGTTTCTCACTCATTTACGTTCTACAGGGTTCTAGGCTTCTAGCCACTCGTTTATCTAGTTTTCTTTTGTGATGTAACATCAATCCATATGGATTTGTATGCGTCGTCCGAATAAAACATATTAACATGTTCAAGAATAAATTAAGGCTAATTACCTCTTGTGCGTGATTAAGATAAACATAATCCTAGAAATTATTGAAATATCTTTTATAACAGGATTTTCTAGGATCAGGAGTCGATTTTCCGGTGGGAAACGTGTCATTCTTCCTCTTTTACTCGGGTCACGTCGCTGGTTCAATGATAGCATCATTGGACATGAGGAGAATGAAGAGGTTTAGACTAGCGATGCTTTTTGACATCCTCAATGTATTACAATCGATCAGGCTGCTCGGGACTAGAGGTCACTACACGATCGATCTCGCTGTCGGAGTAGGCGCTGGGATTCTCTTTGACTCATTTGCCGGGAAATACGAAGAGATGATGAGCAAGAGACACAATTTAGGCAATGGTTTTAGTTTGATATCGAAAGACTCTCTAGTCAAGTAATTTTTGTTTTTCTTGTTAAAATGTTTAGTTGAACATATTGAATGTAGTTGAAGTCTAATGAATTAAATTTATTTTCTTTCAACTGATTCTAATTGAATACGGTTACTTGAACGTAGCCAAGTGTATACGTGTTTGTGAGGTTACCATTAGGAGTTTCTATGCTCTTCATACAACTACTTCATTCAATTCAATGAGATAGGTACTGAGTCTATCCAACATTGATTGTCTCTACAACTTAGTCAAAACATCCTGTCTAGTGTCTATCATATAAATTTCATGTTCCAATTGTTATTAATTTTATTACTGACTTGCGTGGGTGGTTGATTCTATATAACCTTCTGATATGATTATAAAAGAACTTAAAATTACAAAATCATGTGGCCATATTGGTAATGCGTAAATTGCCAATCGATCAGAGCCTAAATCTACTGATACAAAAAAACCGGCAATTAAACGTTGAATGTACTTCTTCACTATTTTTGGTGCAACATGTGTTATGTTTTCCATTGGTAGGTGAAGATGGGTTTCGTATAAGTTAACGGGACAGGTACACCGATCCATGATCATGAGTGTTTGGTCTCAGGGGAAAGCAATAGATCTTAATTTATTTGTTTTGCCTTTTTGTTGAGAAAGTTTTCTAATATAATTGAAGTCTTTAAACTTGTTAGTTCAGCTAATAAATAGATCAACATGCATGTGAACATTTATAATGTTCGGTGACTTAAGAAAATAGATATTTTAATCGTAAAGCTCTTATAGATAATAAAAATCAACCGTATACAATTACCACAAATCAACATGTACATATTCAAATATCGACAGTAACATATGTGTTTTTATATTTACATGAATATATATAAAGATTAGTTCTATTCCTCATGAGAATCAGATAAATCGAGGGGACAAGAGCCATCATCAACATTAGCCAACGGGTTGAAATGTTCTGAATTTGTATCCATGCACCCAGGAACCAGATCCAGATTGCATCTATTTCCCTGAAATATATTCATTAGTTAAAACCTGAAATATATTTAACAAATGGTTTTTAATATAAGTTGGTGAGATACATACTCCTTCGACCGTCAAGTTGGCAATCATTGTGCATCTTGTAGCAACGATGTTCGAGTCAGGAAATATTGCTCTCTCGCATGCTCCATCTTGGCCCAACTCTTTCGCTAGACCCTTTAGGCACCAATAATTGATACAAATAAATGAAACAATAAGGCGTGTACAGTGGATATTTAGAGATGTATTATGTATAGATGACTCTTCTTTTTAGGTCAAGAGATACTTAGATGACTAAGTAATATAAATTAAAATATTGAAAGAAATTCATTATATACCTCGTTGAAGAACTCAATAGGTTTGTTTTGCCATCCCTTGGGGACCTGGAACTGAAGTCTGTATGGACCGTCCCAATCGACACCATTGGTGAACGAGAATATCAAATTTACAGCTGAAAATGACGATGAAAATGTCAAATATTAATAGCAATAACTATTTTTTATCTCATAATAATGATTTCGCCTTTGAGGTTGGATTATATAAAAACGGACCATGCTTAGGAATGCAAATCTGCATAGTGTAAATGGGAGAATCGGCTTTGCCTCGATCTTTCTTAAGCATTGCTCTTGGTTCCCCACCACACATGATTGGTTGATTAAATCCTCCTGCACCATTAGGAATCAATTGAATAATTATTTTTCAGTTTGTTTTTTTTTTTTGTTATTCCATAAGACTGGTGTGGTCTATATATGTAGCGTCCGACTAATTTTATTTCAAAATGACACGAAGTTACTCGCAATCCATACTTTGATGTAATTCTTGATTAAATTCCGTGAGTAAGTAGTACGCTTTGATTGCTAATTAATTTTAGATACCAAAACAATCCCAAAAACAATCTCAACTCATTGGAACAAATTTGAATACAAGTTTATTAGGTGTTGTATGAGAAACTCACCGTTGAAAGCAACCCCATAGTCCTCGTTAGGAGTGAGTTTGGTTGCAGCTGGATTATAGAAAAGTTTCAACTTTTCACCCTAAAATTCAAAAATGTTTCATAAGAGAAGTTTGAATTGAAAAAGAGTATTTAACTTTAAGCTTAATTAGCATCAGAATATGGCAAGAGAAACTTACTGCGGTTGGAAGAAGACCATTCATGGTTTTCCAGTACACAGGAGCAGTCCCCAACTCGAACATTGCCCATGAAGGAAGCTTATATCTACAGAAATGATCAACCATGAACTATGCTAATTTACTCTCATACTATAGTTTATATCGAAAAAAGTAACAAGACGAGCTATTAAAAAAGGACAAACTCTTTGATCTCTTCGAGGGGTGCAAGAGTGGTGGCAACAGCTTTTACTTGCAGTTCAAGTTTCCTCCTTGGAAATCTCCTTTGTATTGGACTAATTATCGTTGAACTATACACTGTATTATTCATAAGCTTCAATGTTTAGCATTACATAAAAACGTATATAGTATATAGATCAACATCAATAAATTAGGAATCTTGTGTGGAAAAGACTTACAAAGACTGCGTTTAGTGGATAAAGGCTGCGAAGGAGAGGCGAAAATAGCGGCGGTGTTAGCAGCTGCAGCCATGGAAACCGATCTAATGAGACACGTTTTGGGATGGATGAAGGAAGGAGAGAAATATGGGACTATTAATATATGGTTTCAAGATAAGGGTTTTTTGCCACCACAAATACAAATATCTTGTCAAAAGATTTTTCCTTACACAGATGAAAACAAAGACTTTTTTAAGTACATCATGGAGAGAAATATCGTGTTTTAATTGTCGGAACATCATGGAAGAATAATGCTAAAACCTAAATAAGCCCATTTAAGAATACCAATCAAAGCCCAAATTGGGGAAACTAAGAATTGTCATTGATTTGTTCCAAAAACAAATGATTCGGGCGATTTGCAAACTCCAAGAAACAACAAGGGCTCTTCCAGTAAAACAGCAGAAAATGTGAAGGGAAGATCCGCATTTTAGTTTACTGCCCCAAATTGGCAATCCAAATCTCTAGACCATCTTATCCTCTCTTTCTCTCTATAAGCCGCAATGTAGAAATCCGTGAACCACAAAGATGAAAGATCTTGCACGTCTTTGTCATCACAACTACTACTTGTGAGCATACAAAAAGACCGACCCTCATTTATACACGCACACACTATACCATATATATCAATTAATATATATATGTATGTAATTGTAGGGTTTAAGTTTCTTCTCCTCTTCTTCCTCTTCTTCTTCTTCTCTCAGCTATCACATCGGTAATGGCATCTCTTTTGACTTCTCCTATAACAAAGCCCAAGCCCGTTTTCCTGTCTCCACGAACTCTTAACACATCACCGTCGTTGAATTTCACCAGAATTTCATTCAATCCATTCAACCACAGCCAAAAGCTAGCTTCTTTCAGGCCTCCGAGCCTAGTCGCCGCATTCTCTGAAAAGGGTCCGAAGAGAGATGTCACCGCAGCTGCAGCGACGGAGGCGGCGGCGGAGGGAGATTACAGGAGGATAATGCTCTCCGATGTTATGGTGAAGAAGAAAGATAAGGTGCTTTGGTGGGAAAGGAAATGGAAGCCGATGGATTTTGGAGCTGTCGCTGTGGTTTTGTCAATGCATTTGCTTAGCCTCTTGGCTCCGTTTCAATTCAATTGGAGAGCTGTTTCTGTTGCTTTTGGGCTCTACATCGTCACAGGTCTTCTGGGTATTACTCTGTCTTTCCATAGAAACCTCTCTCACAAAAGTTTCAAGCTTCCCAAATGGCTTGAGTACTTGTTCGCTTATTGTGGAGCTCAAGCTCTTCAGGTGGGTAAATACGAAGTTTTTTCATAGATTTGATGATAATGTAGTTTGTCTCTTTACATATTTTGGCATGTTGAAGTGTGCAATTGATGTTGTTGTGTTGTTTCTTCAGGGGAACCCAATTGATTGGGTGAGTACGCATAGGTACCATCATCAGTTCTGTGATTCAGACAGAGACCCTCATAGCCCACTTGAAGGGTTTTGGTTCAGTCACATGAATTGGATGTTTGATACCAATACAATCACCCAAAGGGTAACCATTTTTGTTTCTTATTAAGATTTGTCTGCAAAAATGTGCTCTTTTTGTTTCCCAGTGATTTAAAGCTTTGTGTTTTGTTTTTTGATGGTTAAAGGTTGGAGAGCCCAATAATGTTGGGGATTTGGAGAAACAGTCATTCTATCGATTCCTTCGAAGTACCTACATTTGGCATCCGGTGGCTCTAGCAGTTGCTCTATACGCAATTGGTGGCTTTCCCTTCATCGTTTGGGGAATGGTATGCTCTGTGGCTAATCGTGCATTTTGAATTGATCACTGTTAATTCTCAGAACTAGGCTCTAGGACTATGATGTGTTTTAGCTCGGCGAAAAGCCGGAAACAAAAATAAAATCCACCAGTGTTTGTGTGGCTATCATTATCAATTTGCTGGCAAGATCTCCTCCACCTGATTTTTTCTTAGACAACTTGAGTTTTCTTGTCATTTAGTGTTAATTAGATTATTGACCTAAGGCACGCAAGTGCTGTTAGTTGAACAAAGCCAGAACCATAAGTAAATATCTTATCCTTCTTGTAGGAAAGATCTCTAAGCTCACGCTCTTCTCGTGAATGGTGACTAAATTCTTTTGGTTGTGTTTAGAAATAGACAACATTTTGCATGCTTAAAAGCGAAACTACAATAACTAATTTAGAAAAATTTCGTAAACGGCACGTAAGAAGGGGGAAAAGGCACAAGAAACTTGATTGTTCCGAGCATTACGTCTCATACCTTTCGTCTCTTAATTTGCAGGGTGTAAGAATAGTATGGGTATATCATATAACTTGGCTAGTGAACTCAGCTTGTCATGTTTGGGGAAAACAAGCATGGAACACCGGCGATTTGTCTAAGAACAACTGGTAAAACTCATCATCATCCGATCAATCCATTGAGAAATGTCTTTCACATATTGATCTAAGAAGTACTAAAAAAACTCTGAATTATATAACGTTTCAGGTGGGTAGCAGCTCTTGCATTTGGGGAAGGATGGCACAACAATCACCATGCTTTTGAGTTCTCAGCTCGGCACGGTTTAGAATGGTGGCAACTCGATATGACTTGGTACGTCGTTAGATTTCTCCAAGCCGTCGGTTTAGCAACCGATGTGAAACTGCCTTCAGAAGCTCAGAAACAGAGAATGGCATTGACCAGCGACTGATCGTAAAACTATGTGGCAATGTCCAGAATCAAATCTATTTGGAGCTATGATGAAAGTCAAAAAAAGGGTTTTGTGCTTCTTTTTTTTGTGTGTGTTTACATAAAGGTATATATCTGTGCAAGAGATTGTATGTGACAAACTGATTATGAATTTTAAATATCTATGATTACATTCAATAACAAAAGAGGAGAAATAATCATGTTCTGTTTGGCCAAGGTGTCCATGGCAATTCTAGATACTCAACTGGTTTGAGTTTTGGAAATACGGTTTTGAAATCCCATTCAAGGCCTCTGAACACGATCCCTTTCGGTGTTGCCTCGTGTGCACATGATGATTTAGGGCACATCTCAGCGTCAAGATAAGTGTTTTCGATGACGAGTGTGGCGGTTCCTAAGACGGACCGGAAATGGCAGATGTGAATTGCCGGTATCTTGCTTTCGCCTTTTATGAGAATGATTGGGAATGAAAATTGAATTCCTGGTTTTGAAGATCGATGCCAACCATAGTCTTTGTGTTTAGACTGGCATCGATATACGATCTCCGGGCGGATTAATCCGGTCAATGCGTTTCGGATTGTTATGTTCATGTTTACGTAGTCGGGTTCCTTGAGAGCCACGGTGTTGGAAGAGATCATGATGGCTTGTAGAAGAAGACACCACCGAGCTAGGGTTTTGAGAACGTTGATGTTAAGTTCCATCTTTTTCTTTTTTTGTGTTCTCGATCGTTAGTTGGTCCCTCTCTCATAAATATATGTTACTTATCATGGTTTACTTGAAAACCGAAGCTGTTAAACTTTCTTTTAGTTTTTTTTTTTAGATTTTATTTCGAGGAAAAACAAACAATCGAACGGTTTTTTTTTGGTGTGTCAACAAACAAATGGTTACATATGCTAAAAATGTAAATTTTGATCAATCGTAACAGAACTGTCAATGAAGCTGTCTCATATAGCTTTATCAGTCGGTTCAATTTTGTTTTATGGGCCTATTTATTGAGAAATCTCGGCCCAGACTCAGCTCTTGAGCCTCAGAAGAAATAGGGTTGATTGGACTGGGCAAATAGAATAGAAGAGACCACTGAGTTCCAACTTCCAACAGTATGATGATCATAATCAGCAAATATTCGCTGACCTTGACTTACCACGGGTGAGGGATAAGTAAATGAAATGAGAATATGAAGAAGATGGGTCTTGAGAGATAATGAGTGTTTGAAGAAACTCAGTACTACTTTATTATCTCATCACTTCATTACTATTTACTAACACACATGGTTTCTCTATCTACTTCGCTCAAAAGTCAAACCACTCTCTGCCTTTCCTTACATAATTGTCCAATTAACAGTCCAAGGACGATGATCAAATCATAACCCTAACACTCTCCTCTTCACAGTGTTATATATACATGGTCTTAAGTCTTCACGTAATAATATTTTAGAGGTGCGTTTGAGGGAATTGATACAATACCATGTACTATATCTATTCGTATTCCTGTAATCGATCTCCTTCGTGCTTTTTTTTTTTCAACAGCAAAAAATATACTATTCTTTTGTGTATGTGCGTGTGTGTGGGTTTCAACGAGTATTCTGATAAGTAAAAGGGAAACTTTCACCTTATCATGTGATAGTAATTAAAAAAATAAAACTTAGAAGAATGACGCACTTTATCTAGAAGAAATCCGTTAGAATTTATAGTTTGCGTCTAAGAAAACATTGTTATCAAACACACACCATAAATTGATCATATGGATGATATCTGTTTTCTGTTCGGTTTTCTTGTTAGTTTCATGGATTCAAAGGGGACTTGTGGTATTTCTTGGGAGAGCTTTGTTCCCCGATTAGAGTTTTTCAGTTAAAAAATTAATGATTTACGTTTTGTAAGATTGTGACTGAATATATATATATACTCTTATCGATTACCGGCGGCCTCTCTCTCCTCCATTATTTTGCGTACTAGATGTACTTCTTAACGCTTTGTGAAGTTGTGACCAACTGACCACTTCACTTGTACTTGTACCTTTTTTAGTTCATTAAACGCCAAAACTTATAATTTATAACTCACCAACCTAAAAACTTACTTATACAAGTTGTACTACGTCTACGTGAGTGAAACGTGTCATCACAACCATTCTATATATACACACATATATATATATATTATATTTACTTTGTATGGTAAACACATATTTCGTTCTTCTGTACGGTAAAGGGATATTTTGATTTGAAGTTGGTTTCATTTTGAAGAGTAATGAGTAAACCATTCAGCGAAAAACCTTTTTTTTTTTTTTGGCTCAAGACACAAGATGTTGAGTCCAAAATATCATAAATCTGATAATTTGAAATGAAAACTGAAGGAATACTTAAAGGTTTATTTAATTAATTTAATATGCTCTTATATGTTTCAGTCAAATTACTTATGCCAATAATATTTTACTGATTAATGTATAAAAAAGAGACTTTTGCTTCATCCTCTGAACAATTGTAGTTCAGTCTACTTTTACTCGATTATTATCTTATTCATCTTGATTTTGAGTCATAAAAAATGTCTATTTGACATTATTTTTTGGGTTTCTTTTTGCTAATATCTCTATTTGACTGTTTTTGTTGAAAAAGGCTACTTAATACATTTGTTCATTAGAACAAATAATGAGGATCTTGTGATTTTTTTTTCTTTTTTCTTTTTTTTTTGTCAAAGGAACAAATATGTTATTTGCAAAGCCAACAAATAGTTTTTGCTTATATATCATTACGAAAGAAATTGCAAGAGACTATTTTTGTTCTTAAAATAGAATCTTATTTCTGTAAACATTTACACGAAATTCTATCCATTCAATCTTTTAATAGTCCCTCGTATATATATACTGAAATTGTTTCTTACAGAAATTAAAGTATCTTCAAATGGTAAGAAAAATAAAAACACTGATAACTTTCCAGTCATGTTTGATAATAATATATAGTATACAACTCTCATCAACTTGAACAAATTAACCCTATACCCATGGTTTCTCTATGTACAATTCTCAAACCGCTTTCTCCGGTTTCACCATTTGTTAAACATCATAACCTCAGAAATCGTAATGCCTTGTTCACTCATCACACACCTAACTCTACAAACTCCCTATTGTCCAAACGAGCAGGATCCGTGGCTCACAAGAAACACACGTTCATGGCAGTACATGATACACCGGTTCAGGTCGAGAGCTCCTGGGGAATTCCCTTGACGGAGGGTTTGGTGGTGAGAAAGAAATGTGCATTCTGGGAAAGGAGTTGGACTTCCTGGGACGTGAGCAAGTTAGTCATGTTCGTTGGGCTTCATTTGCTGAGCCTCTCGGCTCCAGTTTACTTCAGCTGGGCGGCTTTTAGGCTTTTCCTTTGGCTGGCTGTGATCATTGGATTCTGCATCACCTTGTCTTATCATAGGAATCTTTCTCACCGAAGTTTCGATCTACCGAAATGGCTCGAGTATCTCTTTGCTTATGGTGGTGTTCTGTCTTTTCAGGTTTGACTTTATAATTTTTCTAATAAATATGATTTTTTTGATATGAACGCTATAAACATATCGTAACTTGTAAATTGTGTAAGTGCAGGGAGACCCAATAGAATGGGTGAGCAACCATCGGTACCATCATAAGCATTGTGATACACAACTTGACCCACACAGCCCTACACAAGGGTTTTGGTTTAGTCACATGACTTGGATATTTGATACCGGTTCTATCCTCAAAAAGGTATATTGAAAATCCGGCATTAGCCTACTAGAGAACTAGCTTGCTAGGATTGATTATATGGGTGAATCAGACAACCTTGCGGAGCCAGTCGGGGGCGTTCGCCCCCAATGAATTTAAAAAAACTAGTGTAATTTATAAAAATTTAGTGTTAATGCCTCCCTTATAAAATCATATATGTCTCTATATGTTCCCAATGAAAAAAAATTCTGGCTCCACCATCTAACTCTGAGTAAATCATTGGGTGGACATGAGAATGTAAATGACCTTGTGAGGCAGCCCTTCTATAGGTTCCTTCAGCGAACCTTTCTTTTGCATCTGATGGCTTTTGCCACTCTCCTCTATATTTGTGGAGGCATGCCTTTCCTCGTCTGGGGAATAGTAAGGCACACATCCTCCTTTTCTTAGTTTTCATCACTTTATAATAATACTATTCTTGAAATTTGTGAGATATATATATATATACTGTATATATTCAATATATCATGATAAAATAATTTGACTAGGACTAGTGTCAAATTGATTTAGACACATGAGAGAGAGTCTGAGACGATCTAACAGGAAGAGACAAGTCATTTTGTGGAACACAATGATATAATCCAAATAAAAACCCCAAGAGAAAATATTACCTTTAAGAAAATAATAATAATAATGAGAGAATTGGCAATGGCACAGGGTGTGGCAACTACGGTTCGACTCCACGGGACTTTTCTGGTGAACTCAGTTTGCCATATATGGGGAAAACGAGCTTGGAACACACCTGACTTCTCCAAAAACAATTGGTACCTACTTCTTAATTTCTATGCATTTACGTATATTTATCTCTCTCTAAATTATAGTAACTGATAAATATAATTGGTGATGACTGAATCAGGTGGGCAGCGATAATTACACTTGGCGAAGGATGGCATAACAATCATCATGCGTTCGAGTTCTCTGCAAGGCATGGACTCGAGTGGTGGCAACTAGACGTTACTTGGTATCTCATTAGGTTTCTTGAAGCTATTGGTTTGGCCACTAACGTTAAGCTACCTTCTCAAGCTCAAAAGAAGAGAATGGCTTTGGTTTGATCCTTCATTCCTTACATAAATTATCTTCTACACCTTTAATAATTATCTCAAACCAACTACTATGAATAATGTCCTAATTCTTTTCAGTAAATAGAACTCTGTCATTTGTGTGCCTCCAAGAACACTTTCACATTATCAGCATTTTTGAATTTGCTAATTAATCTTATATCAACAAACCTTGAAAACCAATTAACCAGGCTGTTTGGAAAGGAAACTCTACGATGATAAGAATAATCTCGAAAGAACGATTTAACAATAGAACACTAGAATTAAATGGAAGGCAATATATAACTTAAATCTCTTGTAAGAGGGACAATGTGGTTTTTTGTTTTGTTTGTTCCTTTTTCAGTTTATTTGTTAAAGGAAAACTAATTTTATAATATAATGTTTGATTAAAAAATAAAGTATGAAAAATATGATCATAATCACTAGTAAATAACAGCATGACACATTTTTCAAAAACAATCTTAACCAACTAGTATTTATACAAAATGGCTCCTAAATTAATTTAAAAATTCTATGGTGGTTCTACCCAGAACCGGCTCTGCTGGCTGCACCGTTTTCTTGCGGTGGGGAAATTCCCCACATCCCTTCTGGTCCTGGTGGTTCAATCACGTGAACCCCACCATCGGTTAGACCAACTGCAAATTGGTTCGGTTCAGAGGGATGGGCTGTGATGGTGGCTGGATATACTCTAGAGCTGTTCAACAGAAACCATATGTTACTGATGTTTGTGTTGGCCTATGGTCTTGACTCTGATAAAAGTTGAAATACAGGAGAGGATTCTTTACCTTGGGTTTGAAGGCAAATATGAACTGGGACCAATGCGGCACTTCAGTTGCAGTGTCGTTGCCGTCAGGATACTCACACTTCCATCATCAAAGGCTGCGTAGATTGACTGGCTATCACATGAGTATACAGCATCTGTCACCGAACCACTTGACTCCTTTGGTATCCACTGAAGTAAGAGAGAAGAGAAGCCAACCGATCAAGTCTTGAATGACGTTGACAAAACATTTAATGCAAAGCTCTAAAGACATGGATGAAAAATGTAGAGCAACAAACCTGCTTCATGCTCTCTAATTTAGGAGCCTCATATATGGCTAACTGGCTGGCATGGACAACCAGAACATGTGTCTGATCTTGATGGAACTGAACGCGTGTATGAGCAAGTGGGTTTGGCGAATGCCCGCTAGGAATTTGTATCTGTTTGCTAGCTTGCTTTTCCCAACCATCCATGCTCCACACACAAAGCTATATACAGATAAAAACCAATTACTTTGGAAAACAGATAGATCCACAGATGAAAGCCAATGTAGTGTTTATCTGAGCATACCTGGGAATCAGCACCAGACGAAACAAGTACATTTAAAACGTTTGAGAATGCTAAACCAGTCACTCTCTTCTGATGACCTTTCAATTTACTTTTAACCTACATGAATCATTACACCAGCCACAAGTTGTTTGGAATATTAGTTTCTATGACAAATAGAAAAAAAAACTCTTAATACTTTCAGTTGAGTCGGGATACCTCATCCACTCTAACATTGTAGATTTGAATAGACGAGTCGTCCATTCCAATAGCAATAATGTTATTGTCTTGAGGATGGAAGGCGAGGGAAGTCGCTGCTGGAGGTGGCGCCATGAATGTCGTCATCGTCTGCAAAATAAACAAAGAATATAAGTGAGTAAATGCGAAGCTTGTAGCCCAACAGATGAATAAACGCAAACTCAGAAATGGAGGGACCTTAAAAGTCATCATGTTGAACAAGGAAATTTTTCCTCCTGAGGCTGACATGACATAAGAATCATTCTTTGAGAGCGCAAAGCATGGAACTACATCTTCTATGATTCCCTCGCGCGTGTCATTTGTCATTATTACTCCACTAGATGGCTGCCAAAGCTGTGGTGGGACATTGCTGTTTGCCTAAACACGCAAAAACTATATAAGAGGCTATACTTATGTGTTTCAAAATCATCACTAGATGTCGTATCGCAACGGATATGATGTACCTTTCCCAAAAGATTCCGCTCACTCTTTTGCCATTTCCATAGTTTGTGTACAGCATTTTCTGCCAATGCCAATATAGCACCTCCAGAATTTGTATATATTAACTTAACAACCTGCACCAAGAAACAAGATGACATCATGACAAAGATAAGAAGCGAGAAGAGAGTGCATACAAACGACTCCACATATCAACTTTTCTGGAATGGAAAATAAATTAGATATCCAAAAGAATCTAAGATGCTCTACTTAAAGATTATGTGAACTACCAATAATGAACTTTTTTATATCTAATCAATAGAATAATGAAAAGAATTCGCCTACAACTCTTGTAAGTAAAGGTCTGCCACAGATTCTAGTTTGAAGAATAATGGCAACATGATTGGATACATACTCTTGCTGGTAGCAGACTGTCAGGAAGCCTAAGAGTACGAAGCTGGGAACGTTCGCTGATCTCTGTCAGCTTCCAAATTTTTGATTTTTCTGACTCATCAGGGATACGTGGTTTGACATCTTGCAGACTGCGGGTTTCTCCATTCTAAAACCAAAAGATTGCGAAATAAACTTAGCAGGAATTCAGGAAAGTACCAACATTTTCCTTTTTGTGGCGTTTGCATGAACTAGTAAAAAATTACACTTTGATCTCTGCCAACTTCACTAGAAAAAGAAAGTGGACATTTTAAATGGTCAACTATCTCCATTGAGTTAATATGTAGATATGTAATCGAAATTACCATTGCAGTAACAGATGCCCCTGGTCCACTTCTTTCAGACATTGATAGATTCATTCCAGTGCTTGAACTAACAATAGGACCCTATGAACAAAATCATGCATTCAATTATTTTTTCTGCAATAGCACCCAGATATAACAGAATAAATAAGTATGATGACAGGTTCCTACCTTTGCAACTGACCCAGGAGGAGCTCTAGAGCTTTCAAGGCCACGGTTTGCCATGGTGTGCAAAATCCTGGAACCCTCAGCATTCGATAGTACCTTGATTCCATTCTCAGTAGTTGAGACAGCCAGCAGGGTTCCTTCTTTATTGATCCTTAAGCAAGGAGAAGACTGATAATATTAAGTCAGCAACCATTTCTTTAAAGGTCAATTAGACGAATAGCAACTGAGATCAAAGTAGACCATTACCGGCAATCCCCCTTCTGCATTCGTTGTAGTCAAGAGATCAACACTATCCATATCCCAGAATTTGACTTGGAACTCATCACCAGCTACCAAAAATTTATTTTTCATGGTATCGAACTGAACAACCCCCACAGATCGTTTCCCCAATCCAAGGTAAGTCCGCTTCACAGCTCCCTCACTTTCATTCCATTCAACAATGAATGATTCCCCCTCCTTACTAGTACCACAAGAGAATAATCTACAACAAACGAGAAGGTAAAAGAGACATGAGCAAAAGTTTGGATAAGTATAGCATGGCAAGAACAGTTGGGAATCATTTACCTAGTTCCGTCAGCACAATATGCCATTGCCGTGCAAGATCGACCGGGTGCATCATAATCCACTCTAGAACCCATATTGTCATATAACCAAGCCTTTATTTTCCCATCGACAGCGGTTGAGAATATGAACTGACAGAAAGAAAAAACTTCCATCATAACAATTTTAAGGGCAAGAGTGAGTAAAACATAAAGGTCCTCACATCACTTTATAGCAAAACACAAGAAATTATCACGAAAAGTGAGTTTCAAGCTTAAACTTTGAAAACAGAATGTGCTGCAGATGCTTCTAATAGGATATGTACATATATTTGTATTTCTGTAAATAATATAAGCTTGGCATAAGATGGGAAGTACAGGAGATCAAGAATTCTACTAGAGCAGAGACCTACAAACAGACACCTTGCTAAAGGATGATTTCATCTTACGGAATGCCTTTGAATAAAGAGCAAGAGACACTTTACGCATATTACACTACCTGAATATTCTCTTTTTGGTGCGGGCACACAGAATAAACAGGTGCCTCATGGCCTTCAAATGTGTGCAATTTATTTCCAGTAACAGCATCCCAGACCTGTATATAAACTATTATATAACCAGGATGGTCTCATTACAATTCCGAAAACATAAGCCAGGATTCAAACCTTAATTGTCTTGTCTTCTCCACAAGTCACAATACACAATTGCTGGTTTGGTTGGGAGAAAGCAAGATCGTTGACGTTACCAGCATGAGCATCAATCTATAACGGTAAACAAAAAAAAAAACAAACATCAACGATCTAAGAATGCTGCTCAGTGATAAAAACAAATAGGGACCCAAGCGAATAAGACAATACTATTAGAATCCTACAGACAAGAACAAATATATAAACCAGGTAACTATATATTCGTCCAGTGAGCAGATTCCATATTTCCATGCCTATGTTTTCAACATATAACAATAATATCACAAAATAAATAAGAAAACATAAAAGGAATGGTAGCTGACTAGGGAAAGATACAGAAGTTGGTGCAAACTCGTAACAAATATAAAGTCGTGAGTAAGAGACAAACCTCTAGATGATTCCGTAAATCATCGCCACCATGATATGAATAAATATGCACAATATGCTTGGAATATGCAACGCCTGAAAATAGGAAGTAGACATTATGAGATTGATTTACTGTAAAATTTATATGACAACCAGCCCTAAACCCATGAGGAACACAAATAATTGACTCAACAATACGACCACAAGAATCAGAATGGCATACCCAGAAGACCTCCATCAGGACTCCAAACAACTCGGTTTACTCCTGCAGTATACTCGCTAGCAAGTGAAGCCTAATGCACAGAATGAGACCAAACAACAGGTCAGCAAAAGGAAAAGATAAACTTGATATAGTATATGGCCATAGTGAAAGCTTTATGAGTTATTTCAGATAGCTAGCTATTAACCTTTCTATGTTCCCCACAAGGAAGAGAAGAAAATCCTCTGTAGTTTTGTCTAACTTATAAAAAAATCTCCCACTCGATTTATTTTTTTAACTGTT